GTGAGAAGAACCACAATCAGTGGTTCACCGAGAATGGCAGCATCAAGAGCTACCTCACCTCGGCCATCCCCCTCATCCGCACCACAAAGAGGGGATGGATGGTATGCAACGTGCCATCCCGGATGTGGCAAAAGAGTGTGATGGAATTCGCAAGCGGATCGATGATCTGCCGATCGATCCCATCATGCGACACCTTGGCCACACAGAACATGTTGTCACGGAAGTGAAGGAGACATTGGACCAGGTCTGGAGCTGGCTGACGGACATCTGCCGGAATGTTCAAGACGTCAACATCAGGGTGCAAGAGTTGGACGAGAAGGTGATGGAGAGGCTTCCAAAGCTGCCGGCTCGTAAGCCGCCGAACCAGTCTGGCAGCAGCACGACCGCCACCAACACCGAGCACAGCACCAGCACCCCGCCAGAGACGATCAGGCTTCAGGAGGCGGTGCCGGCTTCTTCGTCGAGCAATGCACCGATCTTCCTGAGCGCGGCCTCGCCCTTTATCGTGGCACCACCTCCGGGTCAAGGAGCGCCGCTCATTTTGACGGCCCAGCAGCAGGATGCCCTGCAAAGGCAGGGACATTACATCTTTCAGAGGTGAAACAACACCTCACAACAGTACTTCATGCCAGTCCATTGAGGCCTAGGCCAACACTTCAATAACAGCTTTCCTTGCTTGATGAATGGGCCAATGGATGCAGTGAAGGCTGAATGGCACCCTTCTTGTGCACTACAGACAGCATACGAATTTAAGCAGCATGTGCATTCGAATTTACTTGCATTTGCATGTGCTGGTTTCACTGTTCTGCCACCACGACGATCTGCATGTCACTACGAGGTGCTGACGCACACATACGTTTGCATGTCACGACCTTTGGCTGCGTGCTGAATTCGTTTGGAATTTAAAGAATTTCTTTGTGCTGCAACATGCTGTATGCTGGAATATCTGAGTGCTCACGACGTGCGAACAATCGACTGTCGGCCCCGCCGCCCAAAAGAAGACACCGATCGCTTGACCATTCAGTCGTAGCATGTCAGTTTCGCGTGCGAACTCCGTTGCTCTTGATGATCTGTGGTTAATACTTGTGGTCAATCGCTTGTGGCTCAGGAAGAACACATGATTTCCAGGGGGCTCCATGATCTCTTGGCGTTTAAAGTCCAGGATTGTCTGGGGATTGTCGAAGCTCTGATGCTGCCTGACACAGTTCCCGGTGAAAACCAGCATGAAACACTGTGTCACCCCAGAGTGAAACGCCTGAAACTCGAGCCCAAAACCTGCCTCACAGCCCCAAGCCAGGTACCACAGGCCTTAACAACTGAACATCGATGTGGCAACGTCGAGAGCGCTGCAACTGAGCTCCTGAATAGGTCACCTGATCAACCAATCCTGCACTCCGACATACTGACATTGTGGACCCTAATCCCGAAAGCCAAGCGCCTTCGCCCCAAGCCCTCACAGCAACCCCCTGAACTTCCTCAATGCCCAAAACGTGAGATGTCCTATATGGTACTAGGCCAGAATCCCCGCGACCCCAATCAGATCATGCATTGCACTTTCGAGTTCAGCAGAACAACCAAGGCCCTTGTCCGCTTCGTATCTAGTTGGGCCCCCAGTTTCAAGTTCACCACCATTGCCATCATCGCTAATGGTCATAAAGGCCCCCACCGAGACCTCAACAATTTTGATGGCCTGTCATTCCTGTCCTGCCTTACTACACAGGAAGGAGGTGACTTATGGATCCGCGATGACCATGGTAACCATCCTGTAAGTCATCACGGCAAGACAGTGTGGGGTAGCATTGTGCCAGTACAACAACAACCCATTCTTTTCCCGAGTAGAAGCCTCTTGCATGCCTGCACTCCATGGAAAGGGCACACTAGGGTGACTCTCATAGCTTTCAATACCATACACTCCCGATGCCTCTGCAAAACCAATTCCTCCCTGCTACAAAAGGTATGGCAGTTTCCAGTACCAGGTGAGTCTGAGTTGAATCAGTGGCGATTACGTTTCCAGTTGCAGAGAAGCATTAAAGAGTTCGGTAGGCTGCGAGAAGGACCATCAACAATAGTGTTGATTGAGAGCGATAATGAGGAAGACAGCGACGCACAAAGTGCACAGAGAACAACAGAGAGCCGCTGATGTGATCTCCATGTGTAAGCACCCCCTCAAACAACCTCGGAAATCCTCAAAAAAGCTATAAAAACCTGTCCCTGCACTTACACAAGGTGATTGCAACAGCGCAGTGTTCTGTCGTCGTCGACTCCTGACCCGTCTGTTCCGTTCGATCTCCCTCTTCATAGGGTTGGGGGCTACCATGTATGTTATACTACTCCTATTGCGGGTGATACTGGGTTCGCTCTCAGGGGCTATGGGACCTCTATATAGACAGGGACCCCACTCGATTTGTGGGTTTTTCAGGGCTTCTTAAGTGTCACAGTAGTGCAACAGCCATGGCCGGATCGTCTAGTGTCACTGACGAAGAGCTGCCCACTACTCGCCGCTTCGCTGCTCAGTGGAGGCTGCACTCCAGAGTCGGATGATCAGAGGATCAGACTGGCAACAATGGCTTGACCGCCTGTGAATTCTGAATTTACTGCTGCATGGAATTTATTGGAATTTATCGACTTCGCATGGTTCTGCTACGACCAGTATATACAGTGGAGGCTGCACTCCAGAGTCGGTGGAATTCAATGGAATTTATTGAATTCAACGCATGACCTGCTTCACTGCGCAAGCCCAGCGGGGGCAACACAGGGCCTACAAATGCCTCATGGTATCTGGGAGCCGATTGGTGGTGGCTGCATGGATCTGCATGGCGGAACACGTGTGACACTGTACCGAATTTATGGAATACAAACTGGCATGACTGCATTGGAATTCAAGCGCTGAGTGAGAACCATCCAAACCGACTGACGACCGACTGGCAGAGGATCGCTGGACGGTCTGGACGTGCAACGAATCCTGCAGAACTGCATGAACCGGCGAGAGTGAGAGTGATGAGTGCATGCGATGGGAGAATGTGGAGTTCAGTGGAGAGAATTCTTACTACTTGTGAGGTGGCGGCAGGCACTGAAGCGAGTCAAAGGAAGACTGCAGGGGGGCATCAACGATGCAGTATGTGTGTGAGCGAAAATGGCATCAAAGACGAGTGGAGTGTGTGTAACACATACCCGACTCGTTGATCTTTTTGGCTTTGCAAAGACACAAAAGCCAGCGTGGGGTCCGAAGATGACAACCAGGCAAACTGTTCTATAGCTGTTTGAATGCTGTGAAAGCCTACTTGTATAGTTGTTGTATAGCTGGATGATGAAGCCATGAGTGTACCCTGCATCGTAGGTTCGTCCTAGCCAGGCGGGAGGCAAAAAAACCCCTAAACCCTAAACCCCTAAACCCTAAACCCCTAAACCCTAAACTTTGGGGCTTAGGGTTTAGGGCCGGCAGCTTTGGGACCTGAGGGTTTTACCAGTAGAAGAGCTTGTTTTTGTTGGTGGTTGGGTTCTTTTAAAGACCCCCCCTGCAGTAAGCCGTTGTTGCAGTTTAAGAGTTGGGGCTTGAGAGTGTTAGGGTTTTTTTTTTTAAAGCGGGTTTAGGGTTTAGGGTTAAAAGTGAGGGGTCTAAGACTTTAGTTCAAAAAGCTTGAGCTAAGACTTTGGTCCCAAGGGCTTGGGTTTAGGACTGTAGTCCAAAGGGCTTGGGTTTAAGCCCTCAACCCGAAGCTTTCTTTTGTTCGTGTTCTCTCGCTTTCAGATTCAAGGCCAGGAAATCTCCAATATACCTGGGTTAGGGCTTTCTGCAAAGGGTTCCTGATGAAGGACGCTCGTTAAGCTTATTTCGGGTTTCAGCACATCAGCGAGAGAACCCAACATAGACCCGAAGCTTGGGGTTCGGGGTGTGGGGCTGATGAGGGTATAGAGCTTAGGGCTTGTGGGCTCAGGGCTAAGGGTTTTTGGGGTTTTAGGTTTAGGGTGTGGGGTTTAGATCTCAAGGGACGTATTGGGGTCTAACGTTTCAGGCCGGCCTATGAATGAGCCTTCCAAAATTCGGGTTAGTACATGTAGGTTGTGCGTTCCATGGGTCATCCTACAGAACCTTGAGGAATAGAAGTGTTAACTCTTCAGACCCTTATAAGAGGTAATCTTTAACTTCTTGAGGTGCGATAATCCCTCTATAGCCCCAAAGGTTCACCTTTCGTTCCCCAGAGACACTTGAAAAGCCAGGTTTAGGGTTGAAGGAAGTATAACCCTAAACCCACCAAGGATTCCTGGGTCCGACTTCGACGACGTCCACAACTACCTGGACCTTCATCCTACCGGAGAGATCTCAGGTGCTGTCAAGATCTGCCTAGGGGTCTCATCACTTACTGTTTCAAGTTTAAGGCTTTAAGGGTAGTGATAAACTATACCTAGGTTCATGAGTAGTAACCTGTTAATTTGCCCTTCTTAGTTTGGGGTCCCCTTAGTAAAACCGAATAGTAGGAAACCTGGTACCCTTCTCGTCAAGGGGCTACTCAGAGAGCCAGATGCTAGTGGTCATAACCTACTCTTGCGAACGTTGGAGACAGGTCAGGGCCCGTACCCTTTAAGGCCATGAGCCTCCCAAGCCAGCATTGAAGATCAGAGGTTCGGCCTCTCTGGTCCCAGGGTTGAGGAGAAGTACATCGTTCCTGTTCTTGACATGACTTAGTTTCAAGTTTGCTGGTATCTCATGAAGACTTTGAGAGCCCAGCTTGCCGGCATACAACCAAAGCGCGTGCTCGAAAAGGGTTGGCTGTCATCAAGTCCGGTTTCACAAAGGGTTAAGGTTCTGCAAGGACTGGTAGCATTCTTCAAACCTGCTCGGTTTAGGGTCTAGGGCTACTCACGAGGCCTCGTGCAGGAAGCTTTTGCCAGGGCAGCTGTTTGATAAGAAAATCGCGCGAACCGTCGCCAGCTTTGAACACTCCTCCCACGTCCCATGCTTCCGGGGAAAACCCAAGACCCTGAACCCATTGTTCCAGGCAATGGATGCCCAGTTCCTCATCCAAGCAACCTTCGGCCCAACACGCGCTTCCCTGGCAGAGATCGGTGGTATGGACTACGATGCCCCTGGACAGCGCCGGGTTAGGATTAGAAGGGGTCTACGAGGATCTTAAACTAAGTGACCCAGAGGTTTTTAGGATGTATATGACTAATAGAACAAGATAGTAGGATGTAACACTAGTAGAACAAGATAGTAGGCATTGCCCAGCCCCTTACATGTAGTTCCCTATACAGGTTGTTTTGTTGTCGTTGTTGTAAGAGTCCCAGACCCTAGCCTGCAATAGTTTGCCCCAAACATGGTATCACTATTGAGCAGGGTTTCCTTAGGCGTACTTAGATCTTTTATTTTTTGTCATTATGATCTCTAAGGAACAGCTAAAATTAATATTTTTGCTAGGGTTCCAAGTTCGGCATGGTTGAACTGTCAAGGCATACATTCTATATGGCTACATGCAGGTTTCGCGCGTGAGGGGTGCCCCTCTAAACTCGGAAGTGTAAAAGACGAGGGCCCCCTAAACTCTAACCCCTCTTTTCCTAGCCATGTGGTAGGCAAAAATGCCGAAAGCACCCGCAAAATTCCGAAATTCAGGGTTTAGGCTTTAGAGTTCTAAACCCTAAACCCTAAACCCGGGCTTGGGGTTTTCAAAAGCATCAGGCGTGGTTCGAGGCGCAGCTGGCTCTGGCGCCCACACTTCTGCGTAGCCACTACCGCACTCGCGCGAATCCTCAGGCCGGGGGAGTCGATCCTTCGAAGGTATCATTCCGGGGATCTATAAGGGCTCCTTTAAAGGGATCTAAAAGGGTTCCTTAAAGGGATCCTATAAGGGTTCTATAAAGGGTTTGGGATTTCGGAGTTTCCGAAAATTAGGGGTACCTTATTTGGGAGTCCTTATATAATCAGGATTTACAATTTAGGGTACTACATTTTAGGGTCCCTATTTTCGGAATCTCCCTGATAGGAAGCCCTTTTAAGGATTCAGGCTTCCGTTTAAGGCTTTTGGCTACAAGTAGGACTCCCTCAAGGATTCCTTCGAGGGCGTTAAGGACTCCAACAAGGGTTCCGGGTTTCTATAAGGCTCCTTTACCGGATCCGGTTAAGGATTCCTTCAAGAGTTCCTCTAAGCCCTAAACCCTAAACCCCTAAAGTTTCCCTTGAAGGCTCCGGTTAAGGATTCCTTCAAGCTCCCCCTGAAAGAACTACCTGGACTCAACCCCGAGCCCTATGCATGATTTATGGAACCCTTTGTTTTATAGTAGAAGCCAGAAAGTTGCAAGATGGCTTTGGGATTAGTGCTAGGATCCCTTATACTTTCTGGCTTCTACTGTAATCATTCAACCCCGGGCCCCCAAAAACATGATAAACCCTAAACCCTAAGCCCTTGTAGAACACCCCTCAGCCACCTGTGGCATTCAACCAACCTAACCTAGGCGGGGAGAAAAGAGGGTTAAAAAAGAAGAGTGTTAAACAAAAACATCTTGTAGAACCTTTTGTTTCAATCATTTGCAACCACCCAGGTCTCAGAGGACAAGCCAGCCGGAGTGCCCCGCACGGCTTGTGAGCCCGGATCCCGCTGGATGCAGGCCGGAGGGATTCCCCAAGAGGATTAAACTGTAACACCAAGATTGAAACTAAACTGTAACGCCAAGATTGAAACTAAGCTGCAACACGAAGACTGAAACCTAGCCTTCTAGAGATTGTTTCATGGTTTCTGGACATATTCCCGAAAGGTTTAGGATGGGATTTAGGATTTGGGGGTTAACAGCGTTAACAGCGGTCTCTGAGGCCCTTAAATGGCAGGGGTGTCCATGAATCATGGTCTACATCAATCAGGGCATGAGGCTTTAATTGGCTTGCTTCAAGGTTCATCTCAGGGCCCCATAAGGGTCCCTAAAAGAGCTCCAACAAAACTTTTCGCAGGGTTGTAGGCGAAATTTCACCCGGCAAAGCTCCGAAGCGGATTGGTCAGGGGTTTCAAACCCAAAGGGTCCAAGTATCATTCTGGTATATACTCAAAGGTTATATTGGGGGTCTAAGTTTTTACCATGATGATACTTGGACCCTTTGGGAAAGCTTTAAGTCTTTGGTTTTTGGAATTGGAGCCGTCGGTTCGAGGATGGTGGGGTTCTCTGAGGGCTTGAGGAGAAATATTTGGGCATACATTGGGTAGTACTGTAGGTACGACGGACTGCAAGACTTTCTTCAATCTCGACGGCCTTAGCCCCCCGAAAGGCAGAGACCCCAATTTCTCAAACTTTCAATTAATGAGAAGTTCTTGTCCAGCGAACATAGGGAAGCAGTGATTACTGCAGCTAACTTCCACAATAAGCATTCTATTCCAGAAGACATGGCCCTCGGTCGTGCATGTTTTGGTCTTGCTTGTTGCGTTCCCGGCTTCGGGGGGTTGTAGTCACTTAGAGTTCCTTGTCTGTAGATGAACCCAAACCAGGAGTGACATTGAAAGAGGCGTAAACCACCCACATCTGGCAAGATGCGTCCTGCGTCGGAGGTTACCTTTATGTCTACTGACGTGGGCTCACGGGTTGTTGCCAACGGCGCGCAAATCTTCGTTGCTGGGGCCCTGCGGACGTCGCTGGTTGCTCGAGCTCAACCTAGAGAGTGGTTTCGTGCAGCCGTGAGTCCTGGACATGTGTGTCGCATGCTAGTTGAAGTTGGCATCCTGTTAGGTACCCGGCTGAAGAAGGTATTTGCTATCAGCTATCAGTGCTTCAACACTGAAGCATAGAAGCTGAACATATTTCTGGCCGCCGTAGATCTTAGGCTCTAGTTCAACCCAGACCGCGAGAAACTGTAGAACCCAGAGTAACCCAGCAAAGAAACATTTTGTATGACAGTGCCAAGGATGCAAGTTACACGAAGAATGCACTCCCGCCCCCGATGAACTGCTCTTCTATCGGCCGGGACTGGTGGCAGTGGCGCAGCTTGCTGGAGCGTTTAGTTTTTAGGGTGTTTGTATTTGTTTGTGTTTATGGTTTGGGGGGTTCTTCAGATCAGGATATGGGGTTTAGGAAGATTTGCTTGACGTTTCGAACGCCTGAGAGCGAGAGAGAAAGAGGTTTAATTCGACCTGTGGCGACAGAGCCCTACAACATAGTAGGGTGACCCCTTCATCAGAGGGCATACCCGACTGGGTGAAGTCAGGAAGCCCGGAAGACCCCAAGCCCGCACGCCGCAGAAGACTCGGACCTTCGGCACGGCCTGTCCATTCAACCTCTAGGGTTTAGTAGGGTTTAGCAGGGTTTAGGGCCTAGGGTTTCCGGCAGCCTGAAATTATAGGAGTTTTACACGATGCGCGAACCCCCAAAATGGACGTTGCATGTGGGATCCTTGATGTAAGGACCATAAGAGAAATCCTGAATCTTCACAAACCTCCCTACTGCAAAGATTGCAGGGCTATTACGTAATACTATCCCGACTATCCCGTTGGTAGCCCCTATATAGCAAACTGTTACTAGGGTGTAGGGTTTAGGGCTTTCACAAATCCTATACCGCCAAACCCGATGCATAAGTCAATCTGGTCGCCTTACGTTTACCTCGTACGAGCTGTTGCCCGCAAAACCCCAAATCTAATTCTGTAGGGTTTAGGGTTCGGGTTGGGCTTAGGGTTCAGGGTTTCGGGCTCTAGGTTTAGGGTTACCCCAACCCATCTTCCCAAAGGCTCCATGTACCTTTATAGTAGATACTTAAGCCCCAAAGTAGTCCCTATATAGGTACTTTAAGGCCTAAGTGTATACTATATGGGCACATGGAGCCTTAGGGCCTTTGGCCTTCAGATCCCCATCGCACGTGCGCCAACCAAATTCGCGCCTGGACCTGCAGCGGAGCCGAGGAGTCGCGGCTGCAAAGGTTATGGCTGTTCTTCTCATTGTGGCTATCGTTGGCTGTCATCATCATCATCATCAACAGCATCACCATCATCATTTGTATCTTCATCAACATCACCATCATCAGCTGTATCTTCATCATCAGTATGTGCGTGGTTCTTGTGATCGCGTTTTGTGTTTGTTTTGCTGTGGTTCTTACCAGTACGGTCATCAGTGTTACTGTTTGCATGTCTCACATATCCTCACTGTCACCTGCCACTACGCTGCCAGCTTTTTCTGCCATCACTACATTACCCGTTCTTTTGGAATTGATAGGTTGCGGCTTTTGCCTTAGTCAAGCGTCTTGCAAGCAGATTTTGGTCAGTTGGTAATGATCCCCGCTTCTAGTCCCCAAAAAAGCTTGCGTTACTGTGTAATCTACTTAAAAAGTCCTGGACCCTAAATCGGAGGGCGAGGGGCGGGGTCTAAAATCTGGAGTGATTACCTCCTGCGATCATCTCTGGATAGTCGCAGGTTGGCTGTTCCGAAGGATTGCCGCATAATGCAGACCCCTGATTACAACCCCGACCCCCCCCCACCCCACCTTCTTAAGAGCCTTACTGTTCGGATCCCCATGTGCTGCCTTTTTAAAGGGAAAGGGTAACGGGATGTATTAATCAGGGGTTTACGTAACCCCCCCCCAGCCTTCTCCGAAACCCTACATAAAACGCTCATCGGACCCTCGAAACATTCTTATAACCCTTTAAACCTCCTATAAATCCCAAAATACGGCTGCGAAGGACTGGACGAAGGACAAGACCTGCCAGCAGGAATGCTTTGTGCCTTGGAAAATTTCGGGATTGGGGTTCAGCGTCCTAGCGCTTCAGGGTTTCGGGTTCAGCGTGACTGATAACACTCTACTGTTGTATACAAATACATATATATTCATACATACATGTGCATGATTCTTCTTTTCGGTTTATGTATGTATGTGGAGGCAGTATGCTTACAAGATTAATCGCAACATCAGGGCAGAATCATAATCGCCAGCTACAGCATTTTGCAGACGTATCTGCAAGAGGACGAGTCGCCGCATGCGTGTCTCCGTTTTGTGTGTGAAGAAGCTAGCAGAAGGCTTGTTTGACCAGGGATTGATATGAGGGGCTGAATGCTTATCAGTATGTCCCGAAGTGCATCCGAATTTGGAATGCGTAAAATCATATCAAACCTACTGTAGCTATTCAGGTTCCTACATATGGGTAGTTGTCAAAATTATGGTCCCTTTTTGGGTGCCCTGAATATTAGGTGCCGTATTATGATAAGGACCCAAGAAGGGACCATAATTTTGACAAGCACCCATATCCCTCCGAAGCAAAAATCAGCGATCAGGCTTCTTTCTCTATTTGGCCATCGGTGTTGAGAGCTTGAGGATTTAGGTTCGGGGTTGGGTTTGGGGGAGTTTGGGTTCTACGTAGGGCCCGAATGCTTAGTAAGACTCTCCCTTGATAGTCCTTGTATCATCATACGGCAATATGCACGAGAATATGTTCTAGTGATTCAAGCCCGTTTGGTGAGTGACTGTAAGCAGTAGGAACAAGCAGCTCTTGTGTAGCCAGAGAGTGACATGAACTCACGCATGCATGCTGCGTTGTACGAGCATCACATGTTCACTATGCTTGGATGTGTGCGCGGTCACCTTGCGTGGTTCCACTACGTCGTGGCTGACATCGATTACACAGGCTGCACTTAAGCTCTAGCCGCTAGCATGCAGTGTTCACGGATCGTTTTCGGAGAAGTACCCTTCTGTGATGCGCCAGGCTCTGACAACTCCAGAAGCCCATCAGCAAAGTCTTACAACGGCTATATCCATCGGTTCATCTGTGCACACACCCACACATGCGTGCAAACATACACATACATTTTACCTCCAGGCGGGATCCCCAACCTGTGACAGACCAACACGGGGCCAGTGACGACCACGACAACCAGGAGACCACCTCTTGAGACCAGCAGGGCACTCCTGAAATTTTTTCCCCCAGCCCAAAGGGTCCAAGTATCATTATGGTATATACTTAGACCCCCAAAATACCCTATAAGTATATACCATAATGATACTTGGACCCTTTGGGCAAGTACTGGCGGGTAGAGGAGCAACACGAAAGCGCATTCTCCCGATCACTGGCAGGTTTCCGCCCTATGCTTGGCCGCCTCAGCTTGTGGGATCCAGAGGAACACCCAAGCTCCTCCCCCGAGTACTGCCCCGATCCAAGGCTTTCGAGAGCCAAAAAAAGGGTCCACGCCGTATTAAAGTATGTGCCATTCCCAAAGGCTCCATGTACCTTTATAGTAGATACTTAAGCCCCAAAGTAGTCCCTATATAGGTACTTATAGTAGATACTTAAGCCCCAAAGTAGTCCCTATATAGGTACTTTAAGGCCTAAGTATAATATGGGCACATGGAGCCTTAGGGATTGATCCTGCTCCCCGGACCGCAGGGCCGCACGGAATCCTAATAGGACATCATCGGAAACCCAAAGGGTCCAAGTATCATTATGGTATATACTTATAGGGTTTTTTGGGGGTCTAAGTATATACTATAATGATACTTGGACCCTTTGGGAAACTATGCAGCACACCACGGCAGGAGACGCGCACCGCGAGCATCCTGTGTAAGTAATGGGACGCGGGACGCGAATTGAACAGGACTCGGGGGAGCTTCTCTTCGGCAGTGACACGCTCAGCTCTCCTTACTATGTCTACTCTTCAATGCAAAAATCCCATAGTGTCATCACGCTGTTCGGGAAACATGACGGCATCTCATAGTAGTTATTGATATTCCTTCCTGATGGTTCTTGCAGTGTTTGGTCAAAAGACGTACCGATACGCAATGATACGCATTTCGAGAGGCCATGCTGCAGACCACTCAGAAATCGAAAACGCTTAGCAGGCGACGACCCAGACCCAAAACCTCGGACGTTCATAAGTGTCTTTCTTAGCGCTTTCCCGACTTTCCGGGATGAATTCCCGCAAGGTCTCACAATCTTCCTTTGCAGTTGGATATGGATGTCAAAGCTTTCACAAAGATCCGGTCTGAAAGAGATTCTGAATTGCTACTGCCTTGGCCCTACGCTTCGCTGCAGCATGGTGGCTGTTCTTTCTTTGTTCAAGTACAAGATTCGGCCATGAACACATTGACCCGAAGTCACCAATGTGTCTAGTGGGAATCCAAGCAGGTGTCAGCAGCCATGCTGCTTGTCTCGCCTGACGGAGCATGGCGGCGGGCAGCGGCATCGCGATTGGCAGCTTGTAGTAGTTGATTTGGCACAGAAGGTACCAGGAAGTGCGAACGAGAAAGTTTTTCGAGAAGCGATCATTGCCTGCGGAAGATCTCGACAGTGGCAGGCATCCCTCCACATTTTATCGAGCACGTTCTCGCGCAGCCAAGCCGCTAGCGTCTACAGCTTCAATGCCGCGATAACGGCTTGCGGACGTGGATACAAGTGGCAGCATGCGCTGGCACTGCTTCTGCGAATGGAAACATTCCGAACTCAGCCAAATGTAGTCAGCTACAATGCTGGCATCAGTGCCTGTGAGAAAGGTGGCGAGTGGCAGATGGCACTGTACTTGCTGTCGCAGATGCCGGCAGTCGGAGTTCTGCCGAACGTGATTAGTTTCAGTGCAGGCATGAGTGCCTGTGAGAAAAGTGCCAAGTGGCAGGCGGCACTGTTTTTGCTGTCGCAGATGCCGGCAGCGGGACTGCTGCCGAATGAGATCAGTTTCAGTGCAGGCATCAGTGCCTGTGAGAAAGGTGGCGAGTGGCAGATGGCACTGTACTTGCTGTCGCAGATGCCGGCAGCGGGAGTGGTGCCGAATGAGATTAGTTTCAATGCTGGCATCAGTGCCTGTGAGAAAGGTGGCGAGTGGCAGATGGCATTGTACTTGCTGTCGCAGATGCCGGCAGCCGGAGTGGTGCCGAATGATATCAGTTTCAATGCTGGCATCAGTGCCTGTGAGAAAGGTGGCGAGTGGCAGATGGCATTGTGCGTGCTGTCGCAGATGCCGGCAGCCGGGGTTGTCCCGGATCAGATCAGTTTCAATGCGGGCATTAGTGCTTGTGAGAAAGGTGGCAAATGGCAGATGGCACTGTATGTGCTGTCGCAGATGGCGGCAGCCGAAGTTGTCCCGGATCAAATCAGTTTCAATGCTGGCATTAGTGCCTGTGAGAAAGGTGGCGAGTGGCAGATGGCACTGTACGTGCTGTCGCAGATGGCGGCAGCTGAAGTTGTCCCGGGTCAGATCAGTTTCAGTGCAGGCATCAGTGCCTGTGAGAAAGGTGGCGAGTGGCAGATGGCGCTGTACTTGCTGTCACACATGTGGGCAGCCGGGGTTGTCCCGGATCAGATCAGCTTCAATGCTGGAATCAGTGCATGTGAGAAAGGCGGCGAGTGGCAGATTGCATTTTATTTGCTGTCGCAGATGCCTTTGGCCAGAGTTGTGCAGGATGAGATCAGCTTCAGTGCTGGCATCAGTGCCTGCGAGAAAGGTGGCCAGTGGCAGAGGGCACTGTACTTGCTGTCACACATGTGGGCAGCCGGGGTTGTCCTGGATCAGATCAGCTTCAGTGCAGGCATCAGTGCCTGTGAGAAACGTGGCGAGTGGCAGATGGCACTGTACTTGCTGTCGCAGATGCCGGCCGCCGGAGTGGTGCCGAATGAGATTAGTTTCAATGCTGGCATCAGTGCATGTGAGAAAGGTGGCGAGTGGCAGATGGCATTGTACTTGCTGTCACAGATGCCTTCGGCTAGAGTGGTGCCGACTGAGATCAGCTTCAATGCTGGCATCAGTGCTTGTGAGAAAGGCGGCGAGTGGCAGATGGCACTGTACTTGCTGTCACAGATGCCTTCGACCAGATTTGTGCCGAATGAGATCACCTACAGTGCAGGCATCAGTGCCTGTGAGAAAGGTTGCGAGTGGCAGATGGCACTGTACTTGCTGTCGCAGATGCCGGCAGCCGGAGTTGAGCCGAGTGAGATATGCTTCGGTGCTTGCATCAAATCCTGTGGCGCAGCCCGCATGTGGGAGCTGGCCTTGTACCTTTTTGCATCGATAAGAGTGAAGCAGCTGCAGCCAGATGTATCTTCGTATGGGCAAGCCATAGATGCTACTTTGCCCGAGGTGGTCAGTTTTCAGCTTTTCGATCAAGCCATGCAGGGCCAGACGTGGCCAGGCATGTTGAAGAGAGGCGGAGCTTGGCTTGATGTGCATGACCACTCCTGTGGTTCAGCGATGCTTGCGGTGTCATGGTGGCTCGCAGAGGTCGTCCCGAAGCAGCTTTCCAGGTTACCGACAGAGGAATCGATATCGCTCGCGGTTATCACAGGCTGGGGAAAGTCCCGCATGCCCTGGCAACCTGCTGGCTCCGATCTCCAGGTTTCGGTCCGCAGACTCTTGGATGAACGTGCTATCCCGTGCAAGATCCATCCTCAAAATCGCGGCCGTTTGCAGCTCGATCTTCGATGAATAGACCCACGGCAGCTTCGTGCACTGTACCCATCCTCAGCGACATCACCGAGACAATGGCTGCAGTCTCGTACTGGAACCCTAAACCCTAAACCCCCAAACACCCTTAAACTCCAGTCGTGCGTGCGATTCGGCTGGCCAAGCGGAGCAAGCGATCGGCGGCGACCCTTCAGATCAAGGACCCAGGAACCCAGAGACTTCCGTATCCTGAATTAATGAAAATCATCTTAAGTTATAGTAGGATTCCCCCTTTTTAAGGAATATTCCTCAGTTAGAGGATATTGGAGTCTCTGGGAAGCGACGTGACCACCCCGGATCGCCTGTGCAGGTCAGAGACTTTCATTTTTCGCGATGCTCCTGTTGTGTGACAATGCGAGTCTGTGATTCTCACTTCTGAAACCGACCCTCGAGCGTCAAACTGTGTCGGAAACGAAAGCATCATAAAACTAAAAAGGCATGGGTTGTGAATTCGTCCTACCCTTTAAGATTTAGGGCTTAAGGCAGCTAAGCAGCGCAGTACCCGAGCCCTAACCGAATCCTTACCAGACCGTTTAAATCTCTGAAGGAACCTTAATCCATAAGCCCCCCAAGGCCACACGCATACTACACAAAGTAAAGTTAACTGATTGCTAGCTTGCCCACAAGCCCTGCAGTTGTATGTCTTCAGGTCGGTTTTGCGGAAGTATTTCTAGGTTCCTGAGTAGTGCCCTTTTGCTTAATTATTGGGTTCCAGTATTACAACTAAATGGTACGAAAAGGGTACCCTTACTACGAAGGGGCTGCCGAAAAAGGTCTGCTCCGGAACCCAGATCTCCACCATACACCTTTTTCGTGCAAGGATGGCGGATACCGGTACGGATCCGATGACTGTTCGCCGGGCTGGCCCAACTTCAACTTCGCTGGCTATCTCTGCCCCTCGCCTGTCGACTTCGAGGTCCTCTCAGAAAGGAGTACAGTGAACCCCATAAACTTGGAAACCGGATTAAGGCCAAATAGTGCTGGGATTCCCTAAACATGACTCTTAAGGATTGAGGCTATTGGGTTTCCAACTTTCTGGCTTCTACTGTATTCCCCAACCCGGAGCTCTCATGTAATATGGAGGTCTCGACAACTGTCATGAGTACTTGCATCCTGCGACTGCAGTAGGTAGCTAGGCATTCCGAGTTGAACCTTTCAGAACTCCCCTTCAACCTGGAAATCCTAAACCCTAAGCCCTAAAATCTAAGAAGCACGAAGCCGGATAGAGAGCTCGGGGCTTGCATTTTGTTTTCTGCAAGTTTGCGAGATGTGGAGGGTTTCGGAGCAGCGGCTCGGGACACCGAATCGTATTCTGACGCGTAGGCCTACCTCTAGTCTCCATTGTAGTTCCTTTTGGGGGGTTACCTTTTTGGATCTTTAATACAAAATTGGTTGAACCAGAACTACAATGGAGACTATAGGTAGGTTTAGGGTTTCGGTTTAGGGTTTATAGAGCCTGGGGTTTAGGATTTGCGGTTTGATCTAAACTCTCGATCCCGGGCCTGCGGGAGTTCAGTTCACATGTGCCTGAGCCTAACCCTAAACCCTAAATCCTAAACCCTAATTCTACCCCAAGGTCTGCTCTTACGGAGCGTAATGTGACAGTAATGCAGGCCATGCAGGCCCTTGATTAGTAACAGCCATCCTCGCCTTTAAGGGTTCTGTAAAGGGCTCCCTTAAAGGCTCCCCCAAAGGTTCTGTTAAGTGCTCCTTTGCAGGGGTATTTAAAGATAGAGGGCATTCATCAGAGGTCTGCAATACATGCCTCAACTACGATTAGTGGCACGGACAGATATGGTAACCGTGTTCATGGGAACACGCAGCATGCCGTGCCATCCATGACTGGCAGTTTGACAGATCCTGGGTTCAGAGGTCTACATTTGTTGCAACCTCTCCGTCGAACATCTTTGTAGGATAGAACCTCTCGACAGCAAGGCTCTGTGGTGCCTGCCGCAGCCGTCGGGAGCCAAATCGAGCTCTCTGTAGATGCAGCATGCGAGGATATTGGCGGGGACGGGCGGGGGGAGCGGGATAGCCTGCGGGTTGTGCTAAGACCGCTAGGAGTGTCGTGGCAAAATCGATCGCGCTCAAGTGACTTGCCGTTGTGGTCCAAACCTGCCAACACGGCATGTGGCATTCGTGCGATTTCGTGCCCAGCCTACCTGAACAAAGCTACAGTCATTGTTTAACAGCTTTAGTACGAAGGATGTGCGCTTCGCCTTAGACATGCTTGGCTTGCTGGAACGGCTGAAGCAAACGAAAGCTTGTTTGCATCAATAGGGTTACATACAGAGCACATATACATACCTACATGATACACGCATACACACACATACACGCATACACATCTACGCACTATAAACGTATGTGATCATGTATGTATGTTCACATACATGTCCGCTGTCAACTGAAGGGGCTATCATGAAATATATAGAGAATCAAATAAACAGATAAACAAAAGATTATAGGTATATGTATGTATGTAAACACACACACACACAGATAGATAGATAGATAGATGGATAGGCGTATAGACAGATGTACAGATCGGTAGATAGCTTGCTAGCTAGCTACGTAGATAGATAGAAAGGTACTGTAGAGAGACAGATAGATAGCAAATGTATGGTTTAATCAACATAAAACCCTCTAGTATCCAGGATTTCTCGCCCGGGCAGAGTTTAGCGGAAACACAACTCCTCAGCCGCAACGTTGGCCTAAACTCAAGCTGCTGCGTGGTGAGGACAAGATCGTGATGTTGAATCCCGGCTTGTATGTCCCCGGCCTCGCAGACGTAGAGGCCTGAATAGCTTTGAGGGTGTAGAGTGTTTCTTTTCTTGTGCAGGGGTCGAGAGATTTTGAGGGAGGGGCAACCAGACCCTCATACACCAGGACCATAGAAACCCAGAAAAGCCCTTACAGGTCCCGACAAGCCCGGATAAACTCGAGGAAGAGCCCCATAAATCCCTGAAGCATCTTAAGTTGAGGGTTTAAGGGTTTAGGCTTTAAAGCCGCGTAAATCCTTGAAGCCTCCTAGTTCAGGGTCTTAACACCCAGAACACTGAAAACCTGGAAAACCTTCAATCTCGAGGGTGGCTTTCAGAGCGTGCGCCCGTCGGTTATCGTGCTCCAGCAGCCGCCATCGACTTGCGACCTTCAGGACGGGGCAGGGTCTGGGGTTTATACAGTATGGTTAACCCTAAACCCCAAACGACAAATCCACGGCTTAGGGCTTTTGGGGGTTTAGGAATTCAGGATGTGGTGACCGACCGTGCGCGGATTTAGGATTTAATCGGGTGGCCTGAGTTAAAGGATTCAAGAGTTTTAGGCTTTATAAGGGATCTAGGGATTCGGGGTTTACGATTTAGAGTCAAGGGTTTTGAGGTTTTCAGAATTTAGGGGCACTACACTTTCCTTCGACTAGGGGAACACAACGGATAAGCCCTGGGCCACATACCCGACATCGGACTCTGTAATCCTGAGCCGACGAAACCCTAAACCCTCAGGGTCTTGATTCCTCTGGTACTGCCGAGTTTGAGCGTCAAAAAACCCCTCAGAATCCATGACCAAGCCACCCAAAGGGTCCATATACATTATGGAATCAGGTCCCCAAAGCCAACGCATGGATGGTCTTTGGGTACCCATGTAAACCCTCCGATCCAGAGGAGTTCATCCAAGTTGACGGGCAGACCTTCCAACACGAACCCCGTCTCAAGCTGCTGGATGTGACCACCCCAGCAGCGGTTTGTGTGGCCGTGCCTAAGACGCCACTGAATGTGGAGGCCGATCGAGGCTTTAGGGTTTAGGGGCTTAGGGTTTAGGGTTTAAGGTTTAGGGGTTCGCAGTCGGGTCTATAAGGGGTGTAGGGGTTTAGGGTTTCTCTGTTTTGTGCGTTTAGGTTTGAGGGATTTGGGGTTCAGGGGTTTGCTTTCGTGCTCGAAACCCACAGTTTCAACCCACGGGTCCTCGTGCTCCGACATCTTGCCCCAAGCAATGACCTGGGGCCGGGGCCCCTTGAACTTGGCGAAACACTGATGCAGGTCCCCAGCCCTAAAATCTCTAAAGCCATTAATGCTGCAGAATGGGAGGCTGAAACATTCGTAGAATAGCACTCCCTTATACTCCCTATAAGAAACCTCTTACGCACCCCAAAAGCTATTCTAATCATCTAGTCCTTTACACTAAGCTTCCCTGAACCCTTTAATTTAACCTACACCCTGAACCCTGACCTGCAGGCCTGTGAGGTGCAGGCCGGACGAGTTTGCAATTTGGCTCGGGGAACTGACTCAGCTTTGATCTTGAACAGCTGGCCGGCCTTGTCGAGCAACTGCTTTTGATTTCCGGTTCGTGAAGTTTAGGATTTAAGGTTGAGTTGAGATCTGGTATGTGGTAGGCTACGGTAGGATGGTTTGGTTTTGGGTTCCACGGTTCACCATCTTGCCACACACGCACACACACCGAACTCCCCCCCTAGAGCACAGAGCTCTCCGACACCCCCCCTGGACCCCCAAATTTTGAGTGAGGAGTTGACTGGGGCCAGCTACGCTGGCGAACCCTGATATAGGGGCTTAAATAACTACACTTATTATTTTTGGGGCTCCTTATTATAATTATAACAGAATGTGCAAATTGTAATTATTAAGGCCCCTATATTACAGCCCAAGCAATCAAGAGTCAAGACAAGTCACCTGAGGCTCAACTTTGCAGCTGATTTCAGAGCATGCGAACCGTCATGTCTTCACAGCCTCCCGGCTCTGCGCCCGTGGTCAGCTCTGGTTGCCAGCAGGTCAGATTTCTTCAGGCTTCAGGCCAGGTAGTTAAAGCATCGTGAAGGTATGTTTACGTTTGTTGTTGGGTCCCTAAGAGTCCAAAGGACCCAAAAAGCAGGTACTTGGTTTTAGGATAGTGGGTATGTAGGTTAGTATTTTGGAGAGTATATTATTATTATTATTATTGTAGGTAATTGGATGCTTGGTCGTGCCCTTGCATTGCGAGACACTTGATGATGGCACGGCAGAGAGAGAGAGAGAGAGAGAGATAGAGAGAGAGAGAGAGAGAGAGAGAGAATTGGATGCTTGGCGGGGGGGGGGGTGTTACCCTGTCGACCCAGGCCAAACTGCTCTAAGCCCTCACCTACCTATGCCTCATCATGCAGCCTCCCTGAACCAAGCTGGGAGGCCGAGTCTCACAAAGCGAGATCCCATACCCTTTACTGTAAACTGCGAAATCCCCCGAGGCAGTGTAGTCCAGGCCTCTCCCACTGCCCTTGCCCCTTTGGGCTGACGGTACTTTAAGGACCTGAAACCGAATAGAGAGATCCTCCGAAACATCATAAGAACTTAAATTCCTCGGGAAATCCCTTACAACAAGAGCAGCAAGCAAACATTGTAAGGCGACTTCCTGTACAGCTCCTACATACACCGGCCCCACCTCTCTTTTTCCGAAGTGTTTTAGCTTCTGCCCTGCCCCATTTAAAGGTCCAGTGTTGAGGCTTAACGCAGGTTAAACGTTAAGCCGAGGTATCTGGGCTTAGCACTTCCCTCAGCCCTTGTGGGACATTGGCCCGCTGGAAGCTCTTGGATCCTTGTCCTGTTCAGGGCTTTGAGGTGCAGTGCAAGCTTCGTCGGTTCTACGTCAGTCTTCAACTAAGACTAATTAAGACGACGGGCTCCATACTTAGGGGCTATTCAATTTTGTTCTGTACTTGGTTGAGGCCAGTATTTTGAGGCTTTGGGTTTTGACGCACTTGGAACTTAAGACTTCAAACCCCCTAAAGCCCTTAAAACATCTTATTTGCCGGCTACATATTCGTTTGCTAAGTTAGGTAGATGCCCCATCAGTGAGTGTAAGGAGCCTTGCCTGCTTTGAGCGAGACCCCTTACGGCCCCAAACCATAGACCCCTTACGACTCCTTCAGGCCCCTCCTTAACCCCACGTAACCTACCTTTTTAAGGACTTAAATAAAGAAATCATATTAGGGAACCCTAAAAAAGGTAGGTTCCTTAGGGTCCAGGCTAGCCCTGAGCCTCTCAAGACCTTCCCAGGACTGCTCGACGGAGAGCTGCTCCGCCTCAACTTTAGAAGCAAGTGACCTGTCACTGATTCGGACGGCTCTCTCCACCCAGGCCAGCGGGGGCGCCCAAACACTTTTCAGGGCTACCGGGCTAGGGGTGTGGGAATCTAGGACCTAGGGCTTAGGGTACTGTTTCGGCTGGTGTTCTAGGGTTGCTGGGTTTGTGGGTAGTTCGGGAATATGGTTTGGGCTGCTGGAGGTTGGCTACAATGCCGGCTGTAGGCATGAGTATAATGTAAGAGCTCCAGCTTGGGGAACGATTAGGGTTTTATTTCGTGTCAAGGCTCCTGGCTTCTCCCGAATCTGAGACAACAGAGATTCCCACAACAAGCGCTTTGTCGCAGCACAAGAGTTTGCGAAGCAGCAAGCCGGTAGAAATGTGTTTGCAGAGCATCGTAGCGAGGGTAGACATGAGTTCTACTTATCCAGGTCCACAGGGGTCTTGTTCTAAAATGGGGGAGAGGGCTCCATGTAGTTTGGTTTTACGGACATTTTTGCCAGCCTGCCCACGGGCCTGATGCAACCTAAGAACAAACATGACAGGATTCGGGTGCTTAGATATTCAAAGCACGATGCCAGGTATAGTTCTGAATAAGGAAGGACGGGCTCCGTGGAGAACGCCAAGAAGCCTGCGAATTCAAACCTTCCAGCTGGCCAAGCTAGCTTCTGCATGTGAAGCGCTGCTTACAACGGCCCACGATATGCGTTGGAGACAGAGAGGGAGAGAGAGAGACTTTAATGTTCCCCGCAACCTGTCTTAGCTGATTAAAGTATGGCTCCTGTATTACCGCCTTGGCCGTCCAGGTAGTCATTGGAAACCTACACCCCGTATTGCACATATCTAGCCTAACATGACTAGGGTTTAGGGTTTGGGAATGCTTTGGATCCAGTTCCAAAATCCGAAACCCGACAAGGATGAGAAAGAGCTGTACATACTTGTTGAGATGAGGTAGTCTGCCCAGGTGTAAAAGTCTCATGGACCTGAAGGCCTGAAGGCCTGACCCGCTACGTCGGAAAACCCATACCCACAAACTCATGAGCTGTGGAGAACGGTAGTAGCGGCAGTGACATAGGACGCACTAATTACTGCATTTCTCTCAGCAAGTTGAGATCCTAAAAGCTGAAAGATGTAGGTTGCATAGAAACCTATACCCCAAACCCTATACCTAAAACCTTAAAACCCTACAACCCTAAACCCTGAACCCTATACCTAAAACCCTAAACCATACAACCCTAAACCCTAAACCGTTTCATGGAAGGTGGGCAGCCTCCGAGATGTCTATGTCAACTGCGCGTCGGTTTCTGCAGGTGCGGTGGTTGAGGCCAGGCTCTAAAAAAATATAGTGAACCTCTTAAAGAACCCTTATAGATCCCTTCAAAGGAACCCTTATAGATCCCTTTAACGGAACCTTTACGGTATAGTAAGCTCCATAAAGTTAAAGTTGGAAGCCGGATTAAGTCCAGATAGTGCTGGGATTCCTGAAAAACATTACTCTTAAGGATTGAGGCTATTGGGTTTCCAACTTTTGGGCTTCTAATTCTACTTCATAAGGATCCTGCTGAAGCTACGAAGCAAAATGTGACCAATTCTGTTAGGGATGCGTTGAGGGGCATGGGGTCCACTGCTGTCAGTTTGGGGCAGTTTGGCTTCTGGGGTTTACGGTTTGACTTCTTAGGATTGGGTTTAGAAGTAGAGTCCAGTATAGAGGCCGGAATACTCAGCCATAGCCTCGAATCCCTCCCATTGCAAAAGCTGCCATGTATATGCTAATCTTACCGGCCCCCCAGATTCGCTTCAAGCTTATGGGCTTGGGTTTGTCATACGCTGGTTCGAGGGCCTTAACTGTACAGATACACGGATGATTTGGGGATCAGCGGGCTCACAACTCCAAGATTTCAGGAAACTACCCCTCGACGAGCGTTTAGGGTTTAGTGGTTCGAAAGGGCATTTCATCAAACTTTCGTAGACCTACCCACATATTCGCAGAGTCTGGCATCCGAACATGCAAGGTCTATTACGGGTCTTGAAGAGAGTGGGCTGTGGTAATTCAAAAGGGGGAGCCCTGACCATTTGGAGGTCGGGAGCGACACCTTCCTGCACGTTCACATCCATGAGGGTAACGTCTACGACTTCACAGAGTGGGTCTCGTCGCATCCAGGTGCTCCACCTGACATGCTGCGCGCTATGCGGGTTCCAAAGAACGGGGCACTCTTGTTGGATGCTCGTTGTAACCGGTACCGGACTTAGAAAGCCCGCTTACAGTGTTCACAGGGTCAACAATAGCTCCTGTTGGATTTAGGATCAAGGTGTTGGGTTTAGGATTTGAGTTCAGGGTTTTAGGGTTCAGGGCGGAATCGGTTCAGGACTACGGCCGGGACGTGACTGCAGTCTTTGTCCTGCTCGATATTTTAGATTCAAGACCACTTTCTGCGAGTACCATCTCACTCCAAAGTGTCGAACAGTTCTGGATGCAGGTGGTTCGACCGCGATTTCAAAGTGGAGCAGCAGCGGCTACACGCCCTTCGTCCCAGTTCGTAACATTTTCGGCAGCTATGATCCGAATCCCTAGACCGTAGGCGCTAGTCAAGAGCGAGTACTAACCCTATGCCTCCAGGGACCTTCTTATGGGGTCCTCAAGGGGTCTAGGGCCCTAACTATGAGGTCCTTGGAGGGATAGGGTAACACTTCCGAAGCCTTATAAACTCTAAACCCTAAACTCTAAACTCTAAACCCTTACGCCTCGTCATGAGAAGAGCTGGTTGGTCGATTCCGCAGCTTGAGCCTCCCGCTGAGCCCTGGTAGCTAAGGGGCGTATACCTTAAGGACGAAAAGAACCCTAAAAGGGTTTAGGGTTCATATACCTGATAGGGATTCATCGTACAGTTGTGTAGGGCCCCTACTTTTAAGGCTCATTTGGTCCTTCAGGTAGGGTTTAGGGTTTACGTACTTGAAACGAGATATAGTAGTGCCCTAAACCCTAAACCCTAAACCCTAGAAGTAATTCCTGTTTCTTGGCTCGCTAGCGTTTGGAACCTCAGCAAGCAGAGCTGAGCTTCCGAACGTGGGCGGGCTTGCTGGCGGACACGTACTTCCCAGCTGCAAAACCCAAAGGCTCCATGTACCTTTATAGTAAATACTTAAGCCCCAAAGTAGTCCCTACATAGGTACTTTAAGGCCTAAGTATATACCATATGGGCACATGGAGCCTTAGGGAAAAGGGTTTACGTATGTGCCTTCAATACCAAACCCCACGTTACAAGCGACATGAGTTGGCAGCCTTATCGGAAGCTCGGGTTGACTTGTCACGTTGAGTCAGCTTAGTAGCTGAGTGGATGCACTTTACACTTTTTTGGGTAATACTACCCACGATGAAACCAAAAGTGTACACTTTTGGGGGCTTATGAACTCAGCAACTAAGTCAGGATTGAAGCATTTACAGATTTTGGGGCTTCTCCGCAGCGTCTGGTTGATTTGTTTCGGTCTCCTCCTTCTCTCAATCTCGAGTTCGGCTGCGGAGAAATAGACTAGGATGCCCAGTAGTACTCTTATTCCCTTTTTGTAGTCCTAGGCTCCTTATAAAGTTACCCAATACCAAAAAGAGAGGCCTTTTTATTCCTAGGTTACTGGGTATCCTAGTAGAGGGTGATTGTTCCATGGAGGCACCCCGCCCAGATCAAGACATCCCCGGACCCTTCAGCGTTGCTTGCTCCCCTCAATTCTGGAGAAGCTTCCCCCAGCCCCCCCCTGTGATAGTGACTATAAGGATTTATATTAGGGGCCCCATTATATTCCTATTATACCACTATTTCAGAGTAAGGCCCCCCCCCCAAAACCTGCACACCATTCAACTGCTGCCGTGGCCTTCAGCGAGGTTGCAGTACCCGGGAAACCATCCGCTGGAGCGCTTTGAGACTCAGGCCGGGGCTGCAAGGTAATATTGGGGGCCGAGAAACAGCAACAGCTTTCGCTTATCTTCTATGGGGGCGGGGCGAATAAATGCCAATATTGTCCCCTTATCTTCTACGGGGGCCAGAATATATGGCGATCTTGTCCCCTTGTCCAACTTGTCTTCTATGATTTACTTCCAAACCCTACTCTAAATATCATGGTTTTCGGTAGTTCAGGAGGTTGAAAGGTTCAGGGTTCCGAAAGCAAAGTCTCAGACGCACTTTAAAAGATCTTAAGATTAGGGAGGAGGACGCTGTGGACGCTTGTTTGTTCCACACGGGAACACGACATGAAACAGTCCAAACCCTATAAAACAGTCCAAACCTTATCCTGAAAACATAAAAGAGCCAAGACCCATCCAGATGCAGCCATGTGTCCTTGGATGGACAGCGAGAGCGAACAACTCGTCACACATGTTTGCCAAAGACAGTTCCTATCAGCATGCATGGGTCGCAGCACTTTCAGCGATGATTTCCCGAAATCATCCTTCTGTGCTCTGGTCGCGAACCTAGTTGTTCTTTCGAGCACGGACAGCCGACGGGCGCTTCAGCACCTTGCGGGCCCGCCCCAAAACATTAGTCCGTCTGCGGATCCTGATCGGCACAGACTGCAAATTGTCGTTGTAGAAACGACACATCTCCTCGACCCAAAACCTATGTGACAGTGGTCGAAGATTGTTTACAAAGAAATTGAGCCCGCGGACCCATGCATTAAAGCTTTCAGAAACATTGGTCCAGACATTCTTGCACCGCTTTTTCTCGGCGGCTGTCCACACCCGCTTTGCGCACGTGTGGTTGGGGCAATGAAACGCATCGATCACGAAATGCCGCACATTTGCGACAAGCTTCGCATGGTGCTTCTTGGCGAAAGTTTCAAAATGGCACATGTCATCATGGATCAGCAGAGTGGCTGTGACATTCTGCATACTCAGAACTGGCTTCAGGAGAGTGATTTTGTCAGCATTGCACTCGTTCTGTACATGCTCTACCGCTCCTAGCACTCGTCTTGAGTCTGGGTCGACGGCGAAATGCCAACCTGCGGTCCGCTGAGGTAGGGCTGCTCGACCAACATCCTTCCGCTTGCAAGAACAACTGCGTTCGTCGTCCTTCAACAGCTTGAGCTTCATGGGATGACCTTTAAGCTTTACTGTCCGTGGAGCATCGCATTTGGAAAGGTTTCTGTGGAGCCCGAAGTGACCGTCGAACGAGATGGCATTGACAGTCTGAGTGGGAGGAAAGGTCAAAACTTTGTTCAATTTCACGATGTGGCTGGCCGGGTATCCGAGGTTGAACTGGAGAGGCACCGAGGGAGATCGTCGTGCCACTGCATATGCCTCCAGTGCTCGCAATAGGAGCTCGCGCAGACGTCGGGAAGACGGAAGCCGATTGTCTGTCTTATGATACAAATGCATGACAGCACCTTCTTGTCCCGGGGAGAGTTTGCCTCGTAAAAGACGAAGGTAGGTCATCTCCAAATACGGAATGGTGAAGGCAGTCTTGGAAGTAATAAAGAGGACACCGGCATCCTTCATTTGGTCGAGCGAGAGGCAATTCAGGAGCTTCTTTTCCGATCGTGAACATGTTGTAACGTGCAGTGTTTCTGCAGCGGTTACAGACCTTGGACGCAGTCTGTACATTCGCAATGGTTTCTCCCCCAATGAGAATAGCCTTCACGTTCTTGTCCGTTCTGGCATAGAGTCGCTTACCGCACATAGGGCAGTCGTCACCAGGGAAGGTGTAGGTCTTGAGAACTTTTTGATCCTTGACACAAGCTTTCCGGTGAGAGCTGCGAGCGAAGGCTGATGGACGTTTCCGGCTTGTGGCGGCGGACGGACGTTTCATGGCGACACGGGAGCCTACGGCACGTGGAACAGAAGAGCAGCTACGGGACATCTGCTTGGAGGCATATGCAGATGAAACAGAATGCAGAGATTGCCCAGACAGCAGCTTCTCATGAAACTCAGACAGTTAATTCAGGATGGTGTTAAAGCTGTTAATATGCAAGATGTTTGCATTTCCGCCTTTCATACAGTCACTGCACGAAGATCCGACCTGGCTCAGTTGTGCATGTCACGGGCTGCTTGCTCATCAGGATCGTCATCGCAAGCCATTGCCGGAGGTTCCATCGTCGAGGATGCCATGCCCCCCGCAATGTGGGTGGGTGTCTCCAAATTCTCCCCGATCTCGGAGGTCATGGAAGTCTTGCTGGTGAGGCGACGCTTTGGAGGAGGATATTGGAACTGGCCCATTCGCCCAGGAGGATTGACGCAAGCCACAGGCAGAGCTTCTGGGAAAGGAACTGGGACTGCGGTCTCCTCGTCGGTGGATGGCGAAGCAGGAAGATGCACTGCAGTGGATGCGCGAGTCAAAGAGCCGATCTTGTCCGCAATCTTTTGATTGATTTCGGCCATGTAAGTTTCTGGACGACCGGCCGTCTGCATAGACTCTATGCCCTGAAGCAGGAGTTCCTGCTCCTTGGCAATGTCTGCCTCGAATGTAGGAGGCGGCTCATGGATGCCAACTTTGTACTTGGCGTAGAAGTCCTTGTCTCGCGGTGTGAACAGATCTTCGTGCAGGTCATCTACTCGAATGCAGTGGATAAGGGCGTTACGATCCTGGGAAGGCAGACGAAGATAGGTTGCACGCTTGCCGAAGATGAACATGATGCAACGTTTCAAAACAGCCATCATGTCGGCCTCCTTGTAGCCTACGAAGAATTTCTTGACGAGATTGAAGAACTCTTTTGGCTCGATGGAGGTATGGTGCTTGTCCGGGAGTGGTTCGTCTTCAGGTACAAAGTCGTTTGCAGCTAAGGCCCGAAGGCCATTGGCGACGAGCTTCACATCCGTGTACCGACCCGAACAGTTCTGATCTTCCTCAGAAGTTAGCCACGATTTGACATCCGCGGGCTCCATTTTGTCCATGTTGGGATCATCTAGTATCAAGCCCTCGTGGATCTGTGCATTGCGATGCCTAAAGTTATCCATGGCCTTGGCCCTCCTCCACCCAGGAGAAACTCCCTCCAGTTCCAGGCGATTGATGTGATACCTGCCGATGGCCAGAGCGAGAATGATGAGCAGAGGAGTCTTCCCAACTCCCGGCCATCCGATGGTCACAATTCCGAAGCTAGTCAGTAAGGGTGCAAACAAGGGGAAGAGAAACTCTCCTATGAATGGCTTCAGACTCTTGGTGGTCATTGGGAAGAAGCGGCACGAAGATGCTCCTACATTCGCACGACTTTTATTCTGAGCCATCCGGATGATCTTTCCCTCCGGCCAGCCCGCAATTGGCGAGCCACTGTCCGCCTTGATGTTCGTCAAGATCCACAGGTATTGCTGGTTCTCCGAATCGTCTTCTGGGGCATTCTTGTTCACGAAGTCAACGCCTTTGACAAGCTCGTCATCGGAAGCGGTCCATGCTGCTGTGGATTGGGCACGCTTGAGTTCCTTTTCACAAAGAGTCCACCAAACGACATGATGTCCTGGAAGACGGCCAAGGAGAGCATGGACTGCCTTCTTCCAGCTCCACGGTCCCTCGCGGTAAGCGAAGAACAATGGGAGCCCGGTGCAGAAGCCCTTTGCTTCCTTCGCAGCAACCTTGGCCGTGAACCTGATGATCCGCAGAACGTCCATGATCCCGTCCTGCAGATTGTGAATGACGTAAGAGACGGTAGCTCCGTGTGGCAAAGACGTCGACGGCTGTAGTCTAGGCGGTAGAGCCGAATAGTCCTGATTTGACAGACGTTCACATACTGAAAGCAAGTTCCCAAACTCAGCGATCTGGTAGTGTGCATCCAATACAAGCACGCATGTCTTTGGAAGGTCACGACGACAAGCATGCTTCTCAAGATCTGACAGCCGAATGCACTCGGAGATGTCCGCCTGGCTATTGTTGACATAGACTGGCGTCGAGTGCTCCTGAATGGTCCACTCCTTTGCGGCGTACTTGGCCATGGCACCATCTAGCAGCCTGTTATGCGGCGACGCCATGTTGCACCGCAAGAAATCGCGAGGAGCTAACACCACTATCTGTCTCGGCTTAAGGGCACTAGGCGCAAGACAGATTTAAGAAAGATTGCAATCGTTTGCAACATGATGTGTCCTACGGAGCATTCAAATGTGCATGATTGCAGGCGCTTTTCGCGGATGCGCCGTGCGACAAGCCTTATCCATCATGGGCCCCCAATGCATCATTAGCAATGTACAGGTCGCGGCTGACTTCCTCCAAGTCCGCTTCGAGCACAACGATACGGCGACGCAACTCTTTCTTCGGTGTAGAAGAAGACGATGAGGATGAGGATGACGATGTAGAACTGTCGCTGCTGTCCTGGTTGATAGCATTGCCGGCGCATTGTTCCATGTTATCGTTCTCGCTCGTGTTCGGGTTGGTGTCCATGGAAACCTTGTTGTCGTCCTCGTGGATGTTCTGCTTCATCAGGTTGGCGGCGTCATTGGGGATGTTCTCAGCGTCCTGGGGGAAGTTCTGCTTCATCAGGTTGGCGGCGTCGTTGGCGATGTTCTCGGTGTCCTGGTGGATGTTCTGCTTCATCAGGTTGGCGGCGTCATTGGCGATGTTCTCGGTGTCCCGGGGGATGTTCGGCTGCATGAGCTTGGCGGCGTCCTCGGCGATGTTCTCGGCGTCCTCCGCGATGTTCTCGGGGCTTTCGGGCATGGGCTCATCCATCAAGCACAAGGGTGCCCCATCACCATTTTCAATCATCTCACATTTGCGACCGCGCTTGCGTTTTGGCTTGCTCAACAAGTCGAGAAAGCGGTTGTGTGCAACATCGGACCATGGACCAGCAGGTGGACGCAACTGCATTCCAAGCTGGATGTTCCTCATCAACTTCCGCAACTCGTAGGCAGTGATTGGGAGACGACTTGGGTGGCAGTCAATCGTACCGCTCTGAATCTCCGTCAAAATCTTCGTGTCATCAGGCAAAGGTTTGAGCACGACCACTTCTGGATTTTCTTTTGACTGCGACTCTTGCGACTGTTGCAATCGCAAGATGACCTGCTTGCCTTTGAAGATTGCATCACCGGATACCTCCACCGTCGAAGCCATTATTCGACTGGGGAATACGAAGCAAAGAATACAGGAGCTACGATGCTTTCAAGCCGAAGCCTTGCAAGGTGGAGTAATGATGATGTCGGGGTTTGGGGCGTAGGGTTAAGGATTAAGTTTAAGGGTCGTAGTGCCTACCCAAGCAGACCCCAAAAGGCCCAGTTGCTTCGCCGCGATGCAGCCAAGTGACCTGACAGGTAAAGCTCTGTATCGTAAGTAAACATCTATAACCCTGAATGGTGAATTATTCCTACAGGGACACCGGGACGCAAGCACAGGACATTCCAAGAGCCGCGCGCCCCGACTTAATGACTTAAAAAATTTAAGTCATTAAGTCAGGGGCCCTCCCGGATCCAAGATCCAAGATTGCAGAAAAAAGTTTCTTGGATCCATCTTGGATCCCGCCGGTGCCCTGACTTAATGACTTAAATTTTTTAAGTCATTAAGTCGGGGCCCCCTCGGATCCAAGATCCAAGATTGCAGAAAAAAGTTTCTTGGATCCATCTTGGATCCCGCCGGGGCCCTGACTTAATGACTTAAATTTTTTAAGTCATTAAGTCGGGGCCCTCCCGGATCCAAGATCCAAGATTGCAGAAAAAAGTTTCTTGGATCCATCTTGGATCCCGCCGGGGCCCTGACTTAATGACTTAAATTTTTTAAGTCATTAAGTCGGGGCCCTCCCGGATCCAAGATGGATCCAAGAAACTTTTTCTGCAATCTTGGATCTTGGATCCAGCCGGGGCCCTGACTTAATGACTTAAATTTTTTAAGTCATTAAGTCGGGGCCCTCCCGGATCCAAGATGGATCCAAGAAACTTTTTTCTGCAATCTTGGATCTTGGATCCAGCCGGGGCCCTGACTTAATGACTTAAATTTTTTAAGTCATTAAGTCGGGGCACCGGCTGGGAACACAACCGACAAGGAACAAACAAGCGTCCACGGCGTCCCCTTCTGTAAGATTAAGGGTCTTGGGGTGTGTAGTGTTGAGAGTCGAAGACTTTAACTGGTCTGAAAGTTTGGGGCTTAAGGATCGGGGTGTAGTTTTTGGTGTCTTAGGGTCTACCTTGGGCTACGGACTCTGGGTTCAATACTTTGCCAGTGTGACTGCCGACAGAGAGCCTACACTTGAGACCCTAAAATGCTACACCCACAGTCTAACCCGTAGACGTAATTAACGTACACTCCCGGACGGCAAGTTAGAACCACCCAGACCCAAAACCTCGGGCACCAGTCCCCCCGCAGGAAATTCCGAGCGCAAAGTTAGAACCAGATTTGTCGTTTTCGCTCGGGGGCCAAGTTAGAACCACCCCAGGGAAGTTAGAACCACCCTCCATATACCACAGAGTACCACATCCGTACCGCCCCGCACCAAGACATGCTCATTAATTCAAGGCATACCGCGTATAATAAACAGCCCGTACCGCCGACGTGCTGCCCATGTGCTGCGCCCCGTGCCGCCCAGCACTGCCGTGCCGCTGTGAGCAGATGCGGGACGGCACAGCGTCAACGCGCATGCAGCCTATACATTACCGCCTACGGGGCGGCACGGGGTGGTTCTAACTTTCCCCGCCGTGGGCCGCCTGCTGTAAAAACTCAGTAACATATCTGGAAAAAGTTTCAAAAACAGCTGTTGAAGCAGGGTGGCTCTAACTTCCCTTGGCGACTTTCCTGCGGCCCAGAAGGGTGCGGGGCCGCACGGGGCAGTACGGTGCGGTATGGGGCGGTGCGGTGCGGTAGGGGTAAGGAGGCGCGGTAGGGGGCGGTATATAGAGGTGGTACGAGCGGGCCGGTACGAAGGGGCGGTACGGTACGGGTGTGGTACGCTGCATATACGGGGCGGTGTGGGGTGGTTCTAACGTTCCCCGCCGTGGGCCACCAGGTGTAAAAACTGATCAAAATGTCTGGAAAAAACTACTAGAAGACAATTGGCCCGAAAGCATCATCAGCGAAGAGTGTTGCGCTACGTCATAGAATCCAGTGTATTATAGGGTCATAGAGTCACCGAGTCAAAAGCACGGAGTCACAGAGTCGGAATGTCACATACAGTCAAGAGTCGTACAAGTCATAGTTCATAGAGTCATCGAGAAATAGAGTCGAGTACATGTCAAGCACAAGTCATAGTTCAAAGAGTCATAGAGTCATATAGAGTCATAGAGTCACAGTGAGACAGAATCATAGAGTCATAGTGTTATAGAGTCATAGAGTCATGGAGTCATCTATGTACCACGCACTTGACTTGATGTAGTTCACTCTATGAACACTAATGTTCAGGTTTAGCGGGTTTAGGGCATAGTCCAACATGACGCAGAAGTCTTCCTTTCCTAGCTCCGGAACCTCACTATATAGACATCCCTGATTACTGTGGTTTCAACGTGACTCTATGACTCTATGCATGGTCACTTTATGTCGCAGCAGTAGTAGTAGTAGTAGTAGTAGTAGTAGTAGTAGTACTAGCAGTACCAGTACTAGTAGTAGTAATAGTAGTGGTAGTCGTAGTAGTTGTAGTAGTAGTCGTCGTCGCGTAGTCGCAGTCGTAGTCGTAGTAGCAGTAGTAGTAGTAGTAGTTGTAGTTGTAGTTGTTGTTGTGGTACTAGTAGTAGTAGTAGTAGTAGTAGCAGTAGTAGTGGTAGTAGTAGTGGTAGTAGTAGTGGTAGTAGTAGTAGTAGTAGTAGTAGTGGTACTAGTAGTAGTAGCAGTAGTAGTAGTAATAATAGTTGTAGTAGTGGTAGTGGTAGTAGTAGTACTAGTACTAGTTCGAACACTCGACAACGCCAATCTGTGTGAAGGGTTGCAAGTTTCACCTCAATGCACATCAAAAGTAATAACTTTACCTCGCGTTCGAACACTCGACAACGCCAATCTGTGTGAAGGGTTGCAAAATTCATTTCAATGCACATCAAAAATTGCAACTTTACCTCGCGTTCGAACACTCGACCACGCCAATCCCTGTGAAGGGTTGCAAAATTCATCTCAATGCACATAAAAAATTGCAACTTTACCTCGCGTTCGAACACTCGACCACGCCAATCCCTGTGAAGGGTTGCAAAATTCATCTCAATGCACATCAAAAAATGCAACTTTACCTAGCGTTCGTGCATTCGACCATGCCAATCCTTGTGAAGGGTTGCAAAATGCCAATCCCTGTGAAGGGTTGCAAAATGCAGTTGAGCTGCGCCCAAACCCTGTGAAGGGTTGCACGGCGCCCGCAAAATGTGTAACTTTACCTCGCGTTTGAACACACGAGGAGGCGAATCCCTGTGAAGGGTTGCGCGGCGCGCCTAAAATGTGTAACTTTACCTCGCGTTTGAACGCCCGAGGAGGCGAATCCCTGTGAAGGGTTGCCGCGGGCGCCTAAAATGTGTAACTTTACTTAGCGTTTGGGCGCTCGAGAGTTCCAATCCCTGGGAAGGGTGCGAAGCGCACTTGAAAATGTGTAACTTTACCTCGCGTTTGGACGCTCGAGGAAGCGAATGCCTGGGAAGGGTGCGAAGCGCACTTGAAAATGTGTAACTTTACCTAGCGTTTGGGCGCTCGAGGAGGCGAATCCCTGGGAAGGGTTGCGCGGGAACCCTAAAATGTGTAACTTTACCTAGCGTTTGGGCGCCCGAGGAGGCGAATCCCTGGGAAGGGTTGCATTCCCGATGGACGACGACGGTGCCACCCTTGGCTTTAGAAGAGAGATTTAGATACCGAGATGTAGAGAGTATGTAGAGAGGTAGAGAGTAAGTCAGAGAGTAAGTCAGAGAGTAAGTAAATCACAGAGTAAGTCAAGAGTAAGTCACGAGATGTAGAGAGTATGTAGAGAGGTAGAGAGTAAGTCAGAGAGTAAGTCAGAGAGTAAGTCACAGAGTATGTCACAGAGTAAGTCAAGAGTAAGTCACAAAGTAAGTCACAGAGTAAGTCACAGAGTCATAGAGTAGTCAAGTGAGTAAGTCACAGAGTTCTCAAGTTCATAGAGTCATAGAGTAGTCAAGAGTAGTCAAGTTCGGTCTTAGAGTCATAGGGTCATAGAGTCGTAGACTCAAGTGTCAAGTCATAAGGTCATGTGCTCGATTCTATGTTTGTCATCTATGTACTTGTCTACCCGGCTCCGCACGGAAGAACCCTTCGCGACGCTTTCGGGAATTCAACGTGTGGCATACTCTTACCGCCTACGGGGCGGCAAGGGGTGGTTCTAACTTTCCCTGCCGTGGGCCGCCAGCTGTGAAAACTCAGCAAAATATCTGGAAAAAGTTTCAGAAACAGCTGTTGAAGCAGGGTGGTTCTTACTTCCTTTGGCGACGTTTCTGGTTCTAACTTGCTGCTCGGGGAAAGCGGCGCCCGAGAAAGCAAAACGACGCCCGAGCAAAACTGGGGCGACAAGGGTGGTTCTAACTTGCCGTCCGGGAGAGTAAACCCGAAACCCGAAGCCGCTAAACCCGCGAACCCCTAAACCCCTAACTCTATACCGTAAACTTCACAGCTTTACACTCCGCCTGCCAGCTAACAGCCCGCGAGCCCTTAAACCTGACAGCCTTTCTGCGCTTTCGTGCCTGAAGGACCGGTCATGTGGCTTAACGGCTTGACGACTATAAGGTTTCTTTAAAACTGTTCGAGCGCTCTTGGCGACCAAAGTTCTACCTGGAAAACCTGGTAGCCTGAAATAATAGGCAACCGACGAAAGTCGCTTCTGATGTGTTGGATTTCTCAGCAGTGACGCTTTTTGTTTGGGGAACTGCACTGGGAATCGATTCAATCGAGAATATTCGTGTCGAAATGTTCGGGAAAAGGACGGTCGGGGCTTAAGGGAATGCAATCACTCGCTCGATGGCTTCATTTTCTCACCCTTCTCCAAGCAGATGCCTCGCCGCATTCACAAGGTACTTGTTAAGTGTCTGCTTGTGGACAGTCCGCCTGTTGACGGTAGTCGTCAGGAAGGCAATTCTTCCTATCCAGTCTTCGTCCATTTGGCAAGCATCAGCGAGTGGACTCCAGGTCCACACCCGATTTGTCTCGTAGGCGTGTGCCAGGGCTTCGGTCATGTGCAGAAATGCATGTAGTTTCGGAGTAAGCTTAAATCGTGTTTTGCCCTGCCGATGGGCAGAGTGAGCTATCTCCAGAAAGCTCTTCATGAAAGCCAATCCTGCTTGGGCCGCTCTGTGGCACCGATCTCGCGACAGCCATAGCCCCGAAGAGTACAATGTTTCGAGGAACTGGTTCGCCGAACGAAGTGCCGCCAAAATATTTTGCAAGTACGGGTCCGGGGCTGCAAGCTGAGCCACATGACTTTCGAAGTAGCTTTGCAAAAACGAGCAGACCGCTCTGGTGTCGGCCCCTTTGAACCAGGACCTGTGCCATGATTTCGGGACTCGCAAAAACCTTCCAAAAAGTATATCGATTCAACTAGCCCACAAAAAAAACTCTTTAAGCGGAAAAAGACCCCTGCAAAGGAACCCCGAGTCCAATCCAAGCAGCCCCACGGGAAACTGATAGTCACCCTTGAAAGCCAGGAGGTTCCTCGTCAAACCATCCATATGAAGAGGTATGTTCTTTGTCTTGCAGTGGGAGGCCAAAAGCTCATATATCGCATCAAGCTGAACTTGAAAGTTGCCATCTCCCACGAGTCCATAATCTGTAAGGACAACCTGAAATGACTTAAATTTACTCGTATATATATTGAAACCACATATACATACGTCTAGATGAACTTACTTTTACAGGTTATGGGTTTTAGTCTTTACTGCCGGTAACTTTGGTATACAAAAAGTTGAGGTTAGGATTCGCACTATATGCTTCCAGCAACAAGTCCACTGCCAGCCAGCTCAGCGAACACACCCTTGTGACAAGTGTGGAAGACGTCGAACCTGTGCATCAGCTCCTTCCTTGTAGATTGTGGAATTCTGCACAGAGGACCTTCTGTAGCCCAGGGGCCCAGGGAGCACGGGTCAGGTATGAAGATCTCCAAGCGGCATTCCGGGAGTAGTCATACGGGGGATAGTTGGTTTCCCCGGCTCGACAAAGATGGCAGAAACCACTTTTGTTCGAAGTCTTGTAAACTCCCTTCTTGGAGAAGTGACGTGTTAAGTGGCCAATTCGAGCTTGCACCGGCCAGTCGCCTTTGAGCCCAAGTGTAGCCACGTACATGATCATCTTCTCCTTGCCACATTGAACCGAGATACCATTGTAGAAGAGGTCTCTCAGTTCATCGGCCAACGATTCCAGAATCGAATCCAACACGAACTTGTTCTTCTTACTGTAAGAACGTTTCGTGCACACCGTATACAGAAACCGAGTGGAATATGTATTACCGGTGTAATTCAAACCCATGGCATCGTCAACGTCGTCAGAAGTGCTGATTCCAAACCCCATAGGAGACTGAAAGTTGATGATCATCACACCACTCTTCTTGAGCGTCTCGCCCTCATCTGCATGGATCTGCACTGGCAACACCTTGTCGAGACGATCGTTGTGCTGCTCGAATATGGCATGTCCAGCATCTTGATGGCGATAACGACTCCAGAATTCTTTGAGGTTTGCTGATCGGGTTTTCAGTCTCGTGCTACCCCAGAAAAGCTGTAGCTTCTTCTTATCAGCCAAAACTTGTAGCATGTCTGATATCTTCAGCACAGGATGCTGCTTTTCCTTGCCCAAATCAATATATGTCAATGGTACAGGAAGAGCCAAGCCTCGCTTCTGAAAGACTTTACCAGATTCGTTCTCATGGCCTGTCTTAGATTGCCGTCGTAGGTCAGAAAGTAAACCAGAGCTTGCAAGCTCGTTTGCAATATCAGGGTCGGCATCACGGCACTCGTCCATAAAGCCCGCAGCGATATTGCAGAGCAGCTTGTCGTTTACCTACAGGGTGGGAGTAGGGCTTATTCGTGTAGTATTCTCTTACAAACCTTATTGTAGATCCAACAATATACACAAACAAACTTAGAGTAATTCCAAGGCATCAGGATACAGTTTGTTGAACCCTTCTTGTTTGTGTAGGCTTTAACTCAAGATTGTTTCAAGGTTTCGAGATATTGGGGTTTATTTGAGGATACTGACTTGGCCCCGAGCTATTCTCTGAATACATGGATGTGTACAAGGACCCCGAGACTCGACGATTACATAGATTGATTTGTTTGGACCCCGGCACCCCTGATCCCCGAGCTTTCTGCAAGGCAGTGGAAGCAGCTCCAGGTTTGTCATCCTTCGGCGGCTTCTTGGCACCTGCAGTGCATCCAAGATAAGATTACAATCAAGGTTTCGTATAGATCAGACATAGCAGCGATACGACAAAGTGAGCAGGCTCTTGATTTTTTCGTCTCGTTTCATGTTGAGGCCCCAGGCTTCAGAGCTAATCGGATCCATTACGGATCCTCGCATACGTAGATGCATGCAAGCCTTGCAACCACATCGACGAACTGTTCGTGCTGTGGACAGAAGAACTTGCCCCCGGGACCCAGTAAGGTAGATATAGGCCGTGAACATTGAAAACCCTGACCCACTGCGACATTGCACTCTGCACGGGCAAGCTACTTCTTCGCCGGCTTCTTAGCAGCAGGCTTCCCCTTGGGGGCTGCCTTAGCTTTAGCCTTAACCTTCGGTCCTTTCACCGGCTCATCATCACTTTCATCGTCCTCGTCATCACCATCAGCCTTGGCCCTGACGTTTTTCTTGGACTTGCTGCGGAGAATCGTCCTGAGTGTTACAAAGTAAATAATTACATGGAGTCCCAGCAATAGCAAACTATGTTAGACATGTTTAAATAGCACGGAAGATATTGCACCCAAGATACCGTTTCAGCTTCTTCTCCTCCATCGTAAACCGACTCGTCCTGAGAAGCAAGGTTCACACAACATTGGGGCGACCGATATCTGCGTGCAAAAAGGCGGGGTGGACGATTGAGCCGGGGAACAACTTGTTCAGCTCCAACGAGTTCGCTGAGATTTTGTCAAGGGTCCTTAGATCGCATCACATTCATCAATCGAATAGGAATAGGGATTATCATTCACACTACCACGGGAGGCTATATAATAAATTGCACTAGGTTTCGCCTTGTCTGGCACAGAACCCGGGCCGTGCTCAGATTTAACCTCAGCAAGCTCATCATGGATCGCCATCAGCTTTTCGGATTGCCCCACAATGGTCTCCTGGGCCCTTAGTTCCATTTGAGTCTTCAATCTGAAGACACAGATGGGAATCAAGGAATCAACCAAGTAGCTTGTGGGTATCAGCATCCTTTTTGGCACGAAGGCTTTCCAGTGTAGTATCCATCTTGATACGGAGCTTCAGAATATCCGAAAGCATGGGTGGGATCCTCTCGAGTTCCTGCACGATTATTGGTAACACGGGGTGAAATCCTATGTAGATACACATGTAGAAGCAAGACAATACTCATAACCCCAGCCTCCCGAGCTGATTCAATCGCCTCTTCTCGGTTCTCCTTAGCCTTCCTTTCCTGCCTTTGTAGCACCGCCCTCTTGGAGGATCGAGACTTGGGGCTTGGGGTGGTTTTGCTCTTCTTCTTGTTCTTCTTTTTTTTGCTCTTCGTGGCGCTTGGGGCAGACTCCTCCTCGCCTGCAGAGCTAGAAGCATCATGTTCATCATCATCATCATCATCTTCCCGTTCGTAGTCAGGCTTCGGGGAATTCTCGAGAAGCGGGACAGGCATGCTGCAATCGGGATCCAAGATCTCGATGTACTGATTGAACTGTTCCTTGTGGCTCGTGCTGAGGCTGCCGACCGTAGAAGTATCAACCCAATACTCCTTGATATCGGGCTGGTATTTGTCTCTCCTGCATCGGGGGAGAAGTTCAAGTGGAATTCTGTTTATCTCACGACAGGCCTCGTCAGCAGCTTCTTTCGCTGACGGTTCTTCGTGCAGTACTTGACGACGGCGGCGATTCTCTCCCTTGGCAGACCGTGGCAGCATTCAGATAGTGGGTCGAGCGACTTACCTAAGCAGGGAGTGTTGTAACTACCAAAGATGGGCGAGTGGCTTAGAGAAGTTTAGTTCGCTCTTCATTGCAGCTTCGCTGTAGAAACCGCTGTTGATCACAACTTTCCCTTCCTTCGTGCTGGAGATGAGGATCTCCATCCGGTGATTGAAAGCATCCTTAAATAACATGCATGCGATGCCATAGAAACATGCGTGGAGTTCTGACGACAGACGACGACAGACGACGACAAACATGGTTCAATTTAGATTGCACCAGGAATCTTTGTCGCCACTGCATGTGATAAGAGCCACTAGCAGCTGCTTCCTAGCTTTCGTACACTTCCACTTGTCGGCCACATCATTCGAAACCTGCAAGGTTCCTCGCTTGGCGGACGGCCGGCACATTCTCCGAAGCGTGGCTTGGTAGTTTCGGAGCTCCCTCTTCGTGATCTGGATTTTGCTTCGGCCCTGCATAGTTAGGGGATGATTTACGGTTCAAGACAGTACCGGGATAGTATTTTTCTATAATCTAGAAGGCACAAAATGCTTGAAATAAAATAAGTCTATATTCCGAAATAACACCCCATAAAGCCTTCCCCTAAGGAGCACGTGTATCCGACACATACAAGGGTTGGGTGAGAGTACATCGTATCTCTAAATACATACAGTATATATATCGGTATAGATACATGAAGATATACTGCCCTAAACTTCACTCTCATATGTGTGGGTGTGTATACATGGATGGGTATCTACACATATATAGATTCATATACATACATAACCCTTATTAAAGGCCTTGCCACCCTTCGTCGAAGGCATCTTGCTGGTAGAAGAAACACTCGAAGCGTCTTCGGATTCATTGCTTGGGCTTCGGGACTTTCGCTTTCTGTTCGGCTCGGGGGTAACCTCGGACCTGGACACGTGGCTGCTGGGTTTCTTCGGGGTGCGGTGCTTCCTGGACTTTTCCATGGACTTGGGGGTGCGGTGCTTCCTGGACTTTTCGACGGACTCGGGGGTGTGGTGCTTCCTTGACTTTTGGACGGTTCTTGGGCTTGCAGTTCTGCCCCTCGACTTCTTTGCAGACTTGGTTGGCGGAGAAAGGCATGGGGAACGGATTCTGGGATGCTTGCTTGGGCTTGGGGAATGGAACAGCTTCTTCTTCGGAAGCGGGGATCGCTTGGGGCTCGGCACCACCTGAGTAGCTGCGGTTTCCTCAACAAGAGCAGGTTTGGCTCTGTATCCCCCAGCAGCATCGGCTTCGGCTGGAGGTTTCCACTCGTGCATTGGCTCATAATGCACTGTGTCAGGCACCGTAGCAGGGATTCGCTCCCAGTATGGATCATTTATGCCATCCATATCCTCATCTGCCACCTCAGAGTATTTCACGACATACATAGCTAAGCCTAGAGTGGGATATACGTGTTGATGCAGAAAACACACCCTCGATCTCTACATTTGCCCTATCCAAGGCAACCGGGCTGCTGTTGGGGTCAACGGCTGGGCCTTCACTTCGAAGCTGGCTTTGTGGAGGAGTTCCCGGAGCTCCGTGTCGTCCTTGGCCGAAGTTAGAATTGGTTCAGGGTTCTAAGATTGGTAAAGGGACCTAGCAAAACCAAATACAATTAGGGGAGGACTTGGTGCTCAGGATTGTCTGCTTGACATATAGGATACATTCTGTACTTTAGAAACTTTACAACATCGAGGCTCCTGGTCTTGGATCATTTATAGTTACCACATACGTATTGGGTTTGGGTATAATGTGGGTAGCTACAAGTATACATGGTTAGGTATATATATATATATAGGGATAGACCGGCATTTATTGGAACGATGTCTTATGTAGCAACTCCATATATGGGTAAGGACGTCGTGGCTATGTAGATGCACAACTTGCCTCTACACCAATGCTTTTGCTGCCTAGCTTCGGGATCAACATCCATAATCAGGAGATCATCATCATCATCATCCGGACTCGGGGGAGTTGGGGCAGCATGCGGTGATGCTGGGAACTCTTGCTCCCACAGTTGCTGGGATCTCGGCTGTGCATCGGTTGAGATTGGTCGTGAAATCTGTTGTGGAGTACGGGCAGGTGTTGCTACAGGACGACGTGTGACTGCATTGGTTGCTGCTGCTGCTGTGCGAGTGCATTCCAGGTCTGCATTGGTTGCTGCTGCTGGTGAGTCAGTGCATTCCTGGTCTGCATCGGTTGCTGCTGTTGCTGTGGCAGTGCTTTCCTGGTCTGCATCGGTTGCTGCTGTTGCTGTGGCAGTGCTTTCCTGGTTTGCCTCGGTTGCTGCTGTTGCTGTGGCAGTGCTTTCCTGGTTTGCCTCGGTTTCTGCTGCTAAGTCATCATGGCAACCCTCGTGTTCATCGTTTGCGTGTTGCTGCTCATCACCGGCTGCTGGGGGAGCCGTGCTAGCAACTTCTGGAAGCACAGGAGCCGCCAGGGCAGCATCTTCCTGAGACGACCAACCTCTGCGGATCTGCTCGGCCTTGACTTTCAGCTCTGCCAAAGCAAGCTCTGCTGCCTCAGCTGAAGTTTACTGGGTGGGGGATGTGTTACATGAGTATAGGAATTAAACAGGATGTTACACTAGTGCAAGTCAGGGGCTCTAATATCTGCTTCGATATTCTCCACTTGTGGCGGTTCTGCTTTGCACTTCGTAGCCATGAGGACTTGCCCGGCCCTACGAGTGGCCCACTGCTATGGGACGGGGGTGTAGGGTGTAAAAGCCACCCTACTTGTCACACAAGTGACACAAAAAGCCTGAGCAGAAGCAGCCCAAATAGTGCGATTTACGGCGTAATCCCGCGTAACGCAAAATTACGGCACTGGCACACAAAGTTACGGCACTGCACGCCAAATTACGGCACTGCGGTTTTACCTCAAATTAGCTCCAAAACAGCAAAAAAGCGTAAAAAACCATTAAAACCCTTTAAAAAGCTATAAGCCAGCCCTCTCAAAAGCGACACCTGCCACCCAGATCACCTTCCAACCCTTTAACAAACACAACACAAAACCCGAAAGCAGCCCAGCTTAGCTTAAAACCCGCAACCCAAGCCCCCCATGGCAAATCTATGCAAGGCTTTGTCTGCGGGGGCCCTTCGTCGGGCCGTGGCTGAAGCATGGGTTGGGGGTGGGGCTTTGTTTCATAGATAGGTAACAGCAACAGATCACTCAAAGTAGAGTCTGCTAGTACAGGAGCTATATATCTATACTAATGATCACATACTATATGATGCAAAGCATCATATAGTATGTGATCATTAGTATATGTATATATATATATATATATATAATGTATATCCGCCCACAGTAGCATTGCAATCGAAGCAACAGCAGCAGCAGCTGCAAGCAGCATGAGTGATATAGTAGTAGTACTAGTAGCAGTAGTAGTACTAGTAGTAGTAGTAGTAGTAGTAGTAGTAGTAGTAGTAGTAGTAGTAGTAGTAGTAGCAATATCGTTGTGTACCAGCAACAACAGCAACACCTATATATCCGTCGTCGTCTTAGTGGTATATATTTCTGTATATGATGGATACGTATAAACATTTATATATATATGTATATATATATGTAGATGTATATATATATATATATCAGTACAACGACGACGGCAGCGATATATAAACTGAACACACATAATCAGTACTATACTACCACCACGGCGACGACGGCGATCACGACGTGCACTGACTCAAGGCATATAGTAACACACACACATACAATATGTATACATATTCATATATATATATATATACGTAGCTACAAGTGGTCGTAGTAGTAGGAGTAGTAGTAGGAGTAGCAGTAGTAGTAGTAGTAGTAGCAGCATAGTGCTGAGCAACAGCAGCAGCAGCAAGAGTAGCAGCAGCAGCAGTAGTAGCAGCAGCAGTCGCAGTAGTTGTAGCTGTAGCAGTAAGTATGTATCGTCGTCGTATAGTAGTAGTAGTAGAAGAAGAATTAAGTATACATAGCAGTAGCTTTCTGGTATAGTGAAAGCAATCATAATGGAGTATATAGTCGTATCGCTAGTATAGAAGCTATGTATAGTATACCATGGTAGGTTGTAACAGCAGAGCTTTATATATATATGTATGTATATATATATATAGATATATTATATAGGTAGTAGTTGTAGTGGTGGTACGGGATACAGTGGTAGAAGACAAGGAACAAGTGCTGGTGTAGTAGAGCATAGTAGCAGCAGCAGGAGTTGTAGTGCGGGAGTGGTGGTAGTAGTAGAAGCAGTCGTAGTAGTAGTCGTAGCAGCATAGTGTGGTTCAAAGTGTGTTGTGAAGCAGTTGGTAAATGGAACTCCAAGCAACAACAGCAGTAGGGTAGCAACAGCAGCAGCAAGAGTGTGTCACATGGCATGCCGTCATCGTGATAATAGTAATAATAGTAGTAGTCGTAGTAGTAGTAGTAGTAGGAGTTGTTGTAGTAGTAGTGGTAGCAGCAGTGGTTGTATAGTAGCAGTAGAAGTAGCATAGTAGTAGTAGTAGTAGTAGTAGTAGTAGTAGTAGTAGAAGCAGTAGTATACTAGTAGTACTATTACTACTACCCTATTTATGTAGTATAACTATACTACTACTGCCTCTGCTACTATATACTACTTTATACTACTCTTACAAGGACGACTACTACTAGTACTAGTACTATATAGTACTAGTACTAGTACTAGTACTAGTACTAGTACTAGTACTACTACCACTACTACTACTACTACTACTACTACTAGTACTACTACTACTACTACTACTACTACTACTACTACTACTAGCAGTCTAGCACTCGTTTGGCGGTATTGCTAGGAGTGCCAGTATCATCATTTGTTCGCACTTAAAAATATCGTCACCCAGGCCCTCTAGAGGTCTTGCATGGGGTTTTGGGCTATATAGGTTTGTTATTCTTATTGATTGTGTAGCATGAGGACATGTGCTGTGCACATATTCATGCGATATTCATGTGGTGTGTATACATAAACATGCAACACAAGGGCATGCATCTTATCCTGATACTATACTATACACATGCACAGAACTCATGCAAGGACGAACATGCTTCAGGGCATCCAGTGTCTTCGGAACAGGTCGCCTACGACTGCGAGTTTAGGAGAACTTGAAGTATTACGTAGTCTTAGCTTTGGCCCTATTCAAACTGAAGCTGTGCACTACTTCTCAGGAATGCCAGCGATCTACTGTAGAACCCCAATACGAACTTGATCTAACATAACAACCAACACCTCCTCAATTTGGCGATTTCTAGAAATACGGCAACCTCTAATTTGCTTGAACTATAGACCCTTAACACCCCCATGCGACCCGTTCCTTTGCTGCCACGAAGAGAGTCCAAGCTCTCAGCCTGTGAAACTACGTGCTAGAACTTGCCTCAAAACCCTTAAGAATGTGGTCTCAGCTTCGACCCGCACATCCTGGGAATTCCTCGTAGATGAACTCTCCGACTCCACCGTAGGCCAATGTCACCTGCCCAAGAGAAGTTGACAGCTTGTTTAAGACAAGGTAGCTACGGCTGCTGCCTACCTGATTGGGCTGATGCTGCCACTGAGCTTCATCCGTATGGAAGGATAGCCACACATCTGCATCTATCCATGGGGTTGCCGAAGCAGATTTCCTAGGTGTTGGGCAATGTAGTTTTTGGGAGGGCTGTTGATATGTTTTGAGGATAATGAAACTCCAGTGCAAGCAAGAGGCTCCGACAGTACCCATTTCCACAAGCCATAGGTCTGCAGCCGAAACCCCAGAACCAGAAGGCCTGGAGATAAACCTCGGTGCGATGGGAGCTTGATTTAAAACTGATTGAATTAAAAGACAGATATGATAAGTGCAAGCGGCAGCATACACACCGGCATGTAGTGACCCGTGCTGCTCGAATATTGCATGTCCAGCATCTTAATAGCGATAGCTCCAGAATCCGCAGAGCCTCAGAAGGGAAAGGCATCGAGATAGATAGAAGAGAGAGAGAGAGAGAGAGAGAGAGAGAGAGAGAGAGAGAGAGAGTGAGGCAGCGATAGACGTAGAGACACCCATATATTGTTCGCAGATATGAGGCTGGTCCTTGTTGTAGTTGAATCAGAAAACCAGGCAGAGGTGCCCAGTACTTCCAAGTCTCCTTTGTTTGAATCTAAAGTACTGTACTGCTGGCAATATTGGTACACCCGACTTGCTGCACTGCTGGGCCTTCTCCAGATCCGAGCCCTCCGTCTTGAAGAAAAGCAGGACCAGAATCAAGAGAACCTGGGATATAGTTTTTTTCTGATCTGTATAAAGTAAGCAAAGCTACGATGCGTGAGTGCATAATGCATCTCGAGGACGGCTGCTGCGGATACTTGATGGCAGAACCACATGGCTCCCAATCACATGGCTCTCGGGTCCAAGGTTCACTATCGGATGATCAAGATATATATATATATATATGATCGTGACATGTAAACACACAAGCTGAAGCTTGACAGGCTGATGCGAGCAATCGCATTCAGTACACGGGAGCGATAGCAGAAAAGTAAAGCCATAATCCCAATCATGCAAAGCAAAACCGTGGCACCTGAGGACGTGCTCCGTTGCCGCTTCCTCCATGCGAAACTCATCGGGCTGTACCTGGCTGCATACAAATGACCGATGATGGAATGATACTCTGCTGCACTTCAGATGACTACAATCTCGATCGTTTTCTTCGCGAAAGCACACTTCGGAGGATCGGCAGCAAAGGGCTACACTACACAGCTTTTGAATGCGTTTGTGGTCCCCTATACTACCCTTGATTGCTGTACTTATTACATGTGGGTAACATGGATAGATTCTGGCGTGAGGGACCACTTGCATGAACCCCATAAGGGAACGTTTGCATGCACTGACACACAAGGTTCTTTTCCCTGTGCATCCAAGCATGCCCCAAATAATTAAGCATGGCACATCATGTGGCAAACCCCGTTGAAAAGTCGATCTAGCTCCCCTGATCAAGCTGAGCACCTAGTCCTCGGCTCGGGTTCGTGGCCGTCCACGGACTCCTCGATACACGTAGCTGGGATTCCGGCACGTGAGGCAGCCTCCACGGCTCCACCGGCACCTTGGGCATCCCAGCTCACGGGCTTCTCCATCTGCAGCCGCTGCCGGCGGCGGATTCGCACCTGTATCCTCAGCATCTGCTGGATCTGCTGGCACCACGGCACCTGCATCCTCAGCAGCTGGTGGAGCTGCTGGCACATCCTCAGCACGGCCTCGCCCACGTCCTCTGCCTTTTCCCCGTCCTCGGCCACGGCTGGTAGCAGGCTCGCTGCCTGCCGTTGGGTCCAGCGGGGCCTCCACGGCATCGTTGGATCTCGCCCTCGATTTCGCCTTCGCTTTCGCCTTCGCTTTGCAAGCAGCCTTGCCCTTGCATCCTTTCCCCTGGCCTTTTGCAGTAGCTTTAGCAGCAGCTTTAGCTTTAGCTTTAGCTTTAGCTTTAGCTTTAGCTGTAGCCTTTGCTTTAGCTTTGGCCTTAGCTTTTGGGCCGCCCTTGGGTCCCCGCTTAGCAGGACGTTTCAGTGCTCGCAAAGCATTCTGCTCCTGGGCAGTCACGATCGGCTCTGAAACCTGCCAGCTCAAGCCATGCATTCTAGATAAGCAAGCTCTTGACTATTGATACATACATACATACATACACAGCACATTTCATATGCATATTAGCGAACCTACCTCGGGCTCCACTCGGTCCAAGGGCTTTCCCGGCAACACAAGGGTCTCGGCTGAGGAGAGGCCATGCAAAGTAGCCGAAGTCTTTCGTCGGCAGCTTGACCATACTTGGGTGTCCTTCTACCATACCCAAGACCACAACTGAATTCCCAAATCATGATTTGCTCACAACAGAAGAAGCCCGCCTCTTCATCAGGATTGGCTCCTGGGCTGGGTCGCTTGGAGCGAGCACGGCGAAGGGCAGGACGTCGTTCGGGTTCAAGGCTGTCATCGATGCGGATGGGCTCACCTCGCAGCTGCCAGTCATATATGAGGTACTATATAGCATCTTTCGTATTCTAGAAAAAAGAATTCGGGCGAGCTGCCAGGATGCAATGTAGGAGCCGGCTTCGGGTGCCTTAAGCTGTGCCGTAAGATGACATTCTCGGACGTATACCAGGGTCAGTTGCTACCAAGATTAGAACTAAAGCAGTCCAAGTACCCGATCAAAGATTTTCGTAGTTCTGCGATCTGGGCATTGATTTCGGCGAGCTTATCACGTTTCTGTTGCATTCCATAGCTGCTACTTCCACCACTACCGGGCAGTTCCACAATCGCATCGTGAGCATCAACATCTTCCTCCTCCTCTCCTTCCCCCTCCCCGGCAGAATCCTCTTCCTGCTCCTTGTCATCTGCGGCCCCGTGTGCGGGCCCCTTGCCCTCACCCTTCTTATCCTCATGATCATCTTCTGCCTCCTCTGGTTCATTCTCATCCTCCCCGGATTCCTCTTCCTGCTCATCTTCCTCCTCCTGAAGTCGATTCCTGCTTGCAGCTCTGGCCCACTCCTTTCGTCGGCGCTTGATGATCTTGAACAGCTTGCGAACATTCTCTTCCTTAATGTAGCAAGCATAATACCGAATTCCACAACATGTTATCATGCACCGTTGACAACTGATTGCTAATCGAAGTAGCTTTGGGAGTCTGCCCCCGTCGCTCCGAATCTCTCTGCCGTTTCAAAGCAAAGCTGACCATGGTCCTTATGGACCAGGCATCAATCCAAGGTTGCCTTTTCTCCTCCGGCACGTGGTTCATCTTCTTGAAGAGCGACTTGACCTGCACAGGATTGGAGGGGTTCAAGAAATCGATTGGGAAAAATACTATCCGACTGATCGTCTTAATCACGGGCCTCGGGCTCCAGGGTCTTTACCGAGATCTTCGGGGTGGACATCCATTGGATGGTTTCTCGCAGGGAGCTGAAGTTCAAGTTCAAGGCATTGGTTGTAAGCAAAGTATTGTCGCCAAGGGCTTCAGGAGGCGTTTTGATCCAATCCAATCCTTTCCTGAATCTTCTCCTCAAAATTGGCTGGGATTCCAGCCGTGTAGACAGGCGTTCGACACGATCATCAGCCATCATCATGAGATGAGCTCGCTAGGACTAGAACACAGCTTGAACCCCAACATGTTGCAGCAATCACATGTAAACCGCACAAAGCCGGCTCACGACAAAATCGCAGGACCAGTGCAAACGTGGCAGGGCACTTCTTGCTCACTCATGTAGCCACGACCACCGGAAGCCTTAGGTGAGTGGGCGAGTCATGTATGAACTATTGCGTATAATAAAGCATGCTCGCAAATAATGCTGCTGAGAAGCCCATTGGGACAAAGCCATCAAAGCCTCGTCCACGATCTCCCCCGAAAGTCCTGACAAAGTCTAAAAAACCCATTTATAAAGTATTGCACGATCGCAAACCCCAAACCTCGGTCCTTCATCTCAGGATGAGCTTCGCCGACATGTCGAGAGCACCGCACAGCGAGCACGACAAAAGAAATCCTTATAGTGTGATTCGGGTGTAAGATAGGGGTCCTGATAATGCTTGCCTTGTGTTGTTCGGGTGTACGATGGGGGTCCTAACAAAGGATTTCTCTGAATCTTATCTATATACCCACAAATTTTCAAAGTATCAGTTCCTTCAGAGTAATCTATGTCAAAGACAAAATCTCGACTGCCCATATGATAGTGTTCGTATGTATATACTCAGGAATGATACGACAATGTGTATGGTGCGATGTACCACAGCATGAATTAAAAGTATCGCATGTGGTGCTTCATGGTGCTTCGATGCACAAGAGCAGCTGCGATCGACCTGGGATTAAGGAACTGCTTGGGAAAAATTATGTTTGTTCAGTTCGAAGCCAGAAATATATGGCAGAGGATGTGGGTTTTGGCACAAGATTACTGATAATGGTCACAGTGCCTGTTCTTGGGTTGGGTCATTATCCGGGAGCTTCGGTTCGCACATCTTTTAAGAAGTCGCCCCGTTTCGTGCGGGCCCCGGTTTTTTTAGCCACTGAAGCGTTCCAGGTACTGAAACCGCATCGCATTGATTGCGCATCGGCCTCATAAGTTGCATACGGCTAGTGCTAGAGCGAGGGCAAGGAGCGCGTTCGATTACTAGCCGCATGGATCTCCCATCATAGAAAGTTGGGATGAGCTTTGTTCGGACATGGTGTAATTATCTCATATCGCTTCTTGCTGAACTGCTACTGTATTCGGAAGCCCAATGCTGAGAAGGGTCCAGACCTGGTGTAGAAAACATGACAGCAAGAAGAATGCCGGAATACAACTGCTCATGCTAATCATAGTGATGCAAATATTAATCTACTAAACCCAAACTCTTACTCTCATACAAATCATGATGATACTAATAGTAATTTAACACCCCAAGCAAGGTGAACAACAAGGTCTTGCAGTACATAGGCTCGGGCATGGGCCGGGATGGGGGGTGTCGGAAGTTTCTGCTCTGCACCTCGGGTTTTTACAACTCGGCACTTCTTTGCCGTCTCAACACTGACCTCTTATCTCGCGAAAGCTTTGACATTTTCCCCCGAGGTCCGCAAAAGTAGGAAACCTAGTGGCCCGACACATGTACAAGGCAATCTTTTTAGGACTAGACCAAACCCTCTCTTAGGGTTTAGGGTTCCTAAATCCTAAACCCTAAATCCTAAATCATCCCCAAACAAGTTTCACCTCAGGCCTCGCCTGGTCCGTCCGAGTGTGGGCCCCGAAACAGCTTTTTTCCGTTCAGGGTGGTAAGGTCAGGGCTCGCGGGCCGTCTCGAAACGTTCTGAGCACGAAGCCTCAATCCCGAAAGAAGCCACCACAACAACACCGCAGCCTGCCCAAAGATACATATGTCCCGTAAGGTTGCTGGTAAATTCTAAGCTGGGTGCTATCATGATTATAGAACCTATAGACAAGTAGGTCATGGTACTTCAAGGTACACCGTAGTTAAGGGTTTGTAGGCTTTACAAACACGTCCCGTCCTCCAACCAGAGTCATGGCCGTTGCCGCTTACGGCTCCAACTGAAGCAAGGCCCGTGATCACTTCACGAACCAGTTTATTTGTTCGGATCATGACAGATCATGTGTTTCCAGTACATGCCAGTACCCTCCGAAGCTTACCAAGACCCTTCAGCTACCCTTGCAAACCCTCAGGCCTATGAATCAACCCTAAACCGCAACGCCAGACGCTAAAGCCCTAAACCCACAAATCGAGAAGTGTACCAAGTGCCGATACCCTAAAGCTCGAACCCCGCACCTTTAAAGCAATGCAGGCAAGACGGACTCGGAAGTGCGCTACTTGGACCTTCCAACTAGCCTCAAGACCGACTCTTTAGCACTCGCGCGGCTTGGCTGCAGTTTTGCGGGTTTAGGGTGTACCTAGTAGTTCACCTGTAGTTCCTGTCGTAGTTCTTCGGTGTCTGGTCAAGTACTGGGCAATCGCGCGGCTGACAGACCCTTGAGTCCGCGAGAGAGAGAGAGACAGAGAGAGAGAGAGAGAGGGTGTACCTAGAACCCCCAACTACCCTCTAGTCCATTAAAGGGCGCTTGAGGGGTCCTGGTAGTTCAGGGAAGTTGGGGAACTCGAGGTCCCTTGCCTTGACACCCACAGTCGTAGGGTGGGTCTGTGTTTGTATGCTTGGATTGTGCAGGCGCATACAAGCGCTTCACCGCCTAACCTTCAACAAGACAGATCCCAATCAGGGGCTCAGTAAAGGCCTGGAGGTTCAGGTTTCAGAGCCCTTTCCGGCTACTTTGCCCATTAATGTGTCTTGAAAAAAACAGACCAGTGCTCGATTGGGTTGGGTATCATTCTAGGCATGTCTGCAGCTTTTCTTGCAGGTGCTTCGCGGTTCAAAACCTAACTTTTCAACTTATAGAGCTCTTATAAAGGCAGTCTTGTTCTGAGAGTTTGCGCTGTTTACCTCATGGGATGTTGGGAAGTATATACACCTTGGTAATCCGGTGCGTGTTTCTGAGCCATCGAGTCAGGTGCATATGTGGTGGTTATAGACCCTAAGCCTAAGCCTCGCATCCTAAACTAAAGGTGTTAAGGCTCTTAGTCCGAAAGAAGCGGGTTTAGGGTTCCCTAAAGGGTCCATGTACCCATATACAGATACATGGGCCCCAATGTACCTATATAGGGACTACATTAAGGCTTAAGGCCAATGTATATACTATATGAGTACATGGACCCTTAGGGGTTTACCTAAGGAAAGAATGCATGTAGAACAAATGGGAATATGACAAGGTACCTTGGCTACTCTAGGTAGGCTTTAGCTGTTCCTAAAGCCCAACTTCAAAACCAGAAGTTGCCCTGCACTCAGAAACGCAGGACCGACAGCACCTGACCTCTAAGCCAGGTTGGCCAACATCATCCCTTCAGCATCTTTCTTAATTTATAAAACTACAGTACTAAAATACCCCAAAACCCTATTCTAGCTGTTAAGGCCCCAACTTTAATCCCAACGCCAGGTTGGCCAATTCCACCTCCGACTCCCAGACTCTCTCCCTTGCGTGTCCTTCCCCTGGTGAAGTTGCCAACGACCCGCTGCTTGGTGTGGCTTTATGGACTCGATTTGAGGTTTGAGGGGCTAGGCTTCGGGGCAGGAATGGGGGGTGAGGTGGGGGGTGAAGTCTGCGACAAGGGAGAAGCTGTCCCTGTGTAGCTTTGCAGACGGATGCAAGGCTGTTGGGTTAAAGGATTGAATTTCGCTCAGCCTTGTTTTCCCCACGCCAACTGGCAACAGGTTGAATAGATTCGGAGTAGGGCTCTGTGCGTCAAGCTGCGCACGTGTCTAATTGGCTTGGACATGTTCACTGGAGCTCTGAATGGGTTTGTGGAGCTCGTTGACGGCTTCTTCGTCGTATTTTGCTTGCAGTCTCTTGTATGAGGACCGCAAGAAGTATGCTCTTGGTCGGTTATGTAGCAGGGTGCGTCAAAGGTGAGCATCGTTTGGAGTAGACAGCGCCGGGGCTGATGCAAAAGCATAAGGCTCACTAGGAGCTGCCCGACGCAGGCAGCTCGGCAACAACATGCCTTTCTACTACCGCTTCATCGATTTCTCGGATCTTCGCAACGACCTGGATTTTGACCATCCGAGCGAGCACAAGCATTCGGGAAGGCCTGGTGGAAAGAAGGTCCTAGGCGGTGCTCTTCTGGATAGTGGCTACTTGGCAAGTTCAACGGTATCGTCAGGAACCTTAATGAAATTTCTCGGCCGGAAAGGGGTGCTGCTCACAAGTGAACAAACAGCCACCGCTTGGCAGCAGCAATCTTATACTGATTATACTACCTCGCTGTTCAAGTTGTCGAACTTCACAACCTGTGCTACATCGTGTTGAAATCTTGAGATGCAAGTAGGGGATATTTTATAAAGTCCCTGAAAAGAAACCCTATACAAATCTATACACGAACACGCCCCAAACCATATACGCCTCCGACTTCTGGTGCTTGAGAGGCCGCGTCTCCCCAGGATTAGCGCATGGATGAATCAGGCCAGCAGTTCTCCTTTTTAGTGTTTATAGGAGTTTGGGATTTATCGGGGCTTGCCTGGCATCAAGCAGTCAGTCCCAGCTGCAAAAAAAGGGCTTAGTGACTGGATAGGTGAATGGTGAACATTTCTTGGTTTAAGTTCTAGCCTTTCATGTGCCAGGGTACTGAGCCCTTCGACAGGACTTTGCAGGCTCGCGTAGAGGGTCCTTTATGGGCTGTACAAGGTGCATAAGGGCTTGGCAATTGTGATTATGGCTGCAACGTTCGGGCTTTGGGCTTGTTTGGCTTCGACAGTATGGGGTTTAGAGTTGTAGCGTCTTAGTGGTGTGGGGTGAGACATAAACATAATCAGCATATTCTCCTAAAGCCCGAAGTGTTGACATTGAGTGAACGAAACGCTCATAATCGCCCTTAGCCTTACACCATCGAGCCCGGAACCTCGAAAGAGCCACGGAAGCCTCTTAGGGCCTTAAGAAGCCTCTGAAAGGCCCTAATCGACCCTGATATAGGAGCCTTAATAGGTAATTAATTAGCAATATTTTGCCTTATGGCTCCTTATTGTAGCTGTGCTATATACCGTAATCTACAACTTACCCCAAAACCTTGATCTCATTGTCAAGGCCCCTATTTTAAAGAGCCAAGTCGACGAGGTGGCCAGGGCACCCGATCAGCTCCGACAGCGCATGGCCTGGGCTTTGTCCCAGATCCTGGTCGTAGGCCTGGAGTGTACGGTTTCGGGTTTTGGTTTGGGGTTTAGGGTTTCTTGCGGTGGCCTGCTGCAAAAAAAGGGTTTCTTGCGGTTCCTTTAAAGGGACTCATGTCGGACTGTGTTTTGTAACTGGCCCCAAAATGATTTTCCCGCGTCCTGAATAGTGTCATCCTCGTGTGCTCCCAGAACCACTTGTCCCGGAAGAGTTGTACATGAGTACAGTAGTAACTTCAGTATTTGTACAGTACAATAGTACACAAGTAGTACTAGCAGTACAGTAGTCAGTACAGTTGAAGCAGCAGCGGTACAGTAGAAGGATTTTGATTTCGGTTGGTTTCGTGAGGTTTGGGAGGGGCTAAAGCGGATAGCGGTCCGGGGTGGCTTAGAAGGGTTTGGTTCGTTAATTCGTCTACCCAAAGGGTCCAAGTACTCCCTATTATAGGACTTTAGGGCTTTTTTAAGTATCAAAAATCATAAATATGGACTACTTCGGTTGATGATATATAAACCTGCATTACCCATAATAATAAGGACTATACCATAATTCCCATAGTGTAGGGATCCTTCAGGTAATGCAGGATTTATATCATCAACCGTTGGACGCTCTGGGCTAGAGTTTAACCGGACTGGGGTGTTTTGGAGGTGTTTGGATTTTACTGGGATCTGGGTGGGCTTGGGCTTCAGGCTTCAGGATGGTCCAGGTGGGTTTCTGGTGGTGTTTGGGTGTGAGTGCTGTGTAGGAAGGCTTATATAAGTCTTAACTAGTATTCTTAAGTGTTCTTCTTAACGATTATTCTTAACTTTTATTCTTAGCTATTTTTCTTAATTTTTAGTCTTATACAACTATTATTCTTGACTAATTGTATTTGGCAGGGTGTTGGAGGTGATCCAGCCTGAGGGCTACCAAATTCCATGCAAAAAAAGATGTAAGTTCCTCCAAGCTCAAGCCACAGGCCTTGTAAACCCCTCCCCCAAGGTTCCACAACGGTGCTAAAATCACGGGCAAGGCTTCCTCTCGTTATCCTGTACCCAGCTAACCACTCGCAGACTGGATGTTGCAAAACACAAATCACCACTCCCGCCATGTTTTGTCGCACTTTAGGCGGCCGCCCGACAAATTGCCAAATGCCGAATAAAAAGCGCCGATAAAATTATTTTAGAGGGCCACGGTCACCTAGTGTACAGTGCGACAGTTTAAGGGTTTCATCGGGTGTGAGGACGTATCGGGTGTGCCTAGAGGGTCATACAGTCATGCCCGGGTACTTAATTTCCTATCTATCTATAGATAGATATATATATATATATATATATGCATATGGCGGCTATTGACCCAAAATCAAACTCGGTGCCCAAATAAACGGGAAGGGTATGACCCTCTGGGCAGGGATCTGATGCGGTAAAGGTCCTGCGAGTCCTCGCTAAATGCTCCAGCTTGTGCATCTGGGTCTAACGCTACAATGGGAGCTCCTGAATTGTCCCATACCCCAAGGGTCGAAGTACCCGATAATCATATACTCTCCCAGATCCTAGCCTACATAACTACTATCCTAAAGCCGAGTACCTGATTATTGGGTCCTTTGGACCCTTGGGGATAGTGCAGTTCCATACTTGACCACGGAAGCCCTCAAGCCCATCCCCAGTTGCGAGAAGATGCTACTGCACCTTTGTGAACTACCTCAAAACTGAACCTTGGAGGAACCGTAGGAGACCCGACACAGACCCTATGCAGATTTTACGCCCTAAGCAGCAATGCCTTGTAGACACCCTGTAGAGCTTCTAGAGAAGCCGTATAGCAACGCTATCAAGGCCCACATCCCGAAACCCCAAAGACCGTAAACCCTACACCCTCAATCCCCAACCCTATAAGCCTTAACCTCTAAACCCTAACGCCAAGACCCAAAATCCCAAATCCTAAACTCTTTTTGTATCCAGGCCTTGGTGGCTTCACCTATTCCGAGCAGCACGAGATCTGGGCCGCATGGCAGCGGTTTGGGAGCTTGCGATAAGGGTTCTCCATGAGTTCTGTCAGGTTTCTTTAAGGGTTCTGTAGTAGCTGGGTTCGATAATATGGGCCAGATAATTTTCGGCTCGAGGGATTTGAGCGTTTCGCATGTTTGCATCTCTCTCCCTCTCCCTCTCCCTCTCTGTCTCTCTCTCTCTCTCTCTGTCTCTCTCTCTCTCTCTCTCTCTCTCTGTCTCTCTCTCTCTCTCTCTCTCCCCTCTGCCTCTCTCGCTGTTTGTATGTCTCTCTCTATCTCTCTCCCTCTCTTTCTCTCTCTCTCGCTCTCGCGGGCGACGGGCATTGATGCGAATTGCCGCCGCTGGCCGACTGATGCATGTGGTCTTCTTCAGTGATTCAGGTGAAGCTGAACACTGAAGTTATGCACTGTGCATTCATAAAGTGTTAAAGGTTTTCTGTGACGCAGGCTTGGGTTCCGATGCTACAAAAGACCCCAGACCCCGAACCCCGCCACAACAATTCCCGAACCCTTATGCCCGGTCCTTTGCGAGTACCCAGGGAAGTATTGAGGTGTTGATCTAGGGTAGAATCTAGGGTCCCAAAAAGTTTGTACTAGTCCCTACATATACTTATAATAATACTGTTGTCAATTCCATTGATGAGGGCCCCCTCATACGAATCTTCATAGGCCTGCTGGCAATATTGTGCAGCCCAGTCTTCGGGGCATTTGACAGTTATGGTCGATGAGTCCGGAAGCTGCTTGTTCATTTCCAGGTGGGAACCAACAAAACGATTTAGGGTTTCGGGGCCTTCAGTCATCCGGAAAAGCCGAAAACCCTGCGTCTAGCATCCTCAAAACTCAAAACCTCAAGCCATCCTGAGCAGCTAAACCCCAATCCCTGAAGCGCATACCACCCCGTAAACCCAAAGGTGAACTGCGACATACTGAAGTATTCCACCCACACACTATTCTAACTATTTAAGCTCCTACAGTATTATCCTCATAGGTGAACTACTATGACATTCTCGTGCGCAATGCCTTTGGGAACTACCTGGATCTGCTCAGAGAAGTGACTCGGCCAAACTTCGGGATCCGTGGCATTCTTTTCGTGGCTAGGGTTTATGGTTTAGGGCTTCGTATAACCTTCAACCTTTGTCGGAAGGTATAACTCCGACACATATACCAAGTGTTGAACTTTAGTCCCCCCCAAGTTTCGCAATGTTTTTCAAAAGCAACAAACACAGCAGTGCCGTTGTTTCTGTCTTTCCTAGCATGGACCAAGGTAACATTCAACCCATTGATGGGCGAGTACCTGTCTTTCTTGCGAAATACGGCCTTTGATCACGACCAGAGGCTTGACCGAATCAGTGCTTACACTCGTATATGACGAGACATTGACATGTCTCTGTCAGCGTGGTCCGCACTTCACGACTTTGGATTCTTGTGGGTGGGGAATACTAAGCGCTGAACTCTGATCTTCAACCCTAAGGCCGAAAAAACCCAAACCCTAAAGTGGACGTGCACAGGCTTTGAGCTCAGAGTGATTGTGCTGCCAAAAAAATACCGAAAAACTCAAACCCTAAAGCCCTAGAACCCGAAACCCTAGAGCCCTAGACCCTAACCCGAGCGAGAGTTGAGGAACTACCCTGACGAGAACTACGCCCGCGAGGTGCAAGCGGGAGGGGAGAATTCCAGACTGAGTTCCAGCACAGGGTTCACCTTAACCCCAAAAAACCCACCTTTTTCAGGACTTATAGAAAGAGATCATATTAGGGAACCCTAAAAAAGCAGGGTCCTTAGGTCCCGCCCTAAAGCCCGATGCCCGTAAGTACGGAATATTTCTGGCAGGTACAGGACTGTAAATGGAAAGCCCTAAACCCTGCCGCTTGCTCATCTGGCTGACTTCACAAAGGCTGAGGAGAATGCTAGGACCGGAAAGCCAGGCAGTTAGAGTCGTCCAGCAGAGGAACAAGGAAGCAGGAATCTTCACCCTGCATGTTCACTACAGCACTGTGTATTTTATCCCCGTCGAAAATGCCATCTTCGGAGGCGAGTCGCTGTCCAGGTGATGCAGTTGTTCTCCATCGGCACCGTCGAACTGAACCAGGAGTGTTGTGCCAGAGATGTGCCCTGAATATATTTCCCTAAGGGTCCAAGTAACCAATAATCATATACTCCCCGAAATCCTAACCTACATATCTACTATCCTAAAACCGAGTACCTGGTTATTGGGTCCTTTGGACCCTTGGGGTTTTGGCCTCTGGTTATGACGCCGGGAGCCCGGAGAGCCGAACCCTGGAGCCCTCAAGCCTACTTGGAAGGGCAGGGGACTTAGTAAGTAGGTTCTAAGTAGGGTTATAGTTGGGGGTAACTCCATTTAGGGTACTTATAACTCTACTTATAACCTACTTACTAAGTCCCCTGCCCTTCCAAGTACACTGGAATTCATAGGGCCCACAACTCAAGTATAAATGGACAGGCCCTGATGCTTAATGAGTCGGTAGTATGGAAGTAAGGAATGAAACCAGGTAGTCATCCTGTGCAAACAGCAATATAGGAACTTCCGAACATAGCTTCAACTATGTCGCCATAGCGAGAAAAGTGCTAAGGAGGCTATATAGCCTCGTAAACGCATCGCAAACCGACCAGAATTGCAGGAACAAGGTTTGGAGCGCAAAACAGGAAGCAAGGCCAGAAGCGAACCCTGATCAGGCCCCTACACAGGTAGCCCACTGCCCTTTAATCAAGGACGTATATATACGGTGAATCTACGTAGTATATACGTTACGCCCCTGAACTGTCATGTAGGGTATATTTTCAATCAAGGCGTTTCGGCCTCTCTGGGTAATACGTACCAGCAGTGTTCAGGGGCGCTCTGTTTTGGGGACTTCGGGTTCGGGGGTGAACCTTGTCTCGTAAACCGTAAACCTGTAAATCCTATGTCGCCGAATGCTATCTACCTGTATAAATCGCATACCGTAAGCTTATACCCCCAGATCTTCCAATATCTTTGAATTGAAAAAGATACCTCACTTTGATCCCTAATGAGACTTAAGATGCATTGCTGAATCAAGGGATGTTGCAAGATCAACGTCCATGATTCCAGGACGGATCATGGGTTCTGGATGCCGCCGGAAACCCCATGCCGACATATGATAACGACGACGCCCGGCTGGACCTGCGCTACTTGGAGGTGTAGGTTTCGGGTTTGATGGTTCAGGTTGCCTACAACCCAGTTGCTCAAATATGGGTCCAAGACTAAAGGTTCCCCAGGACATTGGGGTATAAGGACAGTCATAGTTTGAAGTTATAGGTATCCCGAGCCTCCAGAAGTAAGTGGCTCGGGGGGCCTTCATGGCCGCACCCCAGAAGCGCATAGCAACAACGATCATGAGGGGTGTGACATGAGGGGAGTGTGAGAAGGTGCACTGCTAAAGGCCACAGGGCAAAGATGGGGCATGCGAAGGTGCAGGTGGCAGAATCACATGAAGTAGGGCTTATATTACCATTTCGGTGAGTGTATACAGGGCTCCTTTTGAAGTTTGGTGAGTGTATGTATTGGGTTTTATCATGGGGATACTAGTAATTTTATGCCTACTCTACATGAGTCGGCTCAAGCACTGCCTAGCGATCCAGGAACCAAGGGCTACGTCCCTTATGGTAACCCTAAACCCTAACCCCTAATCGTAAACCCTAAACCCTTTAGGGTCATGTCAATCAAACGAGGATTCGTGGAGTTTGGGGGCTACGCCCACAGGGCCGTAGATGAAACCACGAACAGCATTGCACGTGGCTTGCCCCATCCGAGGACATCATGACCTTCGCCAGCGTTCTCACCGGCTTCGACCGTCAGGAGACCGTTCTGAGCAGCTCTGCACATCGCTTCGTCTCTGATTGAACTGTCGGTCTGCAGTGTCGAGCGTCGCAAGGGCTGGTTACCAGCAACAAGCAAGGTAGACAGGTGTGGGATTTTAGGTGATGAGTATCTCCGATCCTCGACCGCACACTGACCGTAAGCTGAAAACGATTGCATGCATACCAAAGCTTAAGGATCCAATGACAAATAAAAGTAGGATCCTGTAATGCGCTTATGCTATGTACCCCTCTACGATGTATGAGCCGTAAATCCTTTTAGGGTTCATGTCGTCTTGAAGGTAAACCCTGCGGTGTGCAGGAGTGGCGCAGCAACATCGAGATGGTTCCGAGCACCTCTGCCGGACGAAATATCATCGATCCGATGAGGATGGTCTCCAGGCGCCCTGAAAGGATCCTTTACAGGGTTCCTTAAAGAGAAAACTTTAAGGGTTCCTTTAAGGGATCCTTTATAAGGGATAGTTCTTATGATCCGTGTTGTTCAACATAGCTGAATATTGTTGGGGTCTGTGATGAAATCGACACCTAGATTAGGTTTAGGACGATTCTGTGCCCTGTGGGGTTTCGAGCTCAGCAGCTCTGCCCAACAGGTGGCATGACGCCTACCCGAAGATGGACCTGCACGGGAACTACTTGGGTGATGGCTATCCTTTGTGCTTATGACTGCATGCAGGTTGGTTTTCGTGATGAACCTTCCTCTGAGATTTGCAGTCTATAAATTGTTAGCGGCTAGCAGGTAGCATGCAAATCCGCGGCCCTGCCCGATATGTTTGTACAGTTTAGGTTTTAGATTCAGAGGGCACGTTGCGGCACGTTCGGGATTTCACTTTGGAATCCGGCCAAACATCAGCACCCACACGGAATTTTCTGGCATTGGTTAGGATGGTTATGGTAGACTTGAAGCCTGACTTGACCGACATATATTTCGTTTTTGGTTCCAGGTCTGCGTGCCGTCATCGACTGGAATGAACCTGAACCTCGTGCTTCACTGCTTAGTTGTCTTCGGCAAACCCGAGACAGTATAATTACCAGGATCTATGTAGTCAGTGAGTGATCATGCCATCAAGATCCACCGGGCCAGAGTTTGGGCGGCTGAGGATGCAAGCAAGCCGTCATCCATAAACTCGGCGCCCTCACCGGCTAAGCATTGTATACTCCGGTCCAGGGGTATATTCAAACGTCGGCCAAAATACGCTTCATACCAGTACGGATGCACGAAGCTGAAAAGGCCTGAAAAACCGACTCGAAATGCCACACACCTCAAACCCTACAAACCTTGAGCCTTAACCCCCCCGAACACTGCTCTAAACTCTAAACGCCAAACCCTTTAACCCAAGCCTTTGTTCTACCAGCAATTAAAACCTAAGCCCAGGTGCACGGACTTGCGAGACGACCAGTTCCTTCGCACAGGGGCGCGCTACGAGTTCTTCGCCCAGGACGCTGCTGACATGGTCAAAAGAAAAGAAGCCCTGGCCACCCGAAGCCCATGATAATGTAGGAACCTGATTGAGAAACCCTGCCCTTATATCCCCCAATATATTAGGATTCATGTAAGGAACCCTAGTACAGGCCCAAGGTTTCTTAATCAGGTTCCTACATCGCCCTAAATTACTGGCTTCGGGTTTAACTCGAGTTTGGGGTCTTTGGTTTTTATAAGGATGCCCTACAGCTTGTCTAAGGGAGCTTGCGCTACGATCCTGACCCGCTTAAGACCCCGAATGCTCAGACCCTGTCCCACAAAACCACTGAAGGCTACGAACGTTACTGGCGTTCATCAGATATAGAAGCCTGGGCCATTACAGGTTATAGTGTTTTGATGTAGGCCCAAACCCCTGCAATATTCTGTACACTCATTCCGGCCGGATAGAAGGTCCATTAGGCGCAAACTCGCGGAGCGAAAACTTAGTTTTCTTACAGACAGATTCACGACACAACGCTGGAACTTGCAGCTATGCCCTCTGATCTATACATCGTATGGAACTCCGCGAAATGCGCCAATGTCCTAAACACACAGAAGCTCAGAATGGATTGGCCTTTGAAGGAACCCTAATCCTCAAAAAGGAATCAAAGGAATCTTAAACGGGAGCCCTCAAAGGAACCTCTAAAGAAACTCTGAGAAGATAGGATGCCCGAAACCGAACCCTTAAAAGGAATCCTAAACAGGAACCCTTAAAGGAGCCCTTGAAGGAACCCTTAAACAGAAATTTAAAAACGTCCCTTGGAAACCCTGAACCCTAAAGCCCAAGAGGAACCCTTCAGAAGAAACCACCAAAAGCCCCTTAACCCTACACCCACAGCCAAACAAGGAACCCTGAAGAGAAGAAGAATCCCCCCCCCCAAGTCCCTATACCCTATATACCCTACATACCCCAAACCCTAAGCCCTAGAGCCTGCAGTTCGAAAAGAGCCCCCCCCCCCCAAAAAAAAAAAAAAAAAAAAACAAACAAAGAGAAGCCCTATATACCCTATATACCCTATATCCCCTATATACCCTATATACCCTATATACCCTATATCCCCTATATACCCTATATACCCTATACACCCTATACACCCTATATACCCTAAACCATAAGCCCCAAGGCCTAACCATTAAGAAGATAGGATGCCCCGGCCTCGGTCCTCGAACTTCGCCCTGATTCGGCCCTGCGACTCGGGAGCCGACAGCTCTTATAAGGGCTTCTTTACCAGTCTTAGGGCTTTGGGTATAGGGTATATAGGGTATATAGGGTTTAGGCTTAGGGCTTGTAGGGTTCAGGGTAGAGGGTATATAGGGTTTAGGGCTTAGGGCTTATAGGGTTCAGGGTATAGGGTATATAGGGTTGAGGGTTTAGGGCTTCTTTAGCAGTTTTAGGGTTTAGAGTTAGGGTATATAGGGTTTGGGGCTTGTAGGGTTCAGGGTATAGCGTATATGGGGTATAGGGTTGAGGGTTTAGGGCTTCTTCCACAGTTTTAGGGTTTAGGGTTAAGGTCTCCTAAGGTGACTGAGGAAGGCTCTGCCAGAGAGCTTCGCTGCCGGCATAAACTCCAAGTCCGTGCTTAAAAAAGGGTTTAGGGCTTGTAGGGTTCAGGGCAGAGGGTATATAGGGTTGAGGGTTTAGGGCTTCTGTACATTAGCAGTTTTAGGGTTTAGGGTTTACGGCGTCTTTAACAAGGTCAGTTGCTACTTTGGGGTTGGGGTTTAGGGGTTTGGGGTTCCTTACTGTGACATGCGGATTTAGGGTTCAGGGATCCGACCGCTATGCCCAGGGTGTGCGCCTTCAGGGCTTCTTTAACTTACCCTAAACTAATATGACCTACTTTTGTAGGGGTCTATGCCCTAATGTGGAATCTGTAAGGACCCCTCCAATGATGAGGTCTGGAGTTCAAGGTAGTGGTCCAAAACACAACTTTTCAATTTTTGGTGGCTCTGATTAAGGTGGTCTTGTGCTGAAAGCTTGAACCCTGTTGGCCTATGGGTGTTTGGGAAACGGTAGGGGCTCCTTCCTAAGCGATTTCTGTTTGTCATTTAAGGCATCCCGGAAGTGGTCAATGAGGGGGCGCTGGTGTTTTGAGTTTTAGGGTCCCTTCAAGGGTTTCTAAGGGTGTAAAGAGGAATTTGCAGAGGTTATTGAGGGGTTCAAGGTCTGCAGCATTTTAGATGAAGTTGTATATGGTTTCTTACGGTTTCTTTTCGCACACTAAAACGATAGTTAGATCGACGATCAAGTGATTATGGGTGCGGGGTTTGCCAGGTTGGAATTTAGGATGTATGTGAGTCCCAGTTCATTCCTCGTTCCCCTTTCCCCTGACGCGGCCATAAGACTTTCAGAAGAAGAGATAGGTAACAGGAGCTAAACGTAGGCAAAAAATCGCCAGGTACTTGTATACGGTTTCATGATAGACAAACATGACATGACCAAGCAAAGAGTCAGGTAGTTGCATAGCAAAACAGCTGTTAAGCTCGGTGCGGCGATCCTGTTGTGTGCTCAGGTTCTCTAGTCACGCAGTGTGCTTGCCTGGCAGCGTGTACATCTAGATGCTCTTTTGGAGCTAGGCGTCAACGCGTGCACATGTGCGCGCACACACACACACACACACTGCACACACAGATCACTATCGATGTGTGTGTAATTTGCACATCGCAGCAGCAGAGAACAGAAGAGGTTTACCTCAAGATAGAGAGCCATGGGTAAGTTACCTTGGCAATCCACCGTTTCTGTTGCCCATGTGTTCCAGTGACTACAGAGCACATAGACCCTTTCGAGCGAGAGGACTGTAAGAAGACCTGCACGAGGCGGATGTCTGGAATGAAGGTCTATAGAGCTGAGAGTTTCAGGCATTGGGTTTGGGGTATTTTGGGTGCGCGCGATACGCCCTTTCGCACACCTAGGCTGAACAGTCGACGTAGTGTTTCGCATTTAGGGCTTAGGGCGTGGGTTTCAGTGACCGTCCGTCAGTCTGGCCATCGCAGGATGCAGACCAGGCCGAAGCATAAGACGTTAACCAGCAACTGGTTATCCCTGAACCCCGCTGCTTCATATGGTTACATGGGGCCTTTACCCCTAACCCCACACTTCTCAGACCCTAAAAGCCGCAGGCCCTAAGACGGAACCCCCCTAAATCCTAAACCCAGCAAAAGGTACAAGGCGCTCTGCTCGGCTGACGGATCCGGCGCTTGCCGGTTTGCTTCGACCGTGGTCTTGGGCGCGGAACCTTCGTAGTTCAATGCATCGTCTTGGTGCATCGTCTTGGGCTCTAGGGTTTGGAGTTTAGGGTTTAGATTTGGCTAATTTGGTTTCGGGTTGAGGGGTTTTAAGTATCAGGGTTTAGTGTGTATGAATTAAACCCCAAAACCCTGGCTCGAACGCGAAATTTGTCTTGTTGGAGAAGTAAGGACCTGACCTGCCACCAGGAAGAGTGCCGCACGACCCATCCGCGGGTGATCAAGGTCTTTTGGGCTCCACTCCAGCAGGTTTTAGGGCTTTAGGGTTTTAGGGTTTCGGGTTTTAGCGCTTTAGGGCTTGGGGTTTTAGGGCTTTGGGGTTTTCACGGTTAGGGTTTTGGGGCTTTAGGGTTTCAGGGTTTAGGGTTTTAGGGCTTTAGGGTTATATAAGCGTTTTCGGAAGGAGGGTTTTGGAGTTGAATCCCTTCAGGGCTTGGTGCATTGCAGTCCTGCTCAAAAAATGGAGTTGACCTCAGTCAAGATGATTGCAGCTAAGTCGAGGTCTGGCTAGACTTGAGTCCAGTGGCAAAAAAGAGTTTAGGCTTTAATGCGCGTAGGGTTTAGGGACTGTGGTAAGGTCGCAGAGGCCTTCTACGAGTTTGTCCCACCGCCGTGCGTGCACTTTTTCTTCTTCGAAGGGGAAGCGCGTCAAGGCGTTTCTGGCAGTCTCGGATGATCTGCACAAATCCTGAGACTTTCGTGGCAGGAGCTTACTGTAAGGCTGCTGTACTCGTAGGGTACTATAGGGCAGATATGGGGTACTTATTCGGGTAGTATGGGTTGTTATAGGGTACCGTAGTGGCAGGAGCATATTGCTGCGACGGGTGCTCCAATATTCCACCTCCCCAGTGGCTGGAACATGGTAACTGCCAGAACCTGAGTGATGGGTGGTTCACCACCAGTGGTTGCAACATTCAAGGTCCCGGCAGTTGGTGGGACAGGAACAGGTGGTGCGAGCAGCGGTGTGACCAGCTGGGGTTGGGATACGCAGGGAACTGCACCAAAGAATATGAAGAAGCTCATGTCTGCGGCTACCACCAGGAGCCTTCGTGAAACTAGTTTTTCGTTCCAACAGTGTGCAATATGACGAGTTGCTTTTTTAGGAAGGAACACACACACACACATGGGTGGTTGTCAAAATAATGGTCCCTTTTTGGGTCCTTAATATAATACGGCACCTAATATTTAGGGTTCCCAAAAAGGGACCATAAATTTGACAACTACCCACATGTTGTTCCCCTGTACAGTGGTTTGAAGGGTACTCAAAACCAGCCAAGGAGTACATGTCCTACGGAGCTGCCGCGCGCCGCTGTGCTGACGTGGGGCTGAAGATCTGCGATCGCGGCACTGAGTTAGCAACCTGCGGTCTCAATGAAGATGATGCCAAGGTGAGAATTCCTTCGGCTTGAGGGCTTTGGGTTGAAAGTTTTTCGGTTCTGGGATGAAAGAAAATTTGGGGTTCGAAGATCAGAAGCACCTGCGAAGGGCGGCCGAGTTTAGCAGAGTTTGCAGGTGTGGACGCAAGAAGCCTGCACCACCAACGTCACGGTGGATGAGATCGGACGAGTAAGCTCTCAAAGGACGGACAAGATGAAGATTCTCGCCTGGCATGCTGGCACCGAGGATTGCAGATCTGTACGGCTAAATCCCCATGTATGCGCTCAGCAAGTTTAGAGACCCGATCGATGCCTACACAGGCCAGTCTGGAATGCGAGCCGCAGTAAGGTTTCGCCTTGCCCCGGAATGTAGCCCCCCCAAACCCTGCCTTATCCTACATGCGAGACCCGAATCCGGACCCAAACTGAGGATGAACAAGCTCAGGGTGCGATGGACCAACGGCTTCCCGGATGTGCAGAACTGCCCTGCCGACTGCACTACTTTGGAACCCTGGAGTGTTACTAGTAGCGGGGCAGACGTTACCTTAACCCTAAACTCGAAAGCCCCAGGCCCTCAACAAGACTACCTCGAATACCACACCAACACAGCTACAAACACTGAACCCAAAGACATCTGCAAGCGCTTAGGCTTAGACCCTACACTTGTGATCAATGCCTGAGAGCCGACGTGTCTCCTCAAGCCCCGAATGCTACCTAGACCCTGCAACCTTAAACCAAGTTACCAAATGCAGGTACTAGATTCTAGGGTCTAGGAAAATTCCTAAACCCTGAAGTCCATGAAGATCAAGCTGAATCAACCTCAATAGCGCAAGCCCATCAAGGTCCTAGCGATAGGCCCCATAGTAGTTCCTTTTGGGATTACCTTATAGAATTCTAAATATAAACCCCAAAAAGGAACTACCATGGGGCCTATGGGTAGAGCATTGCTCCGGTAGAGTCCTGCACTGCTAAGAGGTTCCAGGCATTGGGGAAATATGCCGACTTTGGGTGCGAAGACTGGTGGAGAGTACCACGCCATATAATGAACAGCTGCTTGCCTAGGGTTCCCGATGACATTTCTTTGCAGTTCACACGTAATTCAATACAAGCACACCCTACACCCCAAACCCTGAAGCCCTAAGCCCTGTGCTGGACGCATGTGTAGTGGGATCCTCGCCTGCTGGTCTAGTTGTGAGTGCTAACCCTGAATGCTAAGCACTGCTGAGGAAAGCTCCTGCGAGTGCCCCATTCGAGTGGAGACCCGAGCCGTCTTCAACCGCCTCCCCGTTGCTTCCGAGATGCTCGCCGTGGTTCATAGGGTCTTTTCAGTGGCTTCTTGTTTAGATAGTTTTCATCGGGTGGGATCTTTTCAGCAGTTTTTGTCTAAATAGTAGTCATCGGGTTGAAGAGGGAGTCTGCAGGGTCTGGAGAGTCTTGCGGTGTATGCTGGGTGCTCCCTGGGAAGTATTTTTTCAGAGTAAATGCAGTTTAAAAGCTTATATAATGGGTTGTTAAATCTGTAAAACATTTTGAGGTATAAGGAGCTTATGAATGTTAAGGAGACTACTAGTAGGAGGTTTTCGCAGCGGTGCTCTCAGATTTGTTCAAGGGGTTCTGCGCAAAGGTCTCACAGCAATGCTAGGGCTTTGTCCGGGTCTACAAGGCTTCCAGAAGGATTCTTGAAGCTTCGATAAGTGAGTGCCTGGCTGAGGACTGAGGCTTTAGCGAGTTATTGAAGGGGTATGTAAACAGTTTCAGGACATCGAGACTCCTTTCCGGGATCTCAGCATGGGTTGCGACCACAGGGGCCTGAAGGATTAGTAGTAACAACTCGTTATAGTCCGTATATCAATGTATGGAGATAGTATACAAGGAGGCCAAACAAGGAGGCCAAACAATAACGACACACTTGCAGTGGAATTCTTTGTTGGCTAATGATGGTAATGTTTCCCAAATGGGAACCTATAGAAAATGAGTTGGTTTCCTAACTTATTGGATCTGGTAACTTAAATTTGGCCTCTCAACAAGAACCCAGCAGACTTATGTTTCAGGATCCAGGGATCTTTGAACTCTTTATAAGTCTTTGTCCCGATGATTGGCCACATTGTTTATTTGAGGCTCGAAACTGCTTTCGTCAGGACCCTCAACCCCAAGCCTGACAAAGCTAAAGCGATCCACTTCCGTCAGGTTATCGGCCCTGTCCGTGGGCGCTTTTCTGCCACTGCAAGCCTGCAGCCACTGTGGGGACGTGCCTGTTGGATGCACTCCAGGATTTTGTGGTTCAGGGTTTAAAGATGCGAGGGTTTGGGTTATGGATGCAAACTTGAGAGGGGGGTTTCGAAAAGGGTTCATGAAATCATCATGTATGCTCTGATAAACATGCAGACCTCTGGAAACGCTCAACCTGTGTTGCCTGGGACTGAATCGCATATCTGAGTCGCACATCGTTTGTTCCGGAGGCGCCCCATCAAGCCTGATTCCCCAGCCTGAGTCCAGATCCAAAGTGAGGAAGGCTTACACTGTAGACGGCAAGTTTGATGAGAAGACTGTCTTCGAGTACCAAGGTGACTTGGCTGGCAGAATGTAGGATTCAGGGTGTATGGGTTTGGGGTTGCAAGCTTCCCAGAGACTCCAAAATCCCTTAAGTAAGGAATATGCTTTAAATTGTTATAGTAGGATCCCTAATATTATTTATGGAATATTCTTGAATTAAGGGATGTTGGAGTCTCTCGGTTAAGGTGTTTCGGCTTCGGAGGCTTGGAGGTGGGTTTAGGGTTTAGGGCTCCGTTTGTGAATTCATGTGGCAGTTGCGCAGTGCGAAAATGTTTATCTCTTCTGCTGATGGAGCCCCTAAACCCCTCAACGCCTCATCCGCAACCCTGTAGAACCATCCCCAAGAGATCCCTTATATCGGAACACTTACAGCTCCCCTTTAAAGGAATCTTTTCAAGGACAAGAGGAACCGAGGCAAATACTACCGGAACCTCGAGAGCCTGGTCTACGTCGCGGGCAAGAGCTTCCGGAATCCTCCGCGCTTTGGGCTGGAGGAGCAGGCGACCGCGTACTGTAGGGGCCTAAATAGTTACCAATACATTTTGCGTTGTTTTTTTGTTGGGGGTGCTTAATATAGGTATAGCATAATTGCATAATCTACTCCGAAATCCGTTCTAACTGTTGAGGCCCTCATTTCACACTAACGTGGAGGGCTGCGGGTTCAGCAGTTCAGGGTCACACACACACACACACAGAGATACACACTCCAGGGATTATAGGGTTTCGGATTTAGTGTCATAGCCGAACGCTGCGCCCAACGTTCGTTCTCAGAAAGCAACCTCAACAAACAACTGTGCAAACCTACTCTTTGTGGTGGGATATGACCTTGCCCAGTTGATGTTTAGGTGTTGTTCTGGGCTGTTGCAACAGCTAGTCATTGCTTCCTTGATGTTCTCAGTTTTTCAGCGGGGGCCCGCTGACGCCCAAGCCCCTGCTATCGTCGTCCTTAATGGGCCCGACAGCCCAATTCCCAGAGCCTCTATCCCCGACAGTGTAAAGCCTAGGCAGCCTTCTTCTGAACCTGAATTATATACTAACCCATACCCCCGAAGCCCAAAATAAAACTCCTCTACTTGGAAGGGCAAGGGACTTAGTAAGTAGGTTATAAGTAGAGTTACAAGTACCCAAAATGGAGTTACCCCAATTATAACCCTACTTGTAACCTACTTACTAAGTCCCTAAACCCTAAACCCCATAGATCCCCTTTAAGGAAGCCTATAGATCCCTTTAAGGAGCCCTTTAAGAGCCCTTACTAAGTCCCCTGCCCTTCCAAGTATGCGTCCAGGTGAATGAGCGGTCAGCCCGATGGGAGATCGAGAGCCTCTTGGAGCACCTCGTGAGCCTTGGGATGAAGTACTTTCCTATGCCTCTAGGGACCTTATTATGGGGTCCTTAAGGGGTCTAGGGCCCTAACTATGAGGTTGTTGGAGGGATAGGGCTTGAGTTTATAGGGTTTACTATGAATGCATTTTAGGTTTAGGGTTTAGGTTCATCAGGGTTTAGGGTTTCATGCTTGATCTGGAGTTTAGGGTTTCGTGTTGAGGGGTTTGGAGTTTAGGCTTTACGGCTTTAAGGTTCAGGGTTTAGTTGCATGTTGCTTTAAGCTTCACTTGTGAACGTTTAGATTCATTCATTCGGTTTAGGGTTTAGTTAAGGCTTCCATGGGTTACAACAAGGGGTCTTCTAGATAGTACAAACAGGCATATGTCGTGCAACTTGGCGGTAGGTTGGTTTTAGGCTTTAGAGTCCAGGGGTACTGTACGGGGTCTGTAGAGGATCCAGTGTGAAGCTGTTTTCAAAAGCTGCACTAGGTCCACCGTCAGTGTCACTATATCGGGGACCTATACAGTATTAATATAGAGTTATTATGCGGAATCTAGAAGGGGTCTACAGAGGCTTGTGGAAGGGATCTATATGGGTTCTGGAAGAGCTTCGGGCTGCAATAGGGCTGACGTCTTGAACCAGGGGCTTGAGTCAACGCAGTAGGTAGACCTGCTCCATGAGCAAATCCTGACCCTGTCTAAAACTTGTAACACAACCCTGAATAACATACCTTTTTTAGGGTTCCTGATTATGATTTCTTTATATAAGTCCTTAAAAAAGTAGGTCCTTCAGGGTTAAGGAATACAATATGTGATAAAAATGGAACAAATGCAAGATCACAGCACTTACAGATGCTGGTGGCTGCTGGGGATCAGCTCGGTCCCGGGTGAGCGTCAAAAGTCCTCCAAGGCTAGTCAACACCGAACGACGAACATGGTGATTTCGTGGCTTTCCAGTGCCACCCCAGCGTAGGGGTCTTCAAGATCAGAGTAGTGCTCCTAAAGGCTCCTTATAGATATGTTGTATATAGAGTACAATGTGAGCCCTAACTGCATGTACGAAAAATTAAGAAGCCGCTTTTGTTCTCGCTCTGGCGCTTCGCCTTTTATCCTTCACTGTCACAAGCACCAGTCGGATACCCTCCAACGGCTTCTCTGGTAAGTTGCGAGCAGATAGCGGCTCGCCAAAAAACCCTAAGCTCTAAACCCTAAACCGTTCCCTGCAGCCCAGGAACCACCCCAACACGCCAACCTTCATCGGGTATCGGCTCATCCAGCGCTTCGTAACCTCGAACCCATCTCCGGGCTACGTCTTCGACGTTGCAGAGGCCTTGAAAGCTGAGTTCATAGGAGGGCCTCCGAGATCCTTGTAGAAACTCCCTGGCGCCCTCTTACTGTAGTTGTATTTTTGTTGCTTGGCTTTGTAATTGTAGGACAATACGGTGAGGCGGCGAGGAGAGACGAAGATAAAGCAACGGTAGCCGTCACGAGCAGGCCTCTACCAGATACTCTACTCTCCAGGGTTTTGGTTAACCCGACTTTTAGCAACGTGAAGGGGGAGCCAAACAACAAGGAGTGGGGGAGCAGACACTGTCACAGACGTGCAACACTTGTAAAGGACACTCCGGTCAGAGAAACTTCCCCCTGGGAACCCGCAACTACGGTTCGAGGGTTTGCACCTCCGCCTGATGAAGCGGAAGGTTGGAGTTTCGCAGGTGGCGATTCGAAGTTCAATTCGCTTGGAGTTTCCGTGGTTTAGGGTTTGACCGGTTCTCCACTAGCTACCAGGAGAAACCAGTTTCAAGCGTGCTTTTGGTGAAGATGACTGCGGGTCTCCTTAGGTACTGCGTGTTGAAGAACTCGGACATCCCTGCCAATTTATGAAGCAGTGCTACTTTTGAGTCTATGCCGGCTATGGTCATCCGTTTTTCCCCAATGCATCTATCTGTTGGTGAAGTCGAGCGGGTGCCGTGATGATCTCTAGAAATGTATGGAATGAGGCAGGACCTCGCAACTTGAATTCAAAGTACATCTCTGACCCTGTGAGTCCTAAACTCGACCTGCTCAGGCATTCAAGACTGGGGCCTATCAGGGCCACACTTTCTCAGGCGCCCAGAGTGTTTGACGGGAGTCGCGGGGTCGGATGTCCAGGCGAGCATGTGGACAGTTCTCCGAGTTTGGATCCTTTTTACGGCCCCAAACTAGGACGGCACCACAAGAATAAGGACTTTAAACTTTGGCCCCACAGGGGACCTAGAGAAGTACCCATATACCTGTTGTCTGGTCCATTGCAACCCTAAGTTATGTGGCTACCTGCAGGAGTTGCGTGTCATGGTCCTGAGAAAGGGTTGTAGCCCCGTGTCATGTACAGAGTGACACCTGTGCAGATGCAAACGGGACGTAGCATCACAGGGCTGTATAAACGAGCGTAACGTGAGAATAGCGACGGATGAACACGCTGTCGATGATTCGATGTTGAATGAGTGAGACGATATTCTGTTTGGTTCTTAGTAAGAAGTGGGGGAATGGATTCTGGGGACTACTATTGGGGATTATACAGGGACTATTATAGGGATCCATAGCACCAGACAGTATTCCCACCCTACACCCTGAAAGGCTACTGCCGGTCTTCGATTTTTCTTCGGCTCCCTTATCAGACCGAAAGTCCCGAAAGCCATGAATCCCGTGGGGCGGGCCCGGGGCTTTTTGAGATGAGGAGTGCGGTATGTATGCCAATGTATGGGTCAGTATATAGCTTGGACTGGGTGAGGTCTTTCTTCTAGGATCCGGGCTACTTTGCTTGAAGGTCCTGTACAGAGGTCCTAAACCTTACGCGGTACACTAAAGCTTGACACCCGTCAGTCCGTGGCTCTCAGCCTTGAACACAATTACTATAAAGCCTATCGATCCAAAGGCCCTAATCCTCAAAATCCTGAGTGCCTAGAAAGACCCGGTGCAGCGCTTCGTGCATCCTGAGACCACAACCTAAAGCTACCTGCGAATGCTTTCAGAATCCCGGAGCTGTTTTTCTGCAGCTTTCAATATTAGAGTTGAAATGCGCCCGAATCTGTAAAGAAGCACGCGCTTTTAGAGCTTCCTTTAGAACGATTGCTTATACACCTGAACTCGAAACATACCGAAAACACACCAAACAGCCAAAGCAAGCAACAAGTCAGAGCTCCCCTCTTGACCCCTAAGTGCCTATTAAACCCACATCAATTTGCAGGCCGTCGCGGTGACCTGGCCGCCACCATTGCAGCCATCCTCCTCCATCCCGAGGCTCCCCCCGGCTTGCCATGCGAGACGCTCCGACTCCAAACTCTCAACTAGGTTAATAAAACAAAAGTTGCATGAATATCTGAGAAGAAGAATTAACAATAATAAAGACAACTGTATAAGAATGATAATCAGAACAGTAACAGTAATTCCTGACCATGAATTTTGCTAATTCCCCAGGCCCCCAAGGCATATCCGAGATTGACAGTGAGCGCCGAAGCCCTATCTCCAAACGCACTTGCTGTGGCCCAAGCATTCAGCAAAGGTCAGGTTGAAAAGCAACTTGTGCTCAGGGTTCCTGAACATGTCGTCGCAGCGCACATCGGCAGTCATGGCGATGGGTGGTTTGGCCGGCTTGGCGTATCTTGGTAGCGAAGATTTGTAAACTTTTGCATGGTTTCATAAGCTTTTGAAGCTTTGCTGTGACTTTGCAAGCTTATTTTTTCAAACTGGACCATGAAGCGGCCAACTGAGGTACTTGAGCTCGGGCAGTGAAACTTTCGCGGCCGCACCCGGGAGCACGAACCTTCGCCAGCAGCGCAGCGCCCAGACTGCCCAGGCGCCTCAATCCTCGGCCCCGTCATCTCTGCCGGCCATGATGCTAGGTCTTGAAGGGCCAGGTTGTCCTTTTGGATGTTTAACTTGTGACTTTATTGGAACTTTATGTAAATTGAATGATCGAGTATCAGACCTGATTGACCAGCCTAGGATGGCTGGTGGCGCGGTCCTGGCTGCTGCAGCGGCCTCTGGACGCGCTGCCCGCTCGCATGGCAGCACGCCCTTCCCTACCAGCGTCATGCCGGTGAGACAGTCGGCCACAGCCCGCAAGGCTCTTGACCAGTCCAGCCGCTATGCGGACCTGTCGCTGGATGAGGCGACACTCATCAAGAACGGCAAGCACGTATTGGTGGCCTACATCATGAAGCCGAAGGCAGGCTATGACTACCTTGCCACTGCTGCGCACTTTGCCGCCGAGTCTTCCACCGGAACGAACGTGAACGTGTGCACCACAGACGATTTCACCAAGTCGGTGGATGCCTTGGTCTACTACATCGATCCCGACAGTGAGGAGATGAAAATCGCCTATCCGACCCTACTCTTCGACCGGAACATCATTGATGGTCGTGGCATGATGTGCTCGTTCCTGACCCTGGCCATTGGAAACAACCAGGGCTGCTGTGCCAGCATTATCAGCCTCACCCTCATTCACACGGGTTGTATCGTAGGTATAGCTGATATAGACCGGTTCAGAGTCGCTCTAAGAAAGTTTCTGATGGCATGGAGAGTGGTGGTAGGTTATTGCTTCAGGCATGGGCGATGTCGAGTACGGCAAGATCTACGACTTCTACCTGCCCCCGTCCTTCCTGCGCCTCTATGATGGGCCCGCCGTGAACGTGGAGGACATGTGGCGCATCCTGGGCAAGGGCACCAGCAACGGTGGTCTCGTGGTCGGAACCATCATCAAGCCTAAGCTCGGCCTGCAGCCCAAGCCTTTCGGCGAGGCCTGCTATGCCTTCTGGCAGGGCGGTGACTTCATCAAGAACGATGCTTAGACCGCGCTTGAACAAAGACTTTAAACGAACTTATTTAATGTTAGCATGATATACTCGGTTTACAGGGAGCAAGGAAATGGCTTGTTAAAGAGCCTCCATACAGCCCAGGATGAGCCGCAGGGCAACCAGGTGTTCTGTCAGATGAACGAGTGCATCCCCGAGGTCGTGAAGGCCATGAGAGCCTGCATCAAGGAGACCGGTGTTGGTAAGCTGTTCTCGGCCAACATCACCGCGGATGATCCCAACGAGATGATCGCCCGCGGCAAGTACTGCATGTCCCAGTTTGGCCCGCTCTCGGAGAATTGCGCCTTCTTGGTGGACGGCTATGTCGCCGGAGGCACCGCTGTGACCTGCGCTCGCCGCAACTTCCCAAAGCAGTTCTTGCACTACCACCGTGCCGGCCACGGCTCAGTGACGAGCCCCCAGACCCAGCGTGGCTACACTGCCTTCGTCCACACCAAGATCTCTCGTGTCATCGGAGCCTCTGGCATCCACACCGGCACCATGAGCTTTGGCAAGATGGAGGGAGATGCTTCCGACAAGAACATTGCCTTCATGCTTCAGGACGATGAGGCCGATGGCCCATACTACCGCCAGGAGTGGGAGGGCATGAAGCAGACCACTCCCATCATCTCCGGCGGCATGAATGCGCTCCGCTTGCCGGCCTTCTTCGAGAACCTGGGCCATTCCAACGTGATCCTGACCGCTGGTGGCGGCTCCTTCGGACACAAGGATGGCCCCAAGCCTGGTGCCATTTCTTGCCGTCAGGGTGAAGAGGCTTGGAAGGCCTGGAAGGCCGGACAGTACGGCAACATCAGCCTGAGCGACGGCGTCATCGAGTTCGCAAAGACCCATGAGGAGATCAAGGGTGCCTTCTTGACCTTCCAGAAGGACGCCGACCAGATCTACCCGGGATGGAAGGAGAAGCTGGGCTACACTGGCGAGTCCTCGGTGCAGGCAGCCAGCTTCGACTGGGCCAAGAAGGCGTCGGCGGCGGCCTTCGTGGGCTGCAGCGCCACAGGGCGCACTCCCCAGGTTGCCCGTGCAGTCACTCCTTACGGCCGGAACCCAAACGTCCTTGCCGACTTGGAGTTTTGCAACGACACCGGCTACCTCCCCGACGGCACTCCCTTGAACAGGGCAGGCAACATCATCAACCACCCGGAGACCATTGGCCCTGACAAGCATGCTCCTGGCTCGCCCCTGCCACGCGCCAACTTTGTGAACTCTGTGGGCTACCTCCCTGATGGCACCCCACTCAACAGGGCCGGCAATGCCATCAACCACCCTGAGACCATTGGTCCGGACATGCACACACCCGGCTCGCCGCTGCCTCCGTCCAAATACGCGGCGGACATCGGCTACCTTGTGGATGGCACTGATATGGCGACAGCCGGCAACCTCTCCGTGCAGGGTGGTGCTGCGCCTGCGGCAGCACCAGCTGCCATGTCCAGCCCCCCGCCGGTTGCCACCAGCTTTGCCGGCTCCTCACCAGCAAATGGCGCGAAGCTCAGGCATGCCGGAAACTTCTTGTATGGCTTCCAGAGGGATTCCTTCTGCGACTTGGAGTTCAGCAACGACATCGGCTACCTGCCCGACGGCACTCCCCTGAACAGGGCCGGCAATGCCATCAACCATCCGGAGAACATTGGCCCTGACAGCCACACTCCCGGATCTCCCCTACCTGCGGCCATCTTCGTGAACGACATTGGCTACCTGCCGGATGGTACCCCACTCAACAGGGCCGGCAATGCCATCAACCACCCGGAGAACATTGGCCCAGACATGCATACACCCGGCTCGCCGCTTCCTCCGTCCAAGTACTCGCAGGATGTTGGCTACCTGGTTGATGGCACTGCCATGGAAACGGCCGGCAACCTCTCCGTCCAGTGAGTGTCGACTTTGCCAAGAGCACCTGCTTTATTTTAAAGCGCCCCCCCAGCCTCTGGGGACAGGTGGGCTCCGTAAAGCGGTAAGGCCTGACTCAATCTTTCTTGCATTCCAATTTCTTCAAGCTGGCTGGGCCTAAGGAGGGCCCCCGATGAGTCCAGCTAAAGATCATGCCCCCTTGGAGCATGACTTACGTAATGGCTTCGATGGACTGCAGCTCCCATTAGCGCGCATGTGGAGAAAATGCCAGATGGCCGTGAGCATTGGATGATTGCAGAGTACCTAGAGTCTCCATTGTAGCTCCTTTTTTGAGGTTAGACCAATCTTATAGCTCAGATCTTATACAGCAACGCCAACAAGGGAACTACAATGGAGGCTACAGGAATACTTTAGCTATGCCTCAGTCAAAGCTGGTTGACCCTAGCCGTCTTAGTAATAGTATACGTTTGTAGGGACAGCAGACTACTACAGGCAAAAAGGGACACAAGGACAGCTACCAAATGCTTAAACCCAATACATACACCTCCTCTTAGAAACTCTTTGAAGCCCTAAAGACACTAGTCAGTGCAACTCCCGGGGCAGGGGCGTAAAAACATATATAAGGAAGAGGACAATAGCTAAACCCCATGAGGCCGCGCCTGCGAGAGCTAGTGTGCGAGTCGAAAGACCCGGTTGCAAAAGCTCAAACCCTGAAGCGAGAGGCTCTCGGCGTGGCAAGTCGCCGCGGAGCACTGCGAGAGCCTTTGGTGAAGATCGTGTACCTCGCACATAAGATAGGGAGGGGTTTAGTGATACAGGTCTGTGCAGCCCGGACGTAGGACTACTATGAATGAACGGTACTCGTAGTACATTCATTTGTTCTCTAATACTTGTACCATGTCTTATCGAGCAACACCCTCCTAAATACCTAGTCTACCTCTGTAGACTATCTTAGAGATTGACGGGTTAGGGGTTGAGGGATGCTGGGGTCGGTTAGTTAGGGTATTCAGGTTTAGGTTTCGCGGGTCAGGGGTTTCGAGGTTTAGGACAAGGAGTTTAGGGCTTTACGTGTTTTGGTTTAGGGATGCGATGTTTGACAGGCTTTGTATTGAGGCATTTATAGGGTCGCAGGGGACAAAGGCCGTGTTGAGTGCCCATTTCAAACCATGAGTTGTCGGTTGGTTGCATTATTTAATTCGGGAATCCCAGCCGCAAAATTAACTAGGTCACCCCAAGAATGGTACTACAACTTAGCTTCGAGGAAGGGTTGCAGTGATGTCGTTATGTGTTTAGCTGGTTCGAGACTGGGGGTAGCACTTCGGAAGTCTTTTGCCGGACATATTGGGAGGAGGTTTCCGGCTTCAAGAATCAAGAAACTTTGAGCCACGAGGAAGAGTGTTGTGCAGGACGCGGCATAACGAAACCGCGTCCGATGCGCCCAGAGAGTGTAGGACTAGGGACCCTGCAGCCTTAAACCCTGAAATTACATACCTTGCACTTTTAACTATCATGACCTCCTTTTTGTAGCCTCTTACCCTAAACCCCAAACCTTAACATCGACTGTTTACACACACACACATATATATATATATATGTATGTATATATACATACATATACACACACACATATATATATATATTATATTATATTATATTATATTATATTATATTATATTATATTATATTATATTATATTATATTATATTATATTATATTATATTATATTATATTATAATATATTATATTATATTATATTATATTATATTATATTATGTTTTATTATATTATATTATATTACATTATATATTACATTATATATTACATTATATTATATTACATTATATTATATAATATGATGTCATATCATATTATGTTATATCATTTTATATTATATCATTTTATATTAAATTCAATATATTACATTATATTATATATTATATATTATATATTATATATTATATATTATATACTATATATTATATTATATTTTATTATATTATATTCTATTATATTATATCATATTATGTTATGTTATATTATATTATATTATAATATATTTTAATATATTTTTTATATCATATTATATCATATTATATTACATTATACTCTATATTTATACATATATATGTATAATATGTATATAGTATATTCTCATATATTTACAACAATTCCTACAACAAGTATGCGGTTGTAACTCCAGGACGAGACCCGATTGTCCCGGCTCGAAGCATGCAAAAGAGGGACCCTTAATAAGGACCCCTGGCCATCAAGCCCGTTTTAGGGTTTCGGGTTTAGGGTAGGACCCAAAACCCTTGCATGACTTCGAGGGGTGTGTGAATTTCGGACGGCATGCTTTGCATTGCTGAGCTCCTTGGTCTGCCAAGTTGCAGCTCCATGGCATGCCAGTCGGTTGTGAGTGTCTTTGCACGTTGCATGGTGTCTGTTGTTGAGCTCCTGGGCGTAGGCCCAGTCGCAGCTCCTTCAATGCAGGCATTGTCTGCAGACCTTGCCTGGCTTTGTCCGAGTGTGCGCGTCAAAAAAAAACTAAACGCCTAAACCCCTAAACCCTAAACCTCCTGCATCGTAGGTTTCGTCCTAGCCAGGCGGGAGGCCAAAAAACCCTCAGGCATCCCCATTAAGGGTCCCTTCTTTGGCCTTCGGCCCTTTGTCCAGGCACTTTCTTCGAGCTATGGACTTCGAGGATGCCGCTGGACGGGAGACTTGGTCAGCACTGCGGGCTTTGGGTTTGGAACTTTGGGTTTTTTGGTTTTTGAATTTCTGGTTTGGGTTTGGAACTTAGGGCTTTTTGGGTTTTTGAGTTTAGGGTTTGGGTTTAGAACTTATAGGGTTTGAGTCTTTGAATTTAGGGTTTGGGTTTAGGATTTAGGGGTTTAGGGTTTAGTCTAGAATTTAGGGTTTAGGGTTAAGTTTAGGGTTTTCGGTTTGGGCTATGGCCTGTAAGGTTTACGGTTCAGCGAATCCTAGGGATGTCTTGGCAGAAAGAGAGGGCGGCGGGGCTTCTGCAAGATGAGGTTCCTGCCTGATAGCTTTATAATGTTTGGATCGTGAAATTTCGGGTTCCGGGGTCGTGTTTGCTTCGTTTCGCATCAGTACAGATGGACCCGAAGCCCTCGCCATTAAACTTGACCCCAAAACGTAGCAATATCCTTGTTCAGTCCTTATATAGTGACAGCATAATATACCCCAAAACCTTGTTAGAGTCGTCAAGGCTTCTATTTCAACGGCTGGGTCCTCCCAAACCCGTGTAGCTCTAAGAAGCCCTCCGGTGGCCTTTTCGGTAGTGTTCGGGTGCCTTCATTCCTCCAAAAGCTCCTGTAAGTTATCTTTGGGGGGTTCTATACAAGGGTTCAAAACACGGGCTCTGCAACATGCCAAAACAAACACGCCGAGGAGATCATGTTCGAGGAACTCCAGGAACTCATTGGCCAAGGGCCATTCGCTTCTCCCTCCGTCTTCAACTTTTACCGGGCGGACCGGGATTTGAGGGTTTAGGGTCTGTAGGCTACGAGGTTGTTAGGCGGTCTGTGGATTCAGGTGCAGTCTTCGCGACGGCAGGGCTTAGGGATCAGGGCTTGTAGGGCTTGCAAGACTGTATGTCGACGGTCTCCGTGACGGGTCAGGGAACTTGCATTCGTACTCTGCTGTTCATAACGTCCTGGGTTCAGGAACAGCCCTGTCCGGTGTAGCAATATGGACGGGACACGTCGAGAGAGAGAGAGAGTGCGAGAGAGATGGCAGTGCAGGCACGGCACCAAAATCGGATGTTATGGAGCTATGCTTCCAGATTGAGCCGGCGTGTTCAGGGTTTCGTGATGTGCCGAGTTGCCTTCCATCCCTGCCCGCCTCTCTTCGCGGCAGCTGCTTGGGCAACCTACACCCTATCACTCCTACAGGCTTTCGTCATTGGATGTCCAAGGTTGGCTAAACCCCATGACCCCTAAGCTTCAAGTCAGGGTGTTCGATATTGTATGTGGAGGGTTGGCTTGAGGTTCATGCTTCTCCGGCAGTTCCTGTGTGGATACTCCGACCTGTATAGCATCGGGTGCCCTTTCCTGCTTTGTGCGTGTGTAGGAGATGCCGGGGCGAATTTCGGAGCATCGCAGAGTTTGGTGTAGGCGTTTTGGGATCATTAGTTCTATAGTGCTCAGGCTTAAGCATCAGAATCCTGAAAAAGCAAGCGCTAACATCCCACCATGCTCTTTACACCTCTTTAAGCCCTCCAATATAGCCGCTTTTACATGGGCGTTTACGTTTCCGACAGGCTGCTATCGCTTCGATGTTTAGTTGTTGAACCGTTGTTGTCAGTGTCACTTCTACTCATGTTTCCCGCTTCATGACCACAAGTTGCACTCTAGCTCCACAGCAGGACTACCAGTCAAACACCATGCCACTTGGCTGGGTTTCGGAGGGTTTGGGGTTCACGGGTTTAGGGTTTAGGGACGGTGTTCCTTAGACTCCATGAGGTGGCCGGTAGTCCTGATGCAAGGTTTCCGGATTTACATCGCGCATGCGCAAAGCTCTAGGGGGTTGCGAAAAGTTCAAGGTCTGGAAGATGGACCCTAAACCATAAACCCCTTGTCCTCATTCCTAAACCCTAAACCCCTAAACCTACGCCCTCTCCCACCCCACCGAAAAAAGTCACATTCCCTAAACCGACTTGTAATGTCCCCTTCCTGCCTGGATTCAGGGCATCGCCCGTGACCGTAAGCTGTAGGAACACGCAGCTTCTCTATGTAGCTAGTGACAGACACGAATGCACACATACACCCTATTTTGTACGAGTTTCACATGTTCATGTTCTCGTCAATGGTGGGATGGGTGCTCGGCCACCTGGCGTCATTTCACTATGCTGTGGCTGACAACGGGTTTCACTGGCCACACTCAAAGTCTAGTAGACAGTACATGCAGATCATTGCGTATCCTTTTTGGAGGATTGCCCTTCTGTGATGTGCCTATGGTGCCTAGCTCTGGCAACTCCAGAAGCCCGTTGGTGAAAGTGTGGGGACAAGCGCAGCAATGGCTCACAATAGCTCTGTCCATCTACTCATCTGTGCGCCTGCACCCTTTTGCCTACAACCATACACATACAATGCATCGAAGCATCCCATGTTTGTTAGTTCACCTTCTTGCAGTCTGTGTTGAACTCCTGATGGGCCTTGTGGTGGTTGGTCTGAAGACATACCCAGACTCACTGCTAGAGATATGCGACAGACCACTGATAAATAGAAAGCGCTGCAACAAGCGATGCCCCCGACCCAACTCTGACCTCGTATGTGTCTTTCTCAGCTTTTCCCTGGCTTTCCGGGATGAGTGTCCGGAAGGACGCAACACTCTTCCGCTACAGTTGCGCATGGTATTCGAAACAGTCACAATGATCCGGCCTTAAAGAGATTCTGATTGATTCTGATGTGCAATGGCCTTCACTACAACTCTTCGGGAGTTTGTTTTGTAAGTTTGGAAACAAGAATCAGCCATTCATTGACACGAAGTCACAGATGTCCACGGTGGGAATCTAAGCCGGGGTCATGAGCAATGCTGTCTTTTGTTCGCCCGACAGAGCCTGGCGATTTGGGTAAGGCAGCAGCAGGCAGCGGACTTCACGATTGGCAGCTTGCAGTTCATCTGGCACAGAATGCGCCAAGAAGTGGGAACGAGAAAGCTTTCCGGGACGCGGTCGTTGCTTGCGGAAGAGCCCGACAGTGGCATGTGGCTCTCCAAATCTTGTCGAACATACTTTCAAGCAGCAAAGCTCCCAGCGTCTACAGCGTCAATGCCACGATAACGGCGTGCGGACGTGTTTTCAACTGGCAGCAGTCGCTGGCACTGTTGCTGCAAATGGAAACATTCCAAACTCAGCCAAACGTAGTCAGCTACAATGCTGGCATCAGTGCATGTGAGAAAGGTGGCGAGTGGCAGATGGCACTGCAGTTGCTGTCGCAGATGCCCGCAGCCGGGGTTGTCCCGGATGAGATCAGCTTTAACGCCGGCATCAGTGCATGTGAGAAAGGTGGCGAGTGGCAGATGGCACTGTACTTGCTGTCGCAGATGCCGGCAGCCGGGGTTGTCCCGGATGTGATCAGCTTCAGTGCAGGCATCAGTGCATGTGAGAAAGGTGGCGAGTGGCAGATGGCACTGTACTTGCTGTCGCAGATGCCGGCAGCCGGGGTTGTCCCGGATGTGATCAGCTTCAGTGCAGGCATCAGTGCATGTGAGAAAGGTGGCGAGTGGCAGATGGCACTGTACTTGCTGTCGCAGATGCCGGCAGCCGGGGTTGTCCCGGATGTGATCAGCTTCAGTGCAGGCATCAGTGCATGTGAGAAAGGTGGCGAGTGGCAGATGGCACTGTACTTGCTGTCGCAGATGCCGGCAGCCGGGGTTGTCCCGGATGTGATCAGCTTCAGTGCAGGCATCAGTGCCTGTGAAAAAGTGGCGAGTGGCAGATGGCACTGTACTTGCTGTCGCAGATGTCGGCAGCCACGGTTGTCCCCGATGAGTTCAGTTTCAATGCAGGCATCAGTGCCTGTGAGAAAGGTGGTGAATGGCAGATGGCACTGTGGTTGCTGTCGCAGATGTCGGCAGCCGAAGTTGTGCCGAATGTGATCAGTTTCAGTGCAGGCATCAGTGCATGTGAGAAAGGTGGCGAGTGGCAGATGGCACTGTACTTGCTGTCGCAGATGCCGGCAGCAGGATTGGTGCCGAATGTGATCAGTTTCAGTGCAGGCATCAGTGCCTGTGAGAAAGGTGGCGCGTGGGAGATGGCACTGCACTTGCTGTCGCAGATGCCGGCAGCTGGAGTGGTGCCGAATGAGTTTAGTTTCAATTCTGGCATCAGTGCCTGTGAGAAAGGTGGCGAGTGGCAGATGGCACTGTACTTGCTGTCGCAGATGCCGGCAGCCGGGGTATTCCCGGATCAGCCCAGCTTCAATGCTGGAATCAGCGCATGTGAGAAAGGTGGCCAGTGGCAGATGGCACTGCACTTGCTGTCGCAGATGCCGGCAGCCGGAGTGGTGCCGAATGAGATTACTTTCAATGCTGGCATCAGCGCCTGTGAGAAAGGTGGCGAGTGGCAGAGGGCACTCTACTTGCTGTCGCAGATGCCGGCAGCCGGGGTTGTCCCGGATGTGATCAGCTTCAGTGCAGGCATCAGTGCATGTGAGAAAGGTGGCGAGTGGCAGATGGCACTGTACTTGCTGTCGCAGATGCCGGCAGCCGGGGTTGTCCCGGATGTGATCAGCTTCAGTGCAGGCATCAGTGCATGTGAGAAAGGTGGCGAGTGGCAGATGGCACTGTACTTGCTGTCGCAGATGTCAGCAGCAGGAGTGGTACCGAACGAGATTAGCTTCAATGCTGGAATCAGTGCCTGTGAAAAAAGTGGCGAGTGGCAGATGGCACTGTACTTGCTGTCGCAGATGTCGGCAGCCACGGTTGTCCCCGATGAGTTCAGTTTCAATGCAGGCATCAGTGCCTGTGAGAAAGGTGGTGAATGGCAGATGGCACTGTGGTTGCTGTCGCAGATGTCGGCAGCCGAAGTTGTGCCGAATGTGATCAGTTTCAGTGCAGGCATCAGTGCATGTGAGAAAGGTGGCGAGTGGCAGATGGCACTGTACTTGCTGTCGCAGATGCCGGCAGCAGGATTGGTGCCGAATGAGATTAGCTTCAATGCTGGCATCAGTGCTTGTGAAAAAGGCGGCGAGTGGCAGATGGCACTGTACTTGCTGTCGCAAATGCCCGTAGCCGGAGTTGAGCCGAGCGAGATAAGCTTCGGTGCTTGCATCAAATCCTGTGGCACAGCCCGCATCTGGGAGCTGGCCTTGTACATTTTTGCCTCGATCGGAAGGAACCAGTTACAGCCAGATGTAGCTTCGTATGGGCAAGCCATAGATGCAGTTTTGTCCGAGGTGGTCAGTTTCGAGCTTTTCGATCAAGCCTTGCAGGACCAGATGTGGCCAGGCATGTTGAAGAGAGGTGGAGCTTGGCTTGATGTGCATAAACACTCCTGTGGTTCAGCGATGCTTGCGGTGTCTTGGTGGCTCGCAGAGGTTGTCCCGAAGCAGATTGCCAGGCTACCGACAGACGAATCGATATCGCTCGAGGTTATCACAGGCTGGGGAAAGTCCCGCATGCCCTGGCAAACTGCTGGCTCCGACCTCCAGGTTTCAGTCCGCAGACTCTTGGATGCACGTGCTATCCCGTGCAAGATCCATCCTCAGAATCGCGGCCGTTTGCAGCTCGATCTTCGAGGAATAGACCCACGGCAGCTTCGTGCACTGTACCCATCCTCAGCGACATCCGCGAGACAGTGATCGAAATCTGAGTGCGTGCAGAGTTTCCTACAGGTCGTGAATACGATGAGTTCTCGGGAGTCTGCATCTCCAGCGGAAACATGTGTTGGAAATTTAAGGCATCATAGGACTCCATGCCGTTCTTGGGGATCCATTCGTCGGAACCCGGACTCCTCACCATTATTGCGTAGACGAAGTCGGGTTGGCAGATCCGGGAGGGCTTTGGGGCATTGGCCTTGAAGGCCCAAGCTCCAAACTCCGGGTAAAGTCTTTGCTTGTCTCGGTCTATCCCTGTTTGTTTGTTTGCTTGAGTGATTCTCCCGCTTTTGCTCTAAGTGAGAGCGCTAGGGCTCAGGGTTTGGGCTTTATGCTGTTAGGATTGGGGCTTAGGCCTAGGTTTAGGGTTTAGGGATGTTTTTAGCGAAAGGGATGTTTTTTGGGGTGAGGTTCCAAGGTGTTGTAGCTGCAAGGCCCCAGCATAGACGAGGCATTCACATCAATATCTTTTATCACATGTCAAACTTAAACCTTACTTGAAGTCCTAGTCCTGGCCAATACAATTCCGTCGAGCTCCTTATTACTATACTTGTTTTCTTGTAATACAACATACACAGATTTCATCGAGACAACTCCTGCCCGACAGCTTCCTGCAAGCATCCAACGGTAGATGCCTCAAACGAAGTTCCTATCGAGTACCCTGGTGTAGTCGAGGGTCCCAAGTTGAGGGATCCACTTTTGGATGCCTTGTGGGGGGTCTCAGGCCGGCAGATGCTGTGGCTCCGGAGGCACAGATCATGGATGCCAGACGCCTGGTGGCACCGTAGAAACATGCCCAAGAAATGTCGGCTAGCTGCGAAGCATTACCAGGTTCGAGCTGGAGAACAGGCTTGATTTCCTGTGGTTTTTCTCCAATGAGTTTCTCCATGGGCAGGTGGGTCCACCGCAGAACCAAGCTCGTGACCGCTTTGCGTGAAATACACCCCTTAGGAGCAGTGCCTTTTGCAAGGGAAGCGGGAAGCGTTTTGGTCATGGGTCATGTTAATTAGTTAAACTCAGACATCCGGAAGCCCTCGAAAACCTGACGTCCGATCTTCGCTGCAGCATGACATGCAATACGAATCGGCTTGCCAGTTTCCTGCCTGCACAAAGCGCCCGCTTCCCTAAACCCTGCACTCTCTACTCTCTGTAAACACGGGTTAGCTTAACCCATCAAGCCGCCTAAACCCTCTTACCACTCTCAAAACCAAGTACTTAAGTTTAGTAATGAAACATCAGTTTCTGTTCCTTGTGATTGGACCGAATCACACAAGCAAGGAAAATACTAAAGCCCAAACCCAGAGCTTTGTAGTTCAACCCCATTCCCCGCAAACCCTAAGCTCTGCCGACCCGAACATGTGAGCCTCCAAGAGTATCTTGATTATGGTTCGTGTGTATGACTGCGCTTGCCCCACGTTATTCTGCTGTTCGTAATCATACTTCTGAGTGATCCAGATCTACTGCCTCTTACATTATCTGCTGCAGTGACTGGAACCACTATCCCGCCACCACCCGATTTTTGCCAATAAGCAGCTGAGGCAACATGGTCAACTTCCTGAATGGGATGTTGCCGCCAGCCGCGTGAGGAATTCGGGTTTTGTTCACGGAAAATACCGTACTTCAGCACATGCAGAAGGCTGATACTGTTAGGGTTGCACTGTGATGCTGCGCTATCAGTATGACATTTTGCAAACATAACAGGATGCAATGATACTTGTCCATGGTGTCCTTCATTGGGGAATTATTGCTGTGATTTCAGATTATTACTATGTTGCAAAATATTGCTATGCCGCAGGGTGGTTCATCATGGAGGTCTTGAGCTTGACGTAACCATCTTCAACTTGCATCTCAGGTCACCTTCTTTTTAACGCTGCCCCTCTAAAAGCCTTCTAGACCTTGAAGTTCTGAAGCGACAGAACTCTGCAGAGGCGAAGCGCATCGCCTCGACCCCAGCCAGACCAACCTCTGTCATAGTTGAGGAATAATATCATTGACGTTACCGATGGCCGATTATGTGGTTTAAAGCTTAAGGTGAGGCCCTCCTAGGAGTTGAACATCAAGCCCTGAACCTATTATATGCTAACACAGGGATCTCTGACACACCCGTTGAGTAGATACGGCGGCGCATTTTGGGGTCGGAATGATGCTATTCCTTCCGAGTCTTGAGTGCAACTACAATCGAACGCCCCAACTTCTTAGTGTAATCTGTCACTTGACAACTCAGGCCCTACGCCCTTACGGAGTCCCTTTAGAATCCCTTACGTCGGAGCACCCGGGAGAAAACGATTCGGGTCTCTATTCTGCCGAACGATCCTCCGCACAGTCCATCCAAAAGCTTGCACCCTAAACGTTATTCGGGTTCAGGCTTTATGGTTTATGGCCGCTCCAGGGAAATTTGCTCATTTCGCATGAGGTACACAATCACGATGTTTTAGGGTGGGGCTTATTATAAACTACCTAGTCACGGATCACAACCTGCGCGCCCAGTGCCCCACTTGATTATGCCCTACACTTGTTATACTTCCTCTGATCCTTGCCAGCCAGGTAGAGCAGACTGTAAATCATTGCCATGGACTTTTGCCGTTCTAGCCCAGGTCCCTCGTAAAGAACGGTGGCGTCACGCACTGCGATGGGGGCTTTGGCCTCGACACAAAGAGCTGCGACCAGAGCCGCGACTATGGATTTCGTAGATACTGCTGTGTGTGTTGCTATAATCGCATTATCCTTTGCTGTTTATGCGCAAGAGAGCTTGCTTGCTCTCATGCACGATTTTCTTTCCTTCCGTTGTTGCTTCTAGTGTGTTGCCTTGTATCTTGCCAGGCGAAGCTTTATCCCCGTAGGCGCTGCAAGTTGCCGTTCGTACACTCTGCACACCCATTGAAACATTGCAAGACAGCATGGCATTGGCATCTCGCTTGTGACGCTGCTGAAGCCCTTAACTGACGAAAACCATAGTCGCACATCCTCTTCTGAGGAAGTCTTTCAAGCACGGGTTGAATGTCACCCAGACCAGCGCCACACAAGTTTTGGATGACCTGGACCTGCTTCTCACAGGCAGGGAGTTTCGGGCTCAAGGCTGATAGGGCTGAGTGATTGATGTTTTTTATGTTTTTTGGGGGGGGAGGTCGGCTTGTTTTGGATGGAGGTCCAGGGTTTAGGATGGTGTGCCGCACATCTTCACGAACATGCCGTCTGGAACTAAGCTGCTGGATCGAAGCCGAGACTGTGCCTGAAAAGAGCGTGCATGTCTCTCATCATGAGCATGGGCATGGGTCAGTCTTGAATGAACAAGCCTCGGGCACAAAACGGAAGAATTGTGGTGGTTACCACCTGGCGGTGGTGGTGGTGGTGGCGACGGCGGCGGTGGTGGTGGTAGTGGTGGCTCGGCGCAAGCGCGGCTTGATACCTCGTCGAAAGCCCAGCCGGGCACCTCCAAAGCGAAGCACCGCACCCCAACCGAAACCCCTAACACGGAGCCGTGCCTGCCTTCGTGCGAGTCTGCGAGTCGAAATCCGCAGCCTTAAGCGACAGGCGATGGAAAACCATAAAAAAAGCAGATCTTTTTTGGAACGTCGCCGCACTTGTCACAAAAGCGTCTCTGAAGCTCCTGCAAAGCGGGGCTTTCAAAGCAGGAACCGTCCAACTGCTCGAAACTGACCATAACGTAGCGTCAGAATATGTGGTAATAGCAATATGCCCTGGTAGTCCCGGTTATAATTGGAGTATGATACACCCCCAGGCCTGGACATTACACCCCATTTGCTGAGTTCTCTCAACAGGCGGACGGATGACGAATGCCACTCGGGACGTGGCACATGCCAGTCTGGCGGGCTGGGATGAGGAGCGGCTAAGGGGTGCATGGCCTCGGGTAGAGCTTGTGGTAAGACTTCCTAGCCACCAACCATGGTCCCTTTCCCGAAAAACCCTATAAACCCTATTATAAACCCTATAAGCCTTGTAAGCCCTGAACCCTAGCGCACCGTCTTTGCAGGTGTGGCGGCCACTTCTGGTGATATGCACTTGGGCTTTTGCGGTCCATGAGAGCGCAAGCCATCCTTCCGACATCGGGTTTAATTCACCTAATCAACTCTGCACATGTACCCGAAACCCTCAATTCCATAAGGCTCCGAGATCCCTATGGTCCCTATACTATCATACCAACCTCGAGTTTGGCTTTCAGCTCTCCTCGTGAGGAGCAGAAGGTGAAAGCAGCGCAGGAAGCGGCACCCTGGCCGGTTCGGAGGGTTAATATGGGTTGTGGTTTTAGGGCTTTACCCCAAGGTCCCAAAGTAGTTCTTTTTTGGGGTTCATATACAGAATCCTCTAAGGTATTCCCAAAAAGGAACTCCTTTGGGGCCTTTGGGTAGAGCTGCCGGCATACACTCAAAGTCCGTGCTTAAAAACCGCTTTAGAGTAAGGGGCCTCTTGCAGCTTTAACTCAGGGTTTAGGCTTTGGGGTTCAGAGCTTTGGGCTTCGAGTGTCGTGTTTGGGGCTTCAGCTTAGCACAGGGGCTCGTTTAAGGGCTCCTTCTTGGAAGGGCAGGGGACTTAGTAAGTAGGTTGTAAGTAGAGTTATAAGTACCCCAAATGGAGTTACCCCAATTATAACCCTACTTATAACCTACTTACTAAGTCCCCTGGCCCTCCAAGTAGACCCTAAACCCTAAACCCCATAGATCCCCTGTAATAAGGAACCCTATAGATCCCTTTAAGGAGCCCTTTAAGAGCCCTGACTAAGTCCCCTAAAGCCCCTCCAAGTACGGGGGCGAAGCCTCTGCAGGTCATCCTTGCGCCGGAGTTCCACACCCTGGGGTCCCCCATGCCGGAGGCCGTGCAAGCTCGCGGGCTTTAGGGCGGTGTAGGGTTTAGGGTTTAGGGTTTAGGGTTAGGCTTTCAGGGGGCTTTAGCTGACCATTGATATTATGGGAGCTAAGGAGCCAGGGATGATGATAATTCCTATTAAATAAGGAGCTAAAGAGCCAAGGGAACCACCAAAACCACTGGTTAGTTAGGGCTTTCTGAGGCTTTGAGGGTTTGGGGTTCCGCGCGGGATCGAGACTGAGATTCATAAGGTTTTATAGGCTAGGAGAATCAGCAAGTGTAATGGTCATCTTGCTTAGTTTTTGTTCCAGGGTTGGTGCGACTTTATGGGCCTGTTCAGAATGATGGTCTCGACTGTTGGGCTTTGAGGTTCTTCTTCATTTCTGGAATAAGGTATTCGAAGCTGGGGTATATAGGCTTTCGTGGCATTCTGGCCAATGATGACTTGCCAGCTCAACTGTCGGAGTTCTCCGATTACGTTGGGGGCATGTGGCTACTTGATTAGGGTTTAGGATGTAAGGACTCTGAGGTTTGCATGTAGAGGTCAGATATTCAGGTTACAGTCTTTTCCAGTTTGAGTTCCAGGATTTTGGACGAACATGAATCTGCCTTCGGATGTTGATCCTGCCTCTAAGGAGATTTTTAGATGGGCTCTCTCTCTCTCTCTCTCTCTCTCTCTCTCTCTGTCTCGCGCTCTCACTCAGGCTCCCTCTCGATCTCTCTCTGTCGCTCTCTCTGTCGCTCTCTATATATGATTCCCGTGGCAAACGGTTTAATGTTTGGAGTTGCTTCAGATTCAACAAGGAGGGTTTTAAGGGGTTCTTCTGAGTTCAGGGTTCCGGTTTGCGGGGTGGGTTCAAGAAGAAGAAGAAGAAATCAAGATGCGCCTTTTTAGGGATGGGAGAGGCAGGGTAGTACGTGTTTCCAGGCACTGAAACTCCCGAGTTTCTCTCGGAGCTTTGAGCTTGGCTTTTGGGGTTCAGGGGTTGGGGTTTGGGGCTGGGAGTTTGTGCCTCGAAGTTTTTGCTTCGGCTCGGTCAATGCGGGGTGGCCCCCCACCCTAAACCCTAAACCGCCTAAAGCCCGAAACCCCTGAAGTCCTACTGTAAATCCTAAACCCTTAAATTCCCAAGCCCCGAAACCCATAAGCCGAACCCCAAACCCTTGGCTCCCACAGGGCCCACGCACAGACCAGACCGAGAGTGATACAGAGAGCGCCGAGCCCCGATCTTACAAGGCCGGCATTGCTGGGGATGGATTTTCAGGGTTTAGTATTGCCATACCTCACGACCCTTTTCAAAGAGGCAAATTTTCTAGGGCATCCGGCTCCAAGCTTTGGGGTTTGACGCTTGTAGGCTCGTTTCTTCCAGGCTCGACTGAATTTCGCACGCCTGCAGCTATTCCGAAGAGCTATGAGGAGTATTACACTACAGTACTGAGTTTGGGGTTTAGGGGCTTGACGTGTCAGATGAATGGGCGATGCATTTGAAGCCTTTGCATGTTCGGTAGCCCCAGTTCTCGAATTCCACTTCATTGTAGATACACGACCGCACATGGGGAAGTCGCAGTGTCTTGCTTCGCGGCTGACAGGTGACTGAGTCCGTATAAGAGAGAGAGAGAGAGAGAGAGAGAGAGAGAGAGTAACCGTGTAAGAGACAGAGAGAGAGAGAGAGAGAGAGAGAGATAGAGATAAACATAGACATAGTGTTTGTGGTAGTTATAGTTATGGTGGCAGTCATAGTGATGGAGAAAGAAAAAGAGAAAGAAAGAGATAAACAGAGAGACAGACAGATGGTTGAGTCTTTCTTCTGGTTCGTGTGGCTGCAGATCTTTGCGTTCCGCAGGCCCGGCAAAGGTCAGCCTTGAGTAGAAAGCGGCGGTTGCATCATTTGTTACATGGCTTACGCGAGCAGCTCTGTAGCTTTAGCCGCAGCCAGGAAGTCTGACGTGCTGCGACCTGCAACATAATTTTATGCCGAAGCTTTTCCTACACACTTAACTTTAGACCTGTATCTTAAACCCTAAACGAACCGGAGACTGAGCTTTTCTGGCATAATTAACCCGAATCCTCTATCCTAACCCCTGGGAGAGTTTTAACATGGCAACAGCTGGCTCGTTAATCTCCTCTCTTCAGAAAGCCTCACGTTGGGAGGCTTTGATCAACCTGTATCTCAATGGCGGCGCTGACGCTCGGGCAAGCAGCAGTCTGCGGTTCCTCCGTCCTCTTCGCATCATCGAGTCACCAGGGGCCACAGTCTGCATAGTTTGTAGGGCTTCCCCTGAACCCCCAAGAGCATCCATCTTCTAAGGGCTTCTACGACATGTGGAATGTATAATAAGGTTTCCGAAAAATTATTTGGTTGTCGTGGGATCCAGGTTACCCATAGACCTCATAGTAACTCCTTTTTTGGGATTACCTGTATAGACATCTAAATATGAACCCCAAACAGGAGCTACCATGGGGCCTAAGGGTAGGCTCAGTCTCCACACCACCTTCAGTCGCAGAGTTGGCTGCGGCGTTGAACCGTTCAGGCCCCGTCGCAAAGCTCTACGATTTTTTGCTTCCCAAGGGGAGTCCATGTGCGTATGTTGGGCTATACTTACCCAAAGCTTGGGTTTTTTTTTACTATGCCCTGCTGCAGAAACCCTACTTGCTACCCTGTAGGTACTTTGGGCCTTTGTTTTGGCCCAAACCTAATAATCCCTACTGGTCAAACCCTGCTTGCTAACTCGCGACTGGAGGAGCTTCGGGCTATGAACCCATGAAGCCCGAAAGCATCTCTGCCTGGAAGAGAAAGAAGGCTCATAGGCGATATCCGATGTGACAGAACAACATAATTTGTGGTGTAATGTTTCGGTCTAGACTTTATGGCACATACGTTGCATCAGACCACCCCATGCAACAAGTTTTAGTCTACTTCGACTTTCAACTTGAATACATGGCTATTGTGGCTATTCGGGCTCCGGGAAGGACACCTTCAACCTCCTGGTGCCCTTGGATTGCAAGCTCCATGATGAGTACATGGCAGTGACCTGTCAAAGAGTGGGTCCTGCAGTTTGCGATTTCAGAAGTTAACTGACGTTTCCGGTTTCGCTTAACAACTGAGTCAGTCTGCAGAGCCTTAAACCCAAAAAACCCCAACCATTTGCGTTACGTTTGCCAATTCACTCAGTGATTCAGCGGGGTTGCAAACCGGGTCCCAATTTTGGCACCCATTTCGCGCACAATGCACCTTAACCAAGCTATATGCCTTAAACCTAAGGGTCTGGATAACACGTGTGATGGTACGTTCCCTTTTGAGGTGCATGTCTTGTTGAGCTCGGAGAGACCCCTACAGTTTGTTCCTGAGCACAATGGAAATGGGCTCTTTCGGTACAGCAGCGGCTCGCTGATAGATCCCCCGGTCCCGAAACTTCGAAGCCGAAGCTCTTTCAGCTTTGGTTCATCCCTAGGCGGGCCCCGTCCTTGTCAATAGGCGGACTAAACCCTAAACCCTAAACAAAGCCGAAAAACCCGAAGGCCCACCTCGAGACATCTGAAGCAAGCCGAAGAACAGCCCCAAATGCCTGAAAAGCCTTGCAGTTCAGCCGCATTTCCCCGAAGCCCTGGCACATAACGGTTTCGGCTTTTAGCGCGTTCTTCGGTTCGTCTACGTTTGCATGGTAATTAGCTGAATTGGTTTACAGGTTTTATATCGTGTTTTGGGACTATTGATTGCATCGGATTGTGGGGGTCTCCCCTACCTGAATGGTAGTAGAGGTGGTCAGCGATTCCCTGGGCTCCTAAATGCCAAACACTGCTCTGGGTTTCTTTTCAGAAGGCCTTAGAAGCCCTGTGCCTATGCATGCCACATGTTGTTTCCCCAGCGCCCTAGAAAGGTCAGGGGCCAGGCGGCGCTGTTAAATTCGGAGCTGCTGGAGATCCAGACAACAGGCAGCGCGCATGTACCTATATCTTAGGGGTAAATTGACGCAAGTCTTAATCGTTGGTTACTATAACTCCTAAGAAAGAGCTAAGAGATTGTCATTTTTGCCAGGGGTCTAAGTTCAGTATAGATGTGATTGAGTCTCAGTTGGTCCGTGCTAGTATTTAGTGTCATGATTGCCTTTAATTGGCTGCCCATGCATGATAGGTTTATATGTGAGCATCCGTTAAAGCTTCCGTAACTGTAGTTAAGAGCAGGGTGACCGTGGAATGTCGGACTTTGCCAATTTCCTTGGAAAGCGATAGGACCCCCCAAAAGCGAGACGATTAACGAGGATCATCTGTTTGGATGTTTCCGTGCAGCCGCGGCATTTGTGCCTAAATTTTTCGTGTGATATATGGCTAGGCAATCGATACCCTAATCGATACCTACTAGATCGTTTTATGAGCCACTGCCCCATGCAGTAAAGGGCAGCAGAGGGCAGGTAAGGGCAGTAAAGTGCATAAAGGGCAATTGAAAGGCAGTAGAGAGCGGTAAAGGGCAGTAACAGGCAGGTAAAGGGCGGTCAAAGGCAGTAAAGAGCAATAAACGGCAGCAAAGGGCAGGGCAAGCTACGAGTAGCATCGCTTAAACCTGCAATCCAAAAACCCCAACCAATCCTACAGGTTTCAGGGCCCGTATAATTACAAAAAGCTAGAGCCCCAAATCCCGGCATACAAACGATAGGCCTTCGAGACTTGCATTCAACCCTTTACACCCTGGCTCTGGAGCTGTTGGCCGCATTGCCGTTCTCCTCTGTTGTTTTACAGTTTGTGCGATTCAAGTTTGGAGTGTTTCTGTTTGTGTCTGATTCTGCACGGGGAAAAGGCGCGCGGCCCCCGTCCATTTTGGACTTTGGAAGACACTGTCAGATGGTTCACCATCCCATCTTTGAGATAGAAGATGTCTTTGAACCACAAGCTGCAGCATCTTAAGAAAGGTTCAGGGCGAGCTGCGGCTAATCTTCGAACACTTAGAATAATAGAGCTGTGCTTCGATGATTGTCGAAGTTAGGCGTTCAAGTTCGATGAAGACTAGGCCTTTCTGCTCGCTTTTTTCGTTAGTATATGAGTTTTAATGGCTGCTACCTATAGTCTCCATTGTAGTTCCTTTTTTTGGTTCAACCAATTATAATTATATATATATATATAAGGTAACCCCAAAAAGGAACTACAATGGAGACTATAGGTACTATCGCAACTGTTTGTGTTGCTAGATGATTGTGAAGGCAGGGCTCGTGTTATTGTTGCAGCTGCTGAGTCACGGTTACAGCTCAAGCCGATTCAGGGTCGTCTGGTTTAGTCCGGGCCGGATCTGTTCGAAAATCTCGCACCCTAACCCTAGGCCCCAGGCCGTCTTTGAACATGAACAGTTCTTAACTTCGGCAGTGTATGTTTCAAGCCTAAGCCCTGAATCCTAACCTTGAAATCCGAAATCCTAATCCCTGAACCTCAATCCTTGCCTCGTAGCCCTAAATCCTAAACCCTGAGAAACGGCGTCTTGCCAGGACAGGCCTGCAACAAGTTCGGCATCCATCACAAGCTTCCTGCGATCCAACAGCTCTACCGGGATGGTCAGGCCGGCCTTTTTGCGCACCTGAACTTCGTTATGAGTAGAAGAGTACGTAGCCTTGGCCTTTTCGGGAACCTGGGGTGCTCTTTGGATACTGGACGAGTATGTTTTGGGCACCTGAAGTTCTGGACGCCAAGAAAGCTTGTCGGGTCTATGATCGGGCGTACTGTAGAGGGCGCCGGCTTCCGCGCATAGAATCAAGAATGTCCGGAGGATTGAATGTGGGCTGGCCTAGTTTGCGTTTTCTGCAGTTCTCAGTCCAAATTGCGAAACCTGGGTTACACATGGCAGAGGCATCATCGCTGAAGTTGCTCATGCGGCTTTTCAGTACCAAAACTTAAAAATGGGTATAATGGCCCAGCACCTAGCAATGCAATTGTTCCACATTCTTTGGGGGTCCAGGTAGAGACCCATGCAGGCACAAGTAAGCCATGTAGCCGTGCTCACATGAAGCCGCCGAGCGAGCATGCATTGTGCAAGTGCGTTGTGCGTAAATCTGTGTGACCTGTGTTTTTCGTGCGCGTGCATATGTGTATGTGTGATTTCATTGGGAGGGGAAGAGAGAGAGAGAGAGAGAGAGAGAGAGAGAGAGAGAGAGAAAGAGAGATTAGAGGAGGAGGAGGAGGAGGAGGAGGAGAGAGAGAGAGAGAGAGAGGTTGACTGACCTGCTTCTGGCTGCGTGCAAGCAAGGGACAGAGAGAGAGAGCAGAGAGAGAAGCAGAGGGAGGGAGAGAGAGAGAGAGAGAGAGAGACAGAGCGACAGAGAGAGAGAGAGAGAGAGGGAGGGGTCTCTGTTCTCGCGGGCACACAAGGGGCACCTCTGTGCGCCCGCGAACACAACAGTTGACATCAGGTATGTGTAGTAAGATCCTCTGAGACCATGAGCCCACCCTCCCCACCGCAAACGCTGAAGCCAGCCCCGAAAGAGGCTGCTTTTGTCAGCAACGTGGGGAGCTTGGTCGAGCCCCTGAAGCTTGGCATGAAGAGACACCGGGTTGGGGTTTAGGGCTTCGGGTTTAGGGCTTCATGGTTCCAGGATTTAGGATGCAAGGGTTAAATTTCCGACTTGAGTCCAGTAGCCGCAAAGGGCATGGCTCCCAACACTGGTTTCTTGATGTGAGCCTCTGCTTATGCTTTAGGGGAGACGGCTTCTGTGCAGTCAACGAGAACTCGGGAAGTGTTCAGACTCAACTTTACCCCTGTCCGTCCAGGACCTTTGAATCACACATGTTTGCGAAAGTCCGGACACTTGCAACTGCACCAACTAGTCGCTGGGCTGTCGAGTCAACAAGTTTTTTGACTGCACTGAGACTTCGCATGAAACACATGTTGGCCTACCCTAAACCCTAAACCCTAAACCATCATGTTGGTATTTCTGCTGTCGCTGTATACACCTTGCTCGGCCCACCAAAACTGAGACTGGAAGACTAGAGTCCGTAATTGTAGGTGAATCTCACTTTAGAGATTAACGCCAGGGCTTACGTTGTTTTCGAAAAAGGAGTCTCCGAAGCTCTCCATTCATGTTCCGTGTGACGTGTAAGTTTTCGACGTATCCCGGCATGTCTGAAAGTGAGCGCTAGAACTCATTTTTGCTCAGGCGAATGGTTCTGCAAAGTGAGAAATATGTAGAACTTCGTACTGTTCAGTGTTCAGGCGAAAGACTTTGGTTAGCAGCACGCCAAGCTGATCCTGAGTTCTCTTCCACTAGGACCCAGAGAGCCCAGTACCCTTAAGGCAAGCAGAGCTTAGATGGGCTTGCGGCTGTGGAGGGGTTGGATGTCAAGGGCAGCCCACCACTTGACCCTAAAAGCCTTGTAGGTGTCAGGGCTGAGGACGAAGGAAAGATCTTTTAATTTAGGGTTTAGGGCATGCCTTGGTTCAAGATTGCACTTGGGAAATTAAGCAATCAGCTTCTCGGGTTTTTGTACTAGGAGTTGCGATCGCGGTTGCGTTTCGTCTCCCCTTCTCGCCTAGTTTGGGGTGTGGTTTCTGTCATTGCATGCGAGGAATCGAAACGAGTACGACAACGGCCTGAAGCCAGTTTGTGCTGGGCTTTTCTCGCACTCCGACCAGACAGAGGCATGCCAGAAACTTCTCCACGAACTCCGAAACAAGTCTTGCCACGTCCTGTAGACTACTTCTTTCTAGGGGCTCTTATCCCGAAGGGGGGGGGCTCTACATCTGAAAGGGCTTGGGTTTTGTATAGTCCGCATATGACTCCATTGTAGTTCCTTTCTTTCAGTTGAACCAACTTCAAAACGTAGGGTCCTATAAGGTGTCTCGGAATAAGGAACTACAAGGGGGACAGGTAGGGCTAGACAAGGGGCTGCAGACCTTCCTCGCTTAATGCTTGGCTTCTTGTCTGTTTTTTCCCGCAGTACGTTAGCATATGGTATTTGTGTGAGCTTTGCAGCTTGGAAGGTGCCCTTTGCAGCTTTGAGGGTGCTCTGCGCCTCAAGGTCAAGATCTTGAGCGTCTTATATACAAATAACAAAACATCCCGTTCAACTTTTCAAATGATTTCTGGTTTTTGGCTTCGTTCTCAAGGTCTGACGAACAATTACCTGATCTGAAATGAAACGGATTATGGTTTCCGGATGCTGAAAGGTAGCCCTGCTCTCTCTCGGAGGCAGCCCAGACGCTGAAATGTCAAATCCGGGGCTCTGCGCCCAGGGGCGTCGGAGGACGCATGGCAGCCCCCCGTCTCCAACGTTAAGGCTTTCGGGCTTAGGTCTTAGAGGCTCACGGTTTAGTGTAGGTTTTTGGGTTCAGGGGTTTAGGGTTTAGATTATTGGAGGGATTATAGAACCTGCTTTTTAAGGATGTCTATAAGGAAGTCATGAAAAGGAGTTCTGTCCGTAATATTAGGCAAAAAGGGTTATAGGTTTAGAGTTTAAGGGTTTGGGGTTTAGGAATTTTGTGGGTCGTAGACTGGCTAGACTTGAGTCCAGTGGCAAAAAGAGTTTTGAGAATTCAGTCCCAAAAAAAAGGTGCTTGAAATCCGGATTTGGGTACACCCCGACATCCAGAATTTCATTTCTCCAATCGTCCTTAACGCCGTGTGTAGGGCTTCTGGGGTTTCAAGGGCTGACGGTTTATGGGCTTTTGGTTTCAGGGTTTTGGGGCCAGAAATTCTAGGGTTTGGGGTGAAGCCCTGGTGAGGGCTTGGCTTGAGGGCTTTGGGGGTTCCGGGTTTAGTGCTTAGGGCTTCTAGGGTTTGGGTGAGGCCAGGGTGTTTGGGCGGGATTTGTTCCACAGCACCTTAAGTATTAAGGAATGAATTGCTCATAAGCGATTACCCGAGAAGTAGGTCATTGTAGTTGAAGCCATCCGGCATTTATGAAATTGTGATCCCGAAAGAGCGCTACAGCACCGTGATCCCGAATCTTCACCCCGCAAGCCACCCTGAACCCCAAGGTTGGCATTCGCCGCTCCGTTTTTTGGCCATGCCCACACCGCACACAAATCACACAAATTTTCGAAAGCTTAGATAAACCACCTATGTAAACACACCTACTTAGAGGATCATGGGACTTAGTAAGTAAGGTTATAAGTACCTTAATTGGGCTTATAAGTAGTTATAAGTATAGTTACCCTAATTATAACCCGAGTTACTACCCATGTTCCTTTAAGTATGCAAAATCGCAAACAGGGGGATCTGCGCCTTCAGCTTAGGATGCACTCTCCTCGGGGACGCAGCAATTTCGCACGGCCTCCTACTCCTTAAGCGGTCGACAGACCTGGGCGCAGGGTGTAGACATCAACCAGACTCTCGGCGAGCATAGGAGCCTTAATAAGTCGAACAGGGTTCCTTTTAAGGGCTCTTTTTAACGGTTACTATAAGGGCTCTATGATATAGGGTCACAAAGAATCAACAATTACAGATACTATGTTTGGGGCGGTTCCTCCTTATATGTGCAGTTTCTTATACCCGAAAACACTGTTCTAATGATTAAGGCCTCTGCATTAATCCTAAAGTTCCATGTCCTAAACCCTAAACCCGAAAGCCTTCGTCCCTAAACCCTGCCCCTACTTGGAAGGGCAGGGGACTTAGTAAGTAGGTTATAAGTAGAGTTATAAGTACCCTAAATGGAGTTACCCCAATTATAACCCTACTTATAACCTACTTACTAAGTCCCCTGCCCCTTCCAAGTAGACCTTCCGACCTCGGGTTGAAACAGCCCCGAAACTGAAAGCCTTTATGTTGGGGTTTAGTTCGGATTAAGCGTTTTGGGTTTAGGGCCTAGGGTTTAAGGGTTTAGGGGTTTAAGGGTTTAGAGTTTCGGGTTTAAGGATTTTAGGGTTAAGGGGTTTGGGGTTTAGGATTTTGCCCCAAGCGTCAGGATCAGTGTGGCACGCAGCGGCGAGGTGCCGACGCTCCAAAATTACACAGGACGGCGCCAGCTTCTTGAGGATCTCTCGCACACAGCTTACGGCAATGTCTACTGCAACTCGGCCGCATTTGGTCTGTGTGCGTTACAGTGACGGGTTCTGAGGAAAAACAAGTGTGTTGTCCGAGAAAAGTGCCACGATGATTCAGGATCTAATTGTAGCCCGCACAATCCGTCTGTGTTCAGCCCTGGCTAGGAAATATGCCTCAAATCATACTATTGAACCATAGCTTAAGGTTGCTTAGGGTATGAAACTATAATTCTCTAAACCCTAAATCCTAAACCCTAAACCCTAGCATCTTGCTTAGTGACAAGTTCAAAGGGTATTGCTCTCACCGTAGGCTCTGAAGTCGGGTTTGGCGCTGGAATCCGGCTACTCAAATTCCCGCGCCCTTCTTGGAAGGGCAGGGGACTTAGTAAGTAGGTTATAAGTAGGGTTATAATTGGGGTAACTCCATTTAGGGTACTTATAACTCTACTTATAACCTACTTACTAAGTCCCTAAACCCTAAACCCCATAGACCCCTTTAAGGAGCCCTATAGATCCCTTTAAGGAGCCCTTTAAGAGCCCTTAACCTACTTACTATGTCCCCCTGCCCTTCCAAGTTGGGCCTTGAACCCCTAAGGCTCCGTGTATACCCATATAGTACATACTTAGGCCTTCCCAGACCCCCGGGAGGATCCAACAAGTAGATCCCTTAATGGGGGTTCCTATAAAGTACCCTTAGTAGTATAGGGCCCCAAATTAGGGGATCTACTTTCTAGATCCTCCCGGGGGTCTGGGTTAACGTACCTATATAGGGACCCCTTGAAGGCTTAAGTATCTACTATAAAGGTACATGCAGCCTTTGGGAACGGGAATGGGGACCTTCACTCCAATTCCCACACCCCGCGACACTGACACGGACTCTGAGTGGTGCCCACAGGTCCCATAGTAGTTCTTTTTTGGGGTTCATATTGCGAATCCTATAAAGTAATCCCAAAAAGGAACTGCTATGGGGCCTACGGGTAGTTTGTAATTAGGTTCCCTAACAAGATCGAGAACCCTGACGGATGGCACGGCAAAGAGAGAGTGGCGAGAAGAAGGGCGCTACGGCGCTCCGCTTTAAACCTGTCCCAGTTGTGAGCGCTGAAACCTCGCTAAAAAACGGGGTGCAAAACTGCAAAACGACAGCCCCCAGATGGATCATTGAACTACTCCACCGGCTCAGGCGAGGAGTATGCGAAAAATCTCGGCAAGTGGCTCGGTCGTTGTCGACCCTGGTTCAAGTGCAGGTTGAGCTTTGCAGGTTAGGGTGCAGGGTTTTGAAGTATATGCAGGCCGTGGGTTGATATGGCTTGATTTGCCCTTTGGTATTTCATGTTTAAGACGCGAAGCTGCCCCTGGTTGTTGCTTATTACGGGTAGGCTTGCTAGGGTCCAGGTAAGACCTCAGACCTAAGCAGCTAAACCACGGGAAACCTCAACTTGGAGAGGCTGGGTCCCCTAAAGCCTACCTATAATCTCCATTGTAGTTCCTCGGGTCAATTTATAGGATCCTAACGATACAATGGGATTATCCAAAAAAGGGAACTACAATGCAGAGGGTACGTAAACCTCAGGTGGACCCTACACCCCTAAACTTACCCTAAACCCCTAGACCCTTAAACCCTAAAACCCTTAAACCCCTAAACAAACCTCAGGTGGGTGGACTCCAACCAACTCTTGTCCGAGCAGCTCCAGACAGCCAACCTTAGCACTACTTGGCCGGAGAATGTCCAGGACTGGAACAGGCAAGGGTTGAGGGGTAGCTTTTTCTTTGAGGGGGGGGGGGGGTGAATTAAGGGATGTGGGGTAGGTTTGGGTGTTGGGGGGTTGATTTAAGGGTTGAGGGATAGCAGGGTAAGGTTTCTATTTCTGGACTTTCAAGAATTTAGGGGTCTTTTCGGGGATGGGGTTGTCTACAACCATAGCCAGGGTTGACCCAGACAGCTCGCAGTATGAGGATGGGTGAGATATAAAGAGGTATACAGCTTTAGCAAAACATGCTTCGGAGATGATCCGCATTTGTAGTCTGCCTGCTCTTGGATACCCGAGGCATACACTGTGGCAGGGCACCGGCGGTCACTCGTGTTCCCCAACTCGTAGATACATACTACGTTGGTATACTGCCTGGTATAATGTCAGTTTTTGCTCCCTAGACGCTGTTGTAGCTGTCGCTTCGTATGAGTAGTGCTGCTCGTTTGTTGCAGAAGCCTTGAAGCCGTCCGTCGGAACCCTCCAGCCATAGCAAACTCCCATTGCAGGGATTGCCGTGCACTTCTTGTTGAGGCGGCAGACGCTCCTGTCATTTCAGACAGTGGCAAAGCTGATCGCTTCCCGGCAAGCGCGCAAAGTGGAGCGGGACCGGCTTGGATGAAGCCTCAACCCTAAAAACCCTAAACCCTACACACCCTGAACCCCTACCCCAGTCCCTGAAACCTGTGTGGCCAAACGGCGGATCTTGAAGGGCTTGTGCTGAACTATCCTGGTTGTCTTTGTTGCTGACTGAACACCCCTACATATGGGTGGTTGTCAGAATTGTGGTTCCTTTCTGGGGTTCTTGATATAATACGGCACCTGGTACTTTAGGGTACCCCACAAGGGACCATAATTTTGACAACTACCCATCTAGGCAAGTTTCAGGCAACAGACCTCGAACCGTATGCCTCGCCTGGATTGTCCGATGTATGAGCGCCGAAACCCTTAGTTAACCCTAATCCCAAAACCCCTCAACCTGGAACTTGGCCCCGAACCGTAAATATTAGGGTTTAAGGTTTAGGGTTTAAGGTTTAGGGTTTAGGGTTTAAGGTTTAGGGTTTAGGGTTGAGGGTTTAGGGTTTATATTATCCCGAAACCTAGACAGCCCAACTACCCTCTGTTTTACCGCAAATGCTTACGATTAAGGAGCATGAGGGCTCGATTAAAGGGCCTTGGTCTTCCTGGTAGAGCCTACCCAGAGACTCCAATGTCCCTTAATTGAGGAATATTCCTTAAATAATAGTAGGGTCCCTATTACAATTTACAAGGTATATACTCCTGAATTAAGGGATATTGGAGTCTTTGGGTACGCGTCAGGTTTGGGGTTCAGGGGAAGTCTTCGTGAAATCAGGCGAGGAATTGGGGTTCAGCATCAGGACAAAATTGGGTACTCCTATACTACCATTACCATGGCCTGAATCTGAAGGGGTTGTGCATCAGGGGTCTGCATGTTGTAATGTCAGACAGGCCACCTTGCGTTGAGTAATCGGGGCCTGGAAGACAGGACTTCTTTTACGTGGAGTTGCGTGGCTTTGACACCCACAATGACATCCGAGAGGTGGGCGTTTTCCCTGAGAGGCAATGGTTCGTGAGACATTCCCAGGAAGCCCCATACCCCTGAATATGGGAAAGAACCTTCTGCCGTAAATCGTAGTCGCAGTACTAAACTAAGCTTCTTCTAATTTGGAACATACCGTAAATCATAAGAACCAGCTCACGATAGGCGAAGCAAGATTCCTTTCATAAGGATCTTAAGGGGTCGTGAGCTCTCTTGGCAGGTTATGGAGAATCTCTTCGACAACCTCAACTTTGCTTTGGAGTCCTTCGTGGCAGAGCTCAAGGCACCATGGATTAGATCAAGTTTAAGGCTGCTTTAGAGTTCAAGGTTTCGGGCTTTAGGGTATTTTTTAGGCTTTAGGTTTTAAGGTTTTTTGAAGTTTAGGGTGTTTACTGGACGTACGTGCATGACCGATGCAACAGGAAAGTGTATCAAACCCCGACACTGGACGTCTCGCTTCATGAACGGGCTGCATCCTTTGCAAGGTAGACTGGCAATCTACCCTAAGGCTCCATAGTAGTTCCTTTTTTGGGTTCATATTTAGAATCCTATAAGGTATCCCCCAAAAGGAACTACTTTGGAGCCTCTGGGTAGAGTGACACCCGTATCCTGGATCCTTAACCCCCAACTCTGAGCTAAAACTTTAACACCAACTACGCGCATTGATATTGGGGGGAGCTAAGGGGCCAGGGATGATGATAATCCCTACTAGATAAGGAGCTAAAGAGCCAAGGGAACCCCACGATCACTGGTTAGCCAAGCCCTAGTAGAAAAACCTGTAGACTGCAAAACCAACTTCCCTTCCAACCGACTGAGCACCAAAAGCTTCGCTTGGCGTGTCCAAGAGTGAGTGCCGAAACCCTCAACCAAAGCTTTAAGCGCAACCTTTGCTGCACGGCACCCTACACTTTTCGTCGAGAGTGGACAGCCTCATAATTTTGTGTCGTGCCATAGCAGTAATTTGCCTATGAGAACCCGTATACACCCTTTTGACGGAGCCATACATCTCTAGAGGCACAGGGTGTCTTCGATGCGACCACGCTCGTCACATCTTCGGATTTCGGCCGCACGCTCACCTCCAACGGCAAGGGCACCGACCATGGCTGGGCTGGGAACTATGTGGCGCTTGGTCTGAATTGGGAGTTTCCGAAAATTAGGGGTACCTCATTTTGGGGTCCTTATAATAGGGATCTTATTATTTAGGGTGCTATATTAGGGGCCCCTATGTTCGGAAATCCCCAATTGGGTCTTCCTTGGGAACACTTTGCTTGTTTCAATAGTAAGTAGAATGCGGGGGGTATTGACAATACTCTCGCAAGTCTTTGTATGCACGTATACACGATGCATGTATGTATGTATGTATCTGTGTATGTGTGTATCTATCTACGTACATACCATTCTGTCTATCCATCTATCTATCTATCTACCTATATCTATCTATCTATACATCTATCTATACATACCTGCACATACACACATGCACACCTTTGCTCAGGAAAGTCTGTAGCTTGAGGGTCACACCGCATTTTGGAGGTACTGGGGGCCCTGTGTGGAGCTGAGGTCCTGGGTGGCGCAATCAAAGGTGGCCAGGTCTACAACCGATTCCCTTCTAGCTTCTTCACGGCAGGGGATCGAGAGACCCGGAATCCCAAATCCCAAACAGGTTTCGGGGGTCGGGCTTGGGGTTCCAAAAAACCCTGAACTCTGAAAACTGCAGGTTTTACCCTAAACCCTAAATCTTAGACACAAAAGTTTGGCAAATGCCACAACTTAATTGGCCCTGTTTTGAACACCGAAACATCAGGCTGTCGTCAACTGTTCAACCGAGACACCCTGCAATGCGGGCTTCGTCCTTGCTAGGTAGGAGGGAAAAAAATCTTAGGCACTGAGAACCTCGCCTGGCATGTCCGAGTCGTGAGAGCGTAAAGCGCTAAGATCCTGGTTTCAGCTTGAGCCTTGAGGTGGGGGGTGCTTTGATACCTCCTGGGTAATCTCGCTCCCTGCCCTTCGGGGCCCTCTTTGTCGGATTGAGGACTTTAGGGTTCAGGGGTTTAGGGTGGTTTAAGGGTTTCTTCAGGGTACCCGGCAGTCGCAATAGGCCTGGTTGCAAAAGGGCTTAAGGGTTTTAGGGTGTAAGTCTTTCGTGGAAACTTCAGGGCATTTTTTGGAATCAAGCCACAGGTCCAACCGTGAAAGTGTCAGACCAACCATCCGCAACCCTCAGGGATAGAATCCTCATAGGAACCGTCACACTTACCTTTGGTTAGTAGGGAATGGAGGAAAGTGGTACAGTTATATCTACTATTACTACCATTCTTCCATTCCCTGCTAAGAAAAGGAAAGTACAGGAAGCCTTCAGGCAGGTCTTAAGGCGAGCACACAAAGTTTGCCAGGAGTCTTGGAGGATGCTTGCAAGGAGCCGAGGCATTGACCCTAAACCCTGAACCCCAAAACCTGAAACCCTAAACCCTAATGTAGGGTAGCACGTATAGAAGTTCTTATAAGAGCCGAAAGCCAGCTAAGGCTTGGTCGAAGGCAACAATCAGGCCAGGGGTTTGTAGGGTTTAAGGCGTAGGGTTACGGGTCCTGGGCCCAGCTAGGGCTTACAGGGTTTGGGGTCAGGAATTATAGATTTCAGGTTTGATGATTTAGGGTTCAAGGTTTATTCTGCTCAGAAGCTAGGGGTGCTGTCACGAGTACAATCCTAACTGGCGGAAGGGCGGCAAACTACCAGGCGTCCTTGCAAGCAAGCCTGCAGCAAAAGGCTGTTTGTGCCTTAATTACAAGATTTAGGGCTCAGTACTTCGGGAAAGGGTCAGGGTTCAGGCTTTAGGGCTTGGGGGTTTAGGGCGCAGGGTCTTTCAGAGCACTCTTAGGCCTCAGGTCCCGTATTCATATGATCCATGGAGCTTCGCCTGCTTTCCCCACTGGAGATTCATGGATTAGGCTTAGGCCTCCGCACACATGCATGTGCATGTTTGACATAGTTATGTAGTGTTATATACCGACACACGCAACAGTGCAAGAGGTCCGCAAAGGAGCTGTGGATATGGCTGCCGTCAAAAAAACTCTTATGCCCCGATGCTGGGCCCTAGACCATGCTCCCCTGACAGGATGCGGGTCGTGGTCGGATGATCCCAGAATATCCCTGGGAGAATGCCCCTAGCCAGGGCTTTTGGAAGATTTCGGGGATCCTGGGGCGAGTACCAAGATTTCACAAGCTTGGTGGCGAGACTGGCAGAAGACAGAAATCGGAGCAATTAGCACCAGCACTCATTCTCCTGAGTCTCCGTATGTCGTATAGTATGTCAATGTAGAACCTAAAAACCCTGGTCTAAACATTTAACGCCCTTAAGTCTTAGGTATCTTGCCCAACCTGCAGCCGAGACCCTCCCGAAGCAGTTGAGGTTCTGGGGTGTTGAGGAGAACAAGGGTGGTAAGTGTCCATTGTCCATGTCCTTTCTGATTGCACGATGACGCTTTTTAAATATATGGGGGCCCGGCCAGCCGCACTGGCCGCAGAGGTAGTATAAAATATTTGTTTAAATCCGTATATTTAAATCCCAGTATGACGTGATCTAGCCTTCAGTCTTAAAAAGGTGAAGGCTGGAATGCTGGAGGGTTGAAGGCTGGAAGGGGCTTGAGGGGTTGAAGGCTGGAAGGCTGGAGACTGCAAGGGGGCTGGAGTGCTCCAGCCCGCCCTCCAGCTTGCCTTCCAACCTTTGCAGCCCTTTTTCGAGCCCAGCCCTCCAGCCCTCCAGCCCTCCAGCCTTCCAGCCTTCCAGCCTTCAGCCCTCCAGCCTCCAGCCAGCCCTCCAGCCTTCCTCCAGCCCAGCCCAGCCCAGCCCTCCAGCCCCAACCTTCCAACCTTGGAGGGCTGGGCTGGGCTGGGGCTGAAGGCTAGGGAACCCCAAACCCACCAATCATCTGCCAATCTCCTGATATTTTATTTCGAGGTGGGCCCGGGCGATGTTTCGTGGAGGTTGTGTAATATAGCTGTTTAACCTATTTAAATATTCGTGTATTTAAAAACAGACTCCGTAAATGCTTGTAGTAACGGTCAGGAGAGAGGTTTGAGTTCATAATCGACTAGTCCGAGATATGTTGGCTAAACTCGAGGGGTTATATAGACTGTGGGTTGCAGCACCTTTTGGCAGCCTTGCTGCATGATTGGGTTGGAGACGGAGACTTGCACAGAGAGTCAAGGTCGAGGTAAAGGAACTTTCGTCTGGGTAGGGCCTGGGCTTCACAAACCCACACGAAAACTGAACCACATCTCCGTCCACACGGCGACCGTATTCAAACCTGACGGCTCGGAAGCGCTTAGCATGAGAGTTTCGAAGCTTTGGCCTCTACTATAAGGGCCTTAATAATTACCTATAATTACTGCTTTGGGGTCTCCTACAGTAATTATAGTATAATGGCCCCCAAAACCCCATTCCAATTATTAATGCCTCTACATTAAGTGTCACGCACCTTGTAGCGCTACAGCGGCCTTGGTGACCCAAGGTCCTTATGCCCATTGCTGAGTGGATGGGGGTGGAGGGCGCGCATCAGCGTGACGTCTTCCCCAACATCCAGAGCCTCAGACAGCCTCACTTACTCTTTGGCTTACCCATAGGCCCCAAAGTAGTTCCTTTTGGAGATTACCTTATAGGATTCTATATATGAGCCCACAAAATTAACTACTTTGGGGCCTGAGGGTAAGGTCTTGTCAGGTTGTTGCAGAAGGTGAAAATGGGTTTTGCCGGCCCGCAGTCCCAAAGTGTGCGGCTTTTCCGATAAGCTTCGACTACAGCTCGTCCTGCGCAAGCTCAGGAACTTCAACGCGTCGCACATCTTGGCTACCAATGTGCTTTTCTCATCCTAAACAATTGGTTTTGTGACGGCTTCCTGTGCCTTTGATTATGAGATCCGAACCAGTATAATATTGTTAGCAAGTGAGATTCGAATCTTGCGAATTTAGCAGGAGGCAGTTCAAACCCACTTCTGCCTAGAACATGGGCAGTGTTAGAAGGCCCTGATGGCGTAGGCAGGGTCGCAGTCACATGGATTCGAAGTTGACTTTTCCTCAGCACTAAACCCCATAAGCTTCAAGCCTCGGACCTGGCATCCCCACTCTCAGCCAAAACTCCACATGTAGACCTAAAAACCGTATTGCTGCGGAACTTGATAATGAAGTTATGTCAAGGAAGGCCAGCTACAAGATTGGAGTCTCCACATTCTACAATAATGTATCTGTTTATGTCAGAATTCTGCGACACGTCCACGCTTTTTGAAGCTCCATAGCGGCGACGCTCTTCAGGGTTCAGCCGGAGTGTGTGACCGCAACGCCCTTAAACAAATGCTGGAGTTACTAGGTTCTTGGTTTAGACGGCATTCGTACGGCAAAGCTGGTAATGACATATTTGTTCTTGGATGGGCGTGGTTAAGACGGCTCAGGTTTAAGGGCTCGGAGCAGGCATTTCCCTGAGCTTGCCGTAAATGCCACGAAGTGGCTTCCAACGGCAAGTGCCAGATCAGTTTTTGGAAATAGGTCACACGTGCCTTATTTCCTGAACCGGTCTTGTTTTGTCGAAGCCTATGACACGGCACAGTTTTGTGGTGCCAGACGCGCTGGCATACGTCACGATCTCTTTGACCGTCGTAACCCCATAGAGCTTAAAAACCCCGCAAACTGTCTCAGCCCCACGCTTCGTGATGTATCCGCTGTTTGGACAAGCTTTAGTCATGCTTGTTGCTTCGAGAGCACTGCCTGTCACGGCAAAACCTGATCTGCCCAGAAATGGGCAGAGCGCGAACGCACGCTTTAAAACGTCTGGGAGATGGGTTTTCGAGCACTGTGGCCTAGGGTTTCATCATTGAAGGGGTTTGTATCTTAATCAAACACTAAACCCATATACAGCCTGCTTTGCCTAAAAGCCCCGAAAGGCCATAGCCTATCGTAGGATTTCAAGGGCTCGTAATCCGGCAGATCCGAAAAGTGTCTCTGCCGCAAGCCCCCTGCCGCAACTCCAGAGCATGTTCAGAATGGAAGGAGCCAAACCCCTCCATGCGCGGAGCCTACAGTTTTTTTATCCAGCGCTCCGCGTCAATGATTTCCGAATCTTTTCGCATACATATCTGTATATATAGATATGTAACTGTTGTAGACATATACATGTATATATCATATATATATATATATACATACATGTATTTATGTAATGCATGTATGCCTCAAAAGGTAAGACAGCTCCAGAGATCTAGCGGAGCGAAACGGCAGCCCAAAGAGTTTTACAAAATCCCAACTCGCTTAGGGTGTAGAGGGTCTGGAGTTTATGAAACGGGGCTCTGGCTGTACCGGGCTGCTGGACAACGAGGCCTGCTGCAAAAAGGGGTTTCATAAACCACCAAGAGTAGGTAGAATAATGGCCCAACACCTATAAAACAACATCTTGGGGTCCAGGTAGGGTTCAGGGTTCGCTGCTGCCATTGCACCACCAAGGCCCGTGTTGGAAGGCCTTGCTAGAGATCCCCCAAATGGAACCCTTCACGAAGGCGTTCTCTTTGACTCTTTAGCCAGTAGGTAGTGGTAATGTCATGTAGCAGCCTGAACATTTGTTATATAATGCTGTTCTTCCTTTATGGTTCGCTCTTGCAACTCTAGACCAAAATCTACACCACAACCCTGTTCGAATGACTACAGCTTTTTTTTTTCAAGACATTTTTCTGGGCGCGTCCACTTACGGGATAGTTTCAGCTTAAAGACGACAGCTCAACCGCCGATGATAATGCTTTACCCAGAGGCCCCAAAGTAGTTCCTTTTTGGGATTACCTTATAACTTCTATATATGAACCCCAAAAAGGAACTACTTTGGGGCCTCTGGGTAGGGTTATACAGCGAGGACCTCCTGGAGGAAACCGAAACTGGAGATCTGAACAGTACCCAAAAGCCTAGTTACCTACATTATTTTGGTGTTCATCATTATGATTATAGTATAGTTTTTACCCCAAAGAAACTATTCTAATTACAGCATCACGGCCCCTATACTACACCATAGTGCATCTAAGTAGACCATCGTAGATATTGTACTCTCAACCTAAAGACTTTACACCCGAGGCTCAAGACCGATCCGGAATGCTGTAGCCTACGATGCTCGGAGTAGGCATGGGAGTTCTTATGCAGATTCCTTAATCGACGGGCTGGAGCCCCCAAACCATAGGCCCTGGACCCTTGTGGCGTGCCGACCTTTGGCCAGAAGCCTCGCCTGGATTGTCCGAGTGTGAGCTCCGAAACTCGCTGTAAACTTATCACATACCCTTAGTAGTTAATACCCCTTATATAAATTCAGGCAGATGGAAAAGGGTCGTAAAAACAATACCCCTTAAATTAAAGAAACCTTTAGACGAACCCTTTTGTAATACTTTCGCCATGTCCTCGCCTGCTGCACTGGAGCGTTCATCTCGAACCTACACCACGCTGGAGGCCACCGCCTTGCATGAGTCCGTCCCCCCAGACCGCTGGTGCGTCACGCGCTCGGACTTGAAATACTTGGGCCAGGAGGTGCAGAAGGGCATCAAAGGAGGAGAAATACGCCGACCTGATGATGGCAGCGACGATTTTAAGGTCTCTGACACGACTTATGGTCCAAGCATCTATACAGTGAACAAGCAGCACATCATGCCGGTGACGGAGAAGTTCGGCAAAGTCAGTTGGGCACTGTTGCAACATCCAGATGGCTTGGACTGCGATCTTTTTATCAGCCATGCCTGGCAGGAGGGTGTTTTCGAGTTCCTTTCCAAGGTGTTGCATTCTTGGCCTGCAAACGCACGACACGCCTGGTGCTGTATGCTGGCCAACCCTCAGAATTTGGACATCGGTGTCTTGTTGCAGTCTCCCAGCAGCTCTCCTTTTGCTGTGGCACTTAAAGCCTCGACATGTGTTCTGGTGGTACCAAACCGCCACTGCAGCATCTACACCAGGCTCCACCACGAGCAAGGGTTCAAGACTTCCATGTTTTGGGGGTTACGGTGGTTTCATGCATTATAGTAGGAGCCAGAAAGTTGGAACATCATTGTCCTCATGCCCTTAAGGTAAAGTATCAGGGATCCCAGCACTAATCCTCCTAAAGCCGTGTTCCAACTTCCTGGCTTCTACTGTATAGGATCCGTAACATAGGGTTAGCCAGCAAACGTATTACATGCTGTGGGCTGGGTCGGCTGATAGGCACATGAGAGTCGTTTGGGAGTGAGGGGGTTAAGGTCGCAGCTCGAAATCCTATAAACCCGAACCCTGAAACCCTCAACCCTGAAGTGCTTTAGCACGTAAACTTGCCCAGAACTCCCAGAAACCGAAACCCTAAACTCTGAGATCATTTAAACCCGAATCCCTACATTAGAGCTTCCGAAAACTAGGGGTACCTTATCTAAGGTACTTGTAATCGGGATCCTACTATTTAGGGTACTATATGAGGGTCCCCGATTTTCGGAAACTCCCACATCCTAAACCCTAAACCCTAAACCCCTGAACCTTAAACCCTGCGAATCCCTACATCCCGAAACCGCACATGAGCGAGGCTTTGGTGCGGCTACGAAGCCTTCAGAGCGCATGAGGAAGGCAGGACCACGAAGCCCAGGATCTGCAGAGGTTTCCGGCTTAGAGGGTCAAGAATTAAGAATGAAAATTGATAAAACGAATAAGAATAACACTGCGGATAAGGTTTGGGGTCTTGGGTTCAGAATAAGATCAGAATATCAACCATAAGAATATCAATGATAAGAAGAATCAGAAGAATAACAGCAATAATGATGTCTTGGGTTTTGGGTTTTGGGTTCGCATGTTCACGAAGGTTCAAGGCTTGGGGAGTGGGGCTTACAGTGCTTAGGGTGTGGGGTTTAGGGTATTTAGTTTTACTCTTATGTAGACCCTCAACTTGTAACTTCTTATTGCAGATCTTGGGGCTTGGAAGGCCCCAGGACGAATTTTTTTGGCCGAATACCTAGATTCCTAGATTCTGGACTCTAGTGCCTCCTTTTGGATAACTTAACTTATGGTTAATTATGGGTAGGAACCTATTGCCTTATCTTATATAGTTAGTAACCAATAGAAACCAAGTTAACGCAACAAGGATACTACGTACCTAGTTTGTTTATGCTCTTGGCAGGCTCATGGTTTGCGTTGAGTACTGTATGTTCTCGGCTCTTCCTGTAGAGGTCGGATTACTCAGTGGTAATGTTCCCTTAGACCCTGTAGGCTCAGACCATAATGTATTTTAAAACCCAGGGATAACTTTCAAGACCATTGTCCCCTTCACCCTGATAGGCAGCTTAAGTTGCAAAGCACTTAACTCCCTTGTACGAGCTTGGCAGGGAAGGCCATCTTCATTGCCCGCGCTCCAACGAGCAAGCAGTTGATGACTGTCCTGCTGTGGACCATCTCGGCAGGACGGGTTCACAATACTTAGGCGTACTTGGAAAAAATTTTAGTTTTTGGCTATTATAATCCCTAAGAAACAGCTAAAATCTTAATTTTTGCTAGGGTTTCAAGTTCAGTATAGTTAATATTGAGCCTGCACTGGCCCTACACCGAGCACTGATGATGTACAACAGCAACTTGTAACAACGCTATTGCAGCCTCACTGGTTGTAGGGAAATTACCGTCACCCAAATGACCCTCTTAAACCTAAGCATCTCACAGGTAGGGATTTCTGATTTCCACATAAGGAAGTACGGGTTAGACCCTACACTCATGTGGAATCGCTGTGCTTCGATGCTATTCTGGCCCCCTAGTTTTGGCACTGAGATGTCCCAACCCTGGACCCTCAACTTTATAGTCAAGCCCCAGGAGGTGTAGGGCTAGGCCCTATAAACCTTCGCCGCAGGGTATATGGTTTAGTGTTGTTGTTTCCTCGGTTCCTGGCATATGCGTAGCCCAGGTGTAAAAAGGGTTGTTGTTTCCTGTCTCTGGGGCAGGACTGGCAGGCATTTCAATGAGCGTCTGCTTCACGGGTATCCATGACCTGTTGGAAAACAGGTTCGTGCGCGGGTGTCCAGTTTGCAGCGAGCTGGCTAGTGTGGACAGATAAATCATCATATCGCCTGATTTTCAGCAACAGTTGAATGATGCGTACTGTGGCTTTCATTTCCAGGCTTTGGAATCGTACAGTAAACATCTACACGCTATGCTCTAAAGCTTAGAAGCACGCCTTTTAAACCCTGTGTCCAGCCTGAAGACACACTGAACCACGACGTCGTAGCCCAGGCTTTCCTTGTGCTTGATGACTGCTACGGCGTTCGGCAGTGTCTGCATGGAGCACCAGATGTGCCGGAAAGTCATGAACAGGATGCTTGCCTGTGATGTGCCATGCGGTTTCCTACAATTAGGACTTCGCGTTCGGGGTATGTATGCAAGGATATCGAGGAATCCTAACATCTTCTAAGGTTCCGTGTCATCTGAAGTGTCAAGCCGCACAGGCGTGGCCTTTAGGGTTTATAAAGCTTCCGGGCCTTAGGGTTTTACGCTTTACCTTAAGGGCTTCCAGGACAGGGGCCTTCATGTGCGGCTCCCTTCTCTACCCTTGGAAGTCGCTAACTCTTCCCGACTACGACGAGCGCGACGTCTTCAGTGTTGCTGCTCTGACACCCCTCCTGCATTCTCTGTTTGTTACCGGCATCCTCATCTTCGGCTTGCTGGAGGCACGGCAGCCTTTTCTTGCTGCCGGGACGCCAAACTTGCCGAAGTGTAGGTAGAATATAGGGGCCTGGACCACTACTCATACTATGTTGGGGTTCCTGATGATGCATATAGTCAATATACTATAAGATACCCCAAAACCCTATTCGAAGTATTAAGGCGCCCATCGAAAGCCTGGAGCATAAACGGCGGGTAGGATTTGGGTTTAGGATTGAGGGCAGTTCAAGGTTTGGGGTTTAGGGAAGGGTTTAGGGTCTATCTTCTGTACTTAGAGGGTCATGGGACTTAGTAAGTACGGTTATAAGTGCCTTCTTAGGGTTATAGGTAGGTATGACTATAGTTACCTCACTTATAACCGTACTTATTAAGTCCCATGAACCTCTAAGTAGCATTGGTCCAGGTCGACCGTGTCAACGGGCAAAGTCAGAAAGAGGAGGCGAGGCAACTCAGCCGCGGATTTCAAGGTGCCCCCGCCCGGTTTGGGGTTTAGGGTTTGGGGTTGGCCCTCGCTACTTGGCTTTCCGAGTTGGGGGCCCGGCTGATAGACCTTAGTAGCTGAGTGGGTAGCCTTTAACCTCTTGGGGTTTATACAACCCTACCATACCATAATTAATAGTTGAAAAGGGTTATCTTTTCTGGGCTCGGGTAGTCATTTGCAACTCAGTGTCCTCCACTTTGCCACCCACCACTGCCACCAGGATGCTCGCCACCAGAACTGCCGTCATCAACAGCCTTTTTTCCCCATCAGTGGTCCTCGTCCGAGTAGTCGAGCAGGTAACCTCTAACCTTTCTTGGGGAGTATAGCCCCTATAGAATCCCTATATACCAAAAAGGTGAGCCTTTAGTTCCCCATAATACCCGACAAGTAGGTCGTTCCTATGTTCTTCAGTTTGATCGTTTCACTCGTCACCCCTTCAGCCGGCAGCAAGAGCATTCCCGGCACCATCAGAGAGGACATAGGCATTACTGCATTACGGTTGCCGTTGTGATTGGCGCCTTCATACGATTACGCATGCTATCAGGTTCGTCAGCACCATCATTAGCAGCTCCACGGCCGTCACCATTATGCCGTCACCTCATCATCAATCACATCGTCATCTTCATCACCATCACAAGCATTGCCATCATCGTCATTGTCATCAGCCAGAGCGCCAATGGTCCACAACCCCACTAAGCCCACCTACTACAGGGGCCTGAACAACTGGTAATCCTATTCCTTAGGCTTCCCTGCCATGGTTATGGCATAACGCATGCCAAAGCACCCTCATAATTATCAAGGCCCCTATGCGGTGCGCGTAGATTACTTGTGCCTTGGCAAGCGCTGCGCCTTTGACGGCCAGTGTTTCTACAAAAGACCCAAAAAGCTGTAAAACCTAAATCCTCGGCTATACCGTTGCAGAAGGCAGCATCGAGCATGCCAAGTGCTCTGAAGCAGCCGACGCCAGGAGGATTTTTCAGGAGATTGGACAGCAGACCAGCGATGTAGCTTAGTATTGTTGAGTTTGCATGCTTTATAGGGCCTAGGGTTGAAGGGTTTAGGGTTTAGGGAACCAGCTTCTGGTAACATAGATAATGTCATATTGCAATTGTGGGCGAGTCTGTTCTCCTTGTATTCAGCAAGTGTAAAGACGACTCGCTCGGACCGGGCTGCTGGACAACGAGGCCTGCTGCAAAAAGGGAACGAGCTTGCAACTATAGGGACCTGAGTTAATATGTAGAGTAGGGCCCCTTTTAGAGGGAACCTTGTAGGGCTCTATAAGGGATCTGCAGTAGGGTTCTATAATGCAGGGGGCTCAATTTTTACAATAGGGTTTGGGGATTTCTACTCTAGTTATCAGAACTGGGCAGCTAAGGTAGACTACGCCATACATGTGCTTCTGGCTGCAGGGATGTCTACGCCGACACTTCGAACAGTCGCATGTGCAGGCGTCGACATTTCTGGGGCAGGCTACACCGAAATTGCTTTTCCCTGTCTGGACCTGGGGCCATTCCTTCTTCATGGCCTGTTGCTGACCGCTGTACTATCTGTATATGTTCCTGAGATTATGTACCGTTGGATTCCTGGCGTCGTTTCTCTTTGTTGCCGCTTTGCGCTGCTCGCTATTCTCTGGTGTCGCCCGCAGGACGAGAGATGCTTTACTCTTAAGATGATGGCAAAGATGATTGCCATGCATGTGGGCATCACTGGCCCTGTGGTGGTTATGACTAAAATAACAGCTTCAAGCAACGATTATGTATATCTTGCGATAACTCTCTTCATCATGTCTGTGCACATCGCGATGCTTGGGTTCGCATGCCTCTTGGCTGCGACGTGTATTGTTATTTGTACTGAGATCCGTCCCGCGGTAGTAGCTCGCAAAATGATCCACGAAGTGAGTCGGGGATTGTTACCTCATCTATGGGCCCTATAAAGCAGCATCCTGATGTTTGTCCATACGAAGGTCCCCTTGTTTTCGGAAACTCCTACATTATACTGAAGGTTTGGGAATGCGACGACTGGCGACATTTCTACCTGCAGGGCCGTGCATGTTGCAGCTTTTTCTTGGTCGCGGTCGTTGCAGTGTCGCCAGCACCGAGGTCGCACGGAAGTTGCTCTAAACCAGGTTATTTCGTGTTGTTTCTACCCATGGAGTCTACCTACACCATCGAAGAACATAATGTTCAATATCATGAGAGACGATGCTTGAATCAGGAAGAGCTTTTTTTGTTTTATACCAGACCTTGGAACTCGGGAGAGAAAGAAGGACACTCCTCCACACCCTAACCCCAACTGTGTACTGTGTTCGGATTCTTTGGGTCAAGGTGCAGTGCCTGGCACTTCACCGAGTGTGCCGGCCATGGAGATCGAGAGTGACACCGACCCGTCCGATTCTAACGACTCGTCGGAATAGGCTGCAAGCTGAGGCCGTTTTCCAAAAAGCAATGTTCGGCGTGTGTCCTGACAGGCAGTGCAACTTCGATGTGAGCCTGCTTGCTGAATGAAGTCAGCGCTTGTTATAGGGACACTGGTTGCTTCACTCCAGCTCAATGCCCTAGCGAGGAGACCGCGAAGATGAATGCAGAAGTCCTGCGTCAAGTTTTAGATTCGCAGACCGCTTGTGAGCGATATTGCGCCGATGTGAACACGGGCGCTTCCAAGTAGGTCTGGCAAGTGGTGCGCGGGGCCTGAGGGTTCAGGCTTTGGGCTTGCCTGTTTAGGTTGGGGTCTTCGTGCGCCAGACACCAGTAATTGAAATGTCCTGAAGATCTAGGATGCCCAATAGTACCCTTATTCCCTTTTTGTAGTCCTAGGTTCCTTATTAATTGTTATCCAATACCAAAAGTGGAGCCCTTTCTATTCCTATAGGTTACTGGGCACCCTAGAGATGATGGGGCCCCACTCTCGCCCGGCTGTGTCTTCTTCGCACACAGGTCCTTGCATATCGGCATATGTAGGGTTTAGGGTTTGTAGGTTTTAAATAGGTCCTATAAGGACTCCCATATTCGTTTCGGTCGTGTTTAGGTGTCGGGTTAGGATAGGATAGAACTGTGTCGCCAGTTTGCTCGGCTAACAAAAGTTGTCATTATCAGTATGCTGTGGGTGTTGTTGCGATTGCCACGGTTGTTGCTACTGAAACGATTACTGTGACGATAACATAAACAGCTATCATTCGTTTTTAGTTTTATGGTAAGTGTTGTTATTGTTATCATTTCTGCGCGACATACCGTAATTATTCTAAACGCAGCCCAATAATTATCCTACAGTAACGGCCAAGTTGCCGGATCAACGCCGCCGTTTGGTGGGTCAAGTTTAGCCCTCCTTCCTCACTCCTGGTCGGCTCTGATGGCGCGGGTCCGCGTGGGTGCCGTCCTGGTCCCTGGACTGCTTTCTCGGGTGTACAGGGTCTAGGGCCGCCATACGTGTTCAGAGAAGGGTTGTAGAAGCTGGGCAAAGTGTCCTGCACGGGCTTCTATAGTGTTTAGGTGATTGTCAGGGCATTGCAGCCGGGATTTCGGCTTGAGGGGTACGGGCTGAGGCAATTCAGGAACTTGCGAGGGGTCGAAATCAAACAAAGGCGTATTGAGCAAGTAGATACTACTGCTACTGCTACCGCTACTAAAGCCGGTACTACCACTACTGCGACTACTACCACTACCACAACTACCACTACACCTCCTACTCCTGCTGCTGCTGCTATTATTACTACTACTACTACTACTACTACTACTACCACTACCACTACTACTACTACCACTTCCACTATTATTATTATTACTACTACTACTACTACTACTACTACTACTACTACTACTACTACTACTACTACTACTACTACTACTACTACTACTACTACTACTACTACTACTACTACTACTACTACTACTACTACTACTACTACTACTACTACTACTACTACTACTACTACTACTACTACTACTACTACTACTACTACTACTACTACTACTACTCCTACTCCTGCTACTACTACTGCTACTACTATCACTACTACTACTACTACTACTACTACTACTACTACTACTACTACTACTACTACTACTACTATTACTACTACTACTACTACTAGTATTTCTAGTACTAGTACTAGTACTACTACTACTACTACTACTACTACTACGACTACTACTACGACTACTACTACTACTACCACCACTACCACTACCACTACCACTACCACTACCACTACCACTGCCACTACTACTACTACTACTACTACTACTACTGCTGCTACTACTACTACTACTACTATTACTACTACTACTACTGCTACTACTACTACTACTACTACTACCACTACTACTACTACTCCTACTCCTGCTACTACTACTGCTACTACTATCACTACGGCTGCCTACGATGCCTACTAGCTCTACTTCTAAACCTAAAGCTAAGCTAAACCCGGAAAAGCCGTAGAATCAGAGCCTTACCCCTCGTATACAAAATGCCTTTGATGTTTGCCCAAGCCTTAGCTCCCCTAAACCCTAAGGCGTTAAACCAAATCCCCAAACCCTTTAACCCCCCACCCTTAAACCCTCAAGCCTAAACCTCAAACCCTAAACCCTCAACTAAGCCCTAGGTAGGAGGGGAAGGAATACTGATAGATGTCCTGGCTGTTCAAGCCTCTCAGACCCTTCCGGGCACTGGAGAAAAAGAGCCCAACAGCAAGACAAAACCCTAAACCCTTTACCCCGAACCCCTAAACCCCAAAAAACCCTCAAACCCTAGAAACTCTAAACCCTATACCCTAACCCCACAAACCCTTCCAACTCTAAACCCTCTACCCTATAACCCCTTATCCCTACATACTGCCTATACCTTATAGCCCTGAACCCTAAATGCTGAAAGCCTATACCCCAAACTCTAACCAGAGACCCTATACCCTAAACCCCATACCCTATAGAGCCTCTGCCCTATACTCTTAACCCTAAACACTAAACCCCACAGGGAACTCCAGAAAGTTGGAATATGGTTTCATGGTAGGATACCCTATAATTTACCATAGAAGGGTTAGGACAATCATATTCCAACTTTCTGGCTTTTACCTTAAACCCCTAAACTCCTAAACCCTAAACCCCAAACCCCTAAACCCTAAACCCCTAAACCCTAAACCCTAAAAACCCTAAAAACCCTAAACCCTAAACCCTAAAAATTGCTGGAAGCCTCAGGCCCTAGGCCTGGTCGGACTCTGCAGCCTCGGGGCTCTCGAAAGCTTCGTCACTTCGAGACAGGCGGAGGCTCGCGGTGCGTCTGTTTCAAAAAAAGTTTAGATCCCCGATAGTAGTAGGTACTTAGTAGGTATATGGCCCCCAAGGTATATACTATACTACTACTTGGACCCTTTGGGAACTTAGATCCCGAATACCTAACCTTTCAACTGTTTGGGTTCTTATGGTTTAGTAGGAATCGGAAAGTCTAACCTGTTATTTCTGTGGCTTATTGGGGTAGAAGAAAGGGGGTTGGGGTTTAGGGCTCCTTCAAAGGGATCCTTACAAGGGATCGATTATAGGGTTCCATATTAGGGGAAAGAGTTTGGGTTTAGCGTGTTTCTCAAGGTGAATATAAGTGGCATCGCGATTTGTTAATGAAATTCTGTTTATGTCAACAGATTGTTTGAAGGGGGCGTGGGCGCTGTTTAGGATTTACGGTCCTGGGGTTGCGTAATTGGGGTGTAGTGTTTCAGCTAAAGGTGACTAGGGTTTTGGGTTCGGGTGGACCTGGTGGCACAGGATTTTCCAGGTTCCTCGTATAATTGAAAGTCCCGTTACAACGAAGTATGAGGGTGATCGGACTCCGTAGGGGTTTGGGGGCTTCACGAAGGGTTTTGTAGGGTTGTGTATCTTGATATAGCTTTTTATTCCATTTAGGGGTCCGGGGTTAGGTTTACGTGTTTGGGGTTGAGGTGGCGATGGCGCTTTTGTGCAAATGTCTCAAAGCTGGAGGATCTAAAAGGTTCTTTGGTATGTTTTGGCTTTCCTTTTCTGCCATAGTTCTATACGACTTTCCCGAACTGTACAGTGTACCATGGGCTTTATCGAGCCTACGGGCGTTTGGGGCTGAGTATAAAAGGGACGCATGAGGCTAACCAGAAGATCTTAATGTGGATGCCCTCCGTAAAAAACCAGTCAGGTTCAGCATGCAGCTGGCAGAGGACTGCTTCGAATCAGGGATGCCGGGGTTGTTTTGTGGGAAGTTCGAGTTTGTAGGTGGCTTTGGTGTGGTCCTCTGGCTAAGGCATTTCGTGTTCATATATGTATGTTTTACATGGTGTTAAACACCCTGTACAACAACCTATAGTAAATGACACCGAAACCGTAGAGTTTTGGAGTACAGGTATAGTTTAAGTTTAGTCCTGCACCCTGAAGCCCTATAGTAGCCGCTTAGTAGCCTTTGCGGAACTCTCATAGGTCCCTTCAAGGAACCCTTTCGGGACAGTATTGATGAGTCCTCGGCTTCCTTGAGCTCCCAAGCAGCGAAGGCCTCAGGCTTCGCGACTATGTCCCCGTCGACAACACATAGACTCGAGACTCGAGATATCGGGAGATTTGGAAGAAGCCCCTAAGTTTTGGAACATCCGGTAACCCTAAACCCTAAACCCTAAACCCCTAAACCCTAAACCTTAAACCGTTTTTGGAACATCCGGTAACATAGTCAAGACCTACTTAGTATAACCGCACAGCCACAGGGCCAAGCCCTTCCGAGCCTCAACCCTTCAAGCCTGCCTCAGCCTAATCCCGAGAATCGGCTCTAACCCAGAGCAGAAAATCAGTCAAAACATAATGATGCCCAAAGGGACACCTCGCCCTCAAGCCTTAAACCGCAAACGGAATGCTCTGTTTCATTGTTGACAACCCTTGATATTACGAGGTTATGTCTATACATCTGTCTCGAATGTGCTCCTCGGTCTCTATCTCTACTTTTATCTGCATGTCGATCTCTCTCTCGTTACCGCTGTTCCTCCTCATCTATCTGTCTATCGATCTTGCTAGTTTGCTAGCCAGCTGTCTCCCTGTCTGTCTCTGTGTTGGTCTGCTTGTCCATCAATCAACCAATGAACCAAAAGCCGACCAACCAGCCAAGCAACCAACTATCGGCCTATTGATTTGAGACTTAATTGTCTATCAATCAATCTGTCTAACTATCTGTTCATATCTATATCTGATTTTCATCCTACCTATCTATCTATCTATCTGCCTAGCCATCTCTCCATCGTTCGATCTACAAAACCGGATTGCAAAAGGAATCCTGAGCCTTTACTTAGAGGCCCAGGGGACTTAGTAAGTAGGTTATAAGTAGGGTTATAAGTACCCTAAATGGAGTTACCCCAATTATAACCCTATTTATAACCTACTTACTAAGTCCCCTGGGCCTCTAAGTATTTCTTAAGAACCAAGCAAGCCGTGAGCATTTTTACTACAATTATAATAAGGACCCCCCCCCAAAAAAAAAAAAAAATATCGTATTGGTATTTATTTAAGCCCCTATATTAGACAGGCTACCCAGAGACTCCAATATCCCTTAATTAAGGAATATACCTTAAATTATAGTAGGATCCTTAATATGATTTAAGGAATATTCCTTAATTAAGGGATATTGGAGTCTCTGGGTACTCTTAACAGCCAAGCAAGCCGTGAGCCCTTCCGACCCCGATGCGAGAGGCGTTGCTGCCAGGCTAAAGACGCGTGTAGCTCTCCGGGCCGATCCCCGGCTTCTGGTAGGGATACCTTTAAAGGGATCCTTTAAGGGTTCCTTAAGGGGATCCGATAAGGGTTCTAGAACGGGTTTAGGGTTCAGGAGTTTTCGAAATAAGGGTGCCTTTTAAGGGATCCTTTAAGGGTTGCTTAAAGGGATCCTATAAGGGTTCTATAAAGGGTTTAGGGTTTAGGAGTTTCCGAAAATTAGGGGTACCTTATTTTGGGGTCCTTATAGTAAGGATCCTACTATTTAGGGTGCTATATTAGGGTCCCCTATTTTCGGAAACCCTCCCAGAGATTCCAATATCCCTTAATTCAGGAACATACCTTAAACTATAGTAGGATCCTTAATATGATTTAAGGAATATCCCTTAACTAAGGGAAATACTTTAAAAAAGAGTAGGATCCTTAATATGAGTTAAGGAATATTCCTTAATCAAGGGATATTGGAGTCTCTGGGCATAGGGGCCTAAATAATTACCAGTACGATTGCGGGGGGAGGGTCTCGTCTGTACTACAACTATCAGATATCACCATATAACTATAGTATATAACATACCCATAAAAGGACCCATAAAGGCCCCGTATCTATTACTCAGAAGCTGAGGCGTTTAGCGTCAATGGTCTTGGGGTTTTAGGGCTTTCAGGCTTCCAGGTTTGGAAGTTTAGGGCTCCACTTAGAGGCCCAGGGGACTTAGTAAGGGCTCTTAAAGGGCTCCTTAAAGGGATCTATAGGGTTCCTTAAAGGGGTCTATGGGGTTTAGGGTTTAGGGACATAGTAAGTAGGTTATAAGTAGAGTTATAAGTACCCTAAATGGAGTTACCCCAATTATAACCCTACTTATAACCTACTTACTAAGTCCCCTGCCCTTCCAAGTACGTTTTTAGATGGTTCCCGCTTTACGAAAATCCACAGCCCAGAACCCTGAAACCATGCAGTGCCGGGGCAGACACAACCTGTAGTAATGCCCCCACCTGGCCATAGCATGTTGCTTTCCTTAAGCATACTCTTGTTTGCTGAAAAATGAAGCCCTATTCTAAGTATTGTAGATTGTAGTGATTGAGGCCCCTATTGCCCTTAAGCTACGGGTCCTTATCGAACCCTGTCAAGCACCTTTGTACGAATAAGTCGAAGCCTTGTTCTCATTAGTGAACTCCCTTACAAATCCTCATCGACACCCTATTTCAGTACATAATGCCCCCCACAGAGAGCCGTTATCTAAACCCATAAGGCCCGTATATGACATCAGCGATGCCAAGGATGGCCCCTCAGCCCCAAACCCTAAGTCCCTAAACCCTTAAACCCTAAAATCGACTTGAAAGGATGGCCCTTACACGCCATAGGGGGAAACCCTAGACCCAAACCCGTTTAGGGTTTAGGGTTCCTTAATTAAAGAAGCCTTGTTTCGAAGCACGGCCCTGTGCCAGATCCTTCAGTACAGAACCTTGTGGAGAATCCGGTAAAGAGCCTTTATAGGAATCCTGTCTTCCCTAAAGCCTGATCGAAAGAAGGCACATAAACCGTACATCCTAACCCTTAAGCCATTAAAGCCCCTAAACTCACAAACCCTCGAACCTCTATTCTCCGAAACCCCCCGCAACCCCTAAAGTCCTAAACATAAGGACCTCTAAACCCCCCCAAACTCCTCAACCCTAAACCCTAAACCCTAAACCCTAAATTCCGAATCGAAGGATGGCTCGCTACTGAGACCCTTCGGTCCCGTCGTGGCCTATGCCAAGGTTCTCATGGACACATCCGAGACGCCTTCCTTTAATATGGGTTTGAATGTTGGTTTAGGGTGTAGCGCTTCGGCGCACTGTCTCCATCTTGCTCCTCTCTCTCTCTCTCTCTGCGAGAAGTCTTTGGAGTTTGGGCTTCGATTTAAAGGCTTCTATAAGGATCTATAGGGTTCCGGGGTTTGTGATTCGTTTAGACTTGTTCGAGAGGTCTTCAGGGGATGTGCAGGGGTTTAGTGTGAAATGTCGTGTGCTTGAAGATTGTCGGATGCTGCTCTTAGGATCTCAGCCGGCGAGCATGTTCGGACTTGTTGTTTTTCGGCGGGCCATTCGGTTTCAGTGGTGCCTGCTAGCCTTGTAACCTGACAGTCCTTCAGGGATCTAGTGTCTGTGATGCGCCCAAGGAAAATCACAAATCCTCGGCAGTTTTTTTCCTTCCAAACAGCTGCGAAGCCGCCCGAATGGCCCCGGTGGTATTGACACAAACAGCAGGTCCCTTCGCTAAGCGGTTCGAACTCCTGAACACTTCTTTAAGACCCAACCGCCGCGCACATCGGAAACCTCCTTGAATCCTCAACGGTCCTAGGTGTCCGAGTCGTGGAACATTCGTATCGCATCTCTCGAATCACACTTCGTCCGTTGCTTGTTTGCTTCCTACCACACTTCCGAGCTTTATCCGCAAATTCGAGAAGCTCGTCTCATTTTTTTCGCTGGGGGACGCAGCTTCTCTCGCGTCGCGCTTCAACCTTTTGGGATACTACCCCCAAAAGTTAACCCTAAGCCCTAAACCCTACAGCCTAAACCCTAACAAGTGTTTTCCTGCTGTTCAACCAAGATTCCCTGCAGTGCGGGCCTCGTCCTTGCTAGGTAGGAGGGAAAAAAACCTAACCAAAACCCTAAACCCTAAACCCTAAACCGTAGTTTCCTTAGGGTACTGGACAAGTAAGTGTAGGGACCTGAACCCTGCAGCGAAGGAGAACCAAGGAGTTTGTGCAACTTCGTCATAGTTTGGTAACATTTTGCATTTTTATGTGTACTTAAACCCAAAAAGGAATAAAGAAGTACATCTTTAATCCTATCCCAACCATGAGCTAGGCAAGTGGCCTCGGATGTCATGGATGTGAAGGATGCCTTTACAGACGCCGAGTTCTTGGATTCACTGAGCCTGATCCAGAACAACTACAACTTGACAAATGTGCAGAAAGCGGAGCCACTCCATGGCATGTTGATTATGGTTTGCTTTTTGTTGGCATGGGTACCGGTGCCATGTTGTTTTGTTGCTGCAAGTTGCTGCTGGTGCTGCTGCTGATGCTGTTGCTGTTGCTGCTGCTGCTGCTGCTGTTGTTGTTTTTTGTTCTTAATTGCCGCTGCTGCATGGCTGTCCCTGCTACGTTTGGTTTGGCAGCGTTGTCTAATATCCCGTAGGCTTCGTTACTTCTGCTCATGTCAGCTTCTACTTCTCGTGCCTGCAGCCAGTCAGGAAAATCATCCAGCTTCTCAAGCCTGCACCTGGGTCGAAAATAGCGAACCCTGCCCTCACTCACCCGGACACTCCAAGCCCTCTCAACTAGGGACCCCAGAAGCACGTAAGTATAAGCATTTTATAGGGGACATCCCTGCCTTATTGGGCCTCATTCTAAGGGGTTTATATGGGATATCCCTATCCTTATGTTTGCTTACGCGCTTTTGGGGGCCCTACTTAAGTAAGGAATATACATGAGAAGTTACCGTCAGATCCGTTTATTCTAAATTTATACTATTCTGGTGGTTCCTTGTTCTATATATATATATATACATATACATACATACATACATACATACATAGTATAATATGCCCCAAAAACCCTGTTTTAGTTACAAAGGCCCCTGTATTGTATTGTTTGATTTTGTGGGCTTGGAGACTCTGGGGGAGCAGCCCCAACTGGAAACTTTTCGAGCTACGGGAAGCTGCATCGGCATCACATCCCCGAACCTAAGCGCATGTGAAGGGAAATTCCTACATAAGCTGGGGGTGACTGAAAGTCCCGGATGACTTACGTCCATGGTTGAAGCCATACAGCTAGGCTATACCCGTTCCGATGCCGAAATACCCACTACGACAAGACATGCTACCCCTGAACCCCGAGCTTCAATCGCCCTAGCCATGCGGGTGCGCGTCAATTCCTGGCACTGCAAACCCATCTCCGTCGCCTCCAAGCCGTAAACTGTGAAGCTCATAAAAGCTTTAATTTCCAAACCCCAAGCCAGACTCTATCAGCAAAAACTCTCCAAGCCATAGACCCTTCTTTACTGGCTTTAACAAACCAAAACCCTAAACCCCTAAACCCCGAATCCCTAAACCCCTGAACCCCGAATCCATAAACCCCTCAACCCTAAACCCTAAACCCAAGAAACCCTAAAACCCTAAACCCTAAACCTAAGAAACCCTAAACCCATGATACCCTGAACCTAAGAAACCCTAAACCCCGAATCCCTAAACCCCTAAACCCAAGAAGCCCTAAACCCCGAATCCCTAAACCCCCAAACCCCAAACCCTAAACCCAAGAAACCCTAAAACCTAAACCCAAGAAACCCAAGAAACCCTAAAGCCTCTGAAGCGGCTGGAGGAAGGCGAGAGCTTCCAGTCGAGCGTCATGCCAAAGTTCATTGTCTTCCTGGGGAAGAAGAACCTGGGCTTTGGAGTACCATAACTTTTATACTTTTTTGGGACCTGTTACTTAAAGGGAAGCAATTATGAACAAAAAAAAGTCTATACTTTTTTCTCCCTGGTTACTGCAAAGCCCAGGAACAGACTCAGGGGCCTCAAGGACCGGTGTTTCGGGTAATCCATAAACCCCTCAATCCTAAACCCCTAAACCCTAAACCCAAGAAGCCCTAAAACCCTAAACCCTGAACCTAAGAAACCCTAAACCCATGATACCCTGAACCTAAGAAACCCTAGGTGTCTGGGGACGGAGGGCCTCGGCCTCAGGATCGGTTTGGGTTCGTTGTGGTGTTTGGGGTTTTAGGTTTTTTAGGGGGGTTTGAAGGGGTGTGTTTAGAATTTCGGGGCTTTAGGGTTCTTAAGAACAGAATGTCGAACATTTGCACGCATTTTGTGAGAATTTGGCATTTGCGCCTTCAGAAGTTGAGTGTTTTAGGCTTTGAGGCTTGCTGATTAAGTGTCCCTATATCCGAAACTCTCGACCCCAAACCTTTTGGCTCTAGGACGGTTTTATCTCAAATGTTGAGCGTCGACAGGTATTATTGTATAGGATAGGTACTGCCTCCATACAGTAAGAGTCTGTAATAGAGTTACTATTCAGGTCCGACTATATCTATGTTATGAATAGTGTTCAACTATTGCTGAGTCTCTGAGTGGGGGCCGTACCCAATGTATATAGGGGCCGAACCCTGGCCTGAATCTGCATCCGGGATGAGATGCAGCAGCTATAGCCCCCGAGCCCTACAGGAAATCTGCAACGACTTCATGCAGAGCCTGTACTTCAACCAGGGAATAGCACCTGTGATTGTGCGGACGGCGCAGCGGCTGAGCGAAGATCAGAAGGTCGGGTCTCGTTCTCCTTAGCAAGCAGTTACATTTCTTCATCATACTAGTCAAAGAGGGTACTAAGACTATTGTGGGTCATGGCTTGTGGTATAACGAAAAAGCGAATGTACTTCATTATCAAATCGTTCGTTCCCTAGGTGTGCCTAGAATTCGTGTGGCTTCTTCCCTTGTGTTCTGTTCAAAGGCTGAAGAGACCCATGTCCATGGTACTTTGGCTCGCAAAGGATGGACAGAAACAACGGAGACAACATAATACCTGGACTTAGACCGTAAACGCTAAACCCCTAAACCCTAGACCCCTAAACCCTAAACCTTATACACCCCAGACCGAAGCTACGCCTCGAACCTACCCTGCAATGTGGGCCTCGTCTTTGCTAAGTAGGTGAAAAAACCCCGTAATCCTAAATCCTCATGTTCTCAGTAGGTTCTGTGCGTCCCGTGCAGGCCAGGATTAAAGAAAAGATGTGTATCAAGGCGGAGTGCCTTCACTGCACGGAGATGGGTTAGGGTTTTGGGTATAGGGTTTAGGGTTTTGGGGTAGCTTCAGGAGGTCAAAAGGCCTTTTAGGCATCTTAGGGTTTTCCCTTATTGGGATTGTGCTTACTAGCATGTTCAAAGGCTGTAAAGGGCCGAGCCAATGGATGCTAGATTGCAGGAGTGATTGGGGAGTGATGATGGCAGGCCCACAACCCCTGGAACTGAAATTGCTCAAGGCCCTGAATCCCACATGCCCAAAGAAACCTTAGACCATTATCCCTTAACCATCGACTGTGGGGCTGGGTCGGTGGTCCCTAACTTTTCCCCAACTATTCAGTCAAACACATAGAAAGATATGCTTGACCTGCCCCTTCGGCTTGCTGCGACGCATAAACTTGAATTCTGCTGCACAGTTAATGTGGACAGTTCCTGTCGTCATCCGACCATCGCTTGCTTTTGTCGATCTAGGGCTACATACTTGACGCTGCACTTCTTCAGCATCTTTCTGGTTCTATTATGTCGCCTTTTTGTCGCTGGGCATCTAGACGAATCTCTCGCCTGGCCATTACCAGCTATCCCACAGTGTTATACAGCATGCTAACCGGATCGTAGCCCAGGCCTGGCGGCTGCAGTTACAGGTACATGCATCCAGAGACACCTGTAGTACAATACATCATAAGATCAATCTAGTGGTAGTTCGTTCCCTTGGCTTTGGGCAAACTTTGGAAATCTTGGGCGCTAGGGTAAATTTAGTCTGAGGGGTTGGGTGTTTACCAGTCTCACGGTTTAGGCGACAGGATTTCATATAGTGTGGTTGAGACTGTGGCTTAATTTTGGCGGGTGCTGAGTTGCACCTTGAACACGAAGCTCTAATTCAGAGTTTTCGCTCTAAGCCTAAATCACAAACCCTTAACCCCCCAAGACCCTTAAGTCCCTCAAGGATACCGATTGTAGTGCTTAAGGTTTGGATGGATGGACGGTCGGATTGATTGGTGGACTCCTTGTAAATACTTGTATGTCTTCTTGTATGCATGCATGCACGTCTGCATGTCTGTCTGTGTGTCCGTCTGTCCGGCCGTCCGTCTGTCTGTCTGTCCGTCGGTCTGCATGTATGTATGTATGTATATGCATGCGGTCATAAGTTACGTTACGACTATCATAAGCCGACGTATATCCCTACTTACGCAGTTTTCTTTCAACCTTCAAGCAAGACTGCCAACTGGCGCCCAGGTGTGCGGAGGTAAAGCTCATCGACGCCTCGACATTATTCAGCAACGCTTTAATTTGATGGCTCTTGTTCTCTGGATCATAGGGCAAGGATACGCGGCTATTATAACGCTTGGCATATCAACACAACATGTGGAGCCTGACCAGGTCATTCTTCTCGTTGTCTTAGCTATAAATCCCATAAACTCTATAAGCCTTAAACCCTAAACCCTTAACCCTAGATGTACCTATCATACTTCTCGTTGTCCTAAGTATAAACCCCATAAACTCTATAGTCTATAAACCTTAAACCCCAACGCCTTAGCAAGAAAATCCTTGGAACCATAACCTCAAAGCCGGAAGGGGTCTTTTTTGTTGGGTTCCTTGTTTGAATCCTACTAGTTTGGGGATAGGCCCAGTGGTTTCTCAATCACGTTCCTACAGTAGAAGCCCAAAAGTTGGAAACCCAATAGCCTCAATCCTTAAGAGTAATGTATAGGGAATCCCAGCACTATTTGGCCTCAATCCGGTTTCCAACTTTATGGGGCTTACTGTACATTAAACAAAACGGAAGGAGCAGGTGGATGCCAACCTCATTGCGGGCTTCACCATCACCTGGGGCTTCGTTGACCCAGTGAGGCCAGTCCTCCATACGTGGGTTTAGAGTTTACCTATAGTCTCCATTGTAGTTCCCTTTTTTTGTTTAACCAATTTTATATTAAGGATCCTAAAGGGTAACCCCCAAAAGGAACTACAACAATGGAGACTATAGGTAGGGTTTCAAACAGGTCTAGGGTTTAGGGTTCAGGGTTTAGGGGTTTAGGGTTTAGGGTTGCAGGTCTAGGGGAAAAAGGTTTGGGGTTCAGGTTCAGGGTTTAAGGTTTAGGGTTCCATTAGGGTTTCGACACGCGCACTCGCGAAGCAGGCACGGGTGCCGGATCGATGAGATGAAAGAGGGCATAGGGTTTAAGGTTTCGCTTTGTGCCTTTCACTCTTAAACCGACATAGGTTGGTTTTGCAGGGCCCAGGCTAGGCACGTGGTTTGTTTTTCGACGGCTAACTCCCCGTCTGACCCGGAGCCTAACCTTTCGAGGCCCTCAACATGCAATTCTTTTGGCTTTTATGGGGTTATAGTTAGATCAGATAACTGGGCAAGTCCTGATGCACAAGAAGGGGGTAGGATCAGATCCCCACCGCAAAAGCATCCCACTAACCGCCTCAGACAGAGACACACGCATACATAAAAAAAGAAACAAACACTTCTGGATCAATCCGAAGCCCTAAATCTTAAACCCGAAACCCTAAATACTTGACCCCAAACCTGAGACCCTAAACCTTATAAATCCTAAACTCTAAATAGTTAAACCTCAAACCCGAAAACCTTAAACCCTAAACCCCAAATCTTAAAGCCCTAAACCGTAAACACTAAAAGCACCACCCCTCCCAGATAATGGCTGGCAGGGGGGGGTGACCTCCCTGCCGCCAGCCATTAAAATGGCTGGCGCCCCCCCCTAATGGCTGGCAGGACCCGGTAAATCCCGACGATGTTTGGATATGTTTGGCATAAGTATGGGTAGAACAGGGACATACGTTGAACAGCAGCACATCCCTTGAGCGCCGGCCACTCCATTGCTACATGTCTGCTCCCAGTTCAGCTTTGAAGCTGTGTAGTTGATGAGAGGTGCGCAGGGAGGGGTCCTTGCGTGCCCGGAAGGAGGGTAGCATGAAGCAGCTTTTACAGTGGCAGTACACTCAGCAGTCTAAGACGTCGTGTGTCAGCCTCGACGGAGACGATTCAGTAGATTCAGTCTCCTCTCAAAACAAGTCTGTCCGTGTCTGTCCCAATGTTTGAATTAGTGATAGAAAGCCTTTTGTCGCCATAGCACCAGGGACCCACGTGGAAGCCCCCCGCCAGCCATTCCAAATCCATGTACCGCCAGCCGAGAATGGCTGGCGGGGGTCGGGGACGTGAAAGACCGGACAGAGGGGTGATCTAAAAGCCCTAAACCTTAAACCTTAAATCTTAAAACCCTAAACCTTAAACCCTAAATCTTAAAACCCCAAACTCTTCAACCCTTAATCTTAAAACCCTAAACCTTAAACCCTAAACCCTAACCCCTAAATCTTACACCCTAAAGCCTAAACCCTAAATCCTAAAACCCTAAGCCCTATCACCTAAATCTTACACCCTAAACCCTAAACCCTAAATCCTAAAACCCGAAAATCTTCAACCCTAAAGCCTAACCCCCCTAAATCTTCAACCCGAAACCCAAAGCCACTTCTGGAACATCGCACCGCGAGGTTGGAGGCTCCCTCGCATGGCATCGATTTGTCCTTGCTCCTGGGACTTGGGAGTTTCCGAAAATAAGGGGCCCTATAGGGCTCCTTTAAAGGGATCCTATAGGGCTCCTTTAAAGGGATCCTATAGGGCTCCTTTAAAGGGATCCTATAGGGATCCTTTAAAGGGATCCTAAAGGGGTCCTTTAAAGGGATCCTATAGGGATCCTTTAAAGGGATCCTATAAGGGTTCTAGAAAATAAGTAACAGTCTATAATAGGGCTACTATTAAGGGCCTTATATATCTGTATTATGAGTATTATCCAACTGTTGCCGAGTGGGGGCCGTACCCAATCTATGCAACATATGGGAGAAATAAGGGACCCTTTAAAGGGATCCTTTAAGGGATCCTATAAGGGTTTGTAGAGTTCCCTATGCGTACATAGCTCTACGTGTAGGTAGTAGCTCCACTTCTATTCAGGCTTTGATAATGTTGAATTCGTAGCCTTGAAGGCTCGGCATGCCATGATCGGCAGAAGCCACAGCTTAGGACAGAGTCCAAGCATGCAAGATGTGAACATCGCATGTAGTGTGCAACATACGCCCTGAGGGCCATGATAACACACAACAGGTCTGCGAATAGTGAAAAGAGGTAGTGAGCCCATGGACGTTTGCCTCCTGTCTCGGTCGTGACCTTGACTACCAGTCCAACAACAGGTCTATGGCAACCTCGTCAGACAACCCCAATTCGAATGGTCAAGATGATGATCAACAGGTTATGGATAGCCCAAACCCTACCACCGCTGGTGCCACGGGAGATGTTCCGCGGGTCAATGGAGTGACTCCACAGCCACTGAATCAAAGTCCGTTTGACATGGATGGAGAAACAGTGAATCCGCGAGCTGCATCTCGTATGGTTCAGGGAGCGAATGCAGTGTTGGAACGCTCTGTTCCACAGACTGCTGGGGATTTCCTTGAAGGCCCCAACGAACCTTCGGGCGCCCCGCGAGGCGTTTTGGGTGGACTGTCGAGGGTGATTCAATCCATCCCGACAGTTGTGGAGCAAGTTATTCCAGGGGTGGCACCGAGGCACCCTTCACCCAGCAATCAGGATGCAGTTGAGTACGCTTCTGTGAGATCTACAACAAGCTGGGAGCATAGACCGCCCTCGGCTACGCAACTTCCTTCTACGCCGTTGCTGCCAGAGGCGATGGTACTGAGGATGAGGGAGATGGAGAGGGCTGCGCCATTGCTGTACCAGAGTGGAGGTGCAAATCCTGTGCTACCGCCCAATCCACCATCGACCTCTTCGAGTGATATACAAGCTGAAGTCCGGAGGCAGTTACAGGAGTTAATGGCCTTACGTGATGAGGAGGGCCGAAGACTGAGGGCTCAGGTTGAGGCTCTGGCGATGGAGAATAGTGAACTGCGAGGTAGGATAGTAGATGATGTACAGGCAAGAAGTGGTGTACAGATGAGGAGCAACGTAGGAAGGGGTGAATCTTTGATGTACGGATTTCCCGGGCTAGGATGGTTGGGTAGAGGTTTAGAGAATCTAATGGGTTCTAATCGGGCACTGGATTTGAGGCCACATGACACCCAGACCTCACCTTTGGATTTCCCACCCACGGGTCGTCCCCAACCTGCTATCGGCGTGTTTCCTCAATCACTAAGCTTGGACAATCCTCCTACTGGTCAGGTTCTGCACCCTCCAGGTCAGGTTCCACCACCTTCAGGTCAGGCTCCATTGCATCAAGGTCAGGTGCCAGTACCTTTAGGTCAGGGGCCTTTGCCTACAGGTCAGGTTCCGCCGCCTTCAGGTCAAGCGCTGCACCCTACAGGTCAGATGCCAACCCCTTTAGGCCCAGGGTCTTTGCCTTCGAATCGTACAATGCCAATGATTGACCACTCGCCAATGATGATGATGATGAGCCAGGTTCTGCCTACAGGTCAGGTGCCACAGCCTTCAGGTCAGGTTCCACAGCCTTTAGGTCAGGTTCCACAGCCGTCAGGTCAGGTGCCACAGCCTTCAGGTCAGGTTCCACAGCCTTCAGGTCAGGTTCTGCCGCCTACAGGTCAGGTTCCGCAGCCTTCAGGTCAGGTTCTGCCGCCTACAGGTCAGGTTCCGCAGCCTTCAGGTCAGGTTCCGCAGCCTTCAGGTCAGGTTCCGCAGCCTTCAGGTCAGGTCCCGCAGCCTTCAGGTCAGGATCATCCCAAGGTACAGGCGTTGGATCCGTTGAACGTGGTTCTTACAGGAATGGCGCAGTTGCAAGGCATAGTCACCGAGATCGCAGCGTCGCCAAAGACGAGCCAGCGTGCTGAGGTCATTAAGCCAGGTGTGCAGTCGTTGCCAGGTTTGCCAGATCTAGGGGCTGAGTCTTGCCTTTTGTTCTCGGATTGGCTACACAATGTAAGGCCGGCTCTTGCTGATGTGAGTGACAACTCCGAGGAACTTTGGTCTATGGTAGTCAGCGAAGCCACAGAGTGGTATAAGGTCTACTTGAAGTTGGACCCACTAGGCCGCCTGACACACCCTTCCAGGCCCTCTTCGGATCTAGAGCAGGCTAGGTGGCAGCGAGTATCCCGGCGAATGGAAACTATGATACTTGCAGCAACACCTACCACCGTTAAGGACGAAGTAAGTGCAGCACGGGTGTCAGGGCTCTTCCCACTTGTATGCAAGTTGTTCGTAATATACGGACCGGGTAGCTTGACAGAGCGCGAACTTGGACTCCGACAGATCCAGGATCCGGCCGCAGGTGTTGGGGTCGCCGACACCATCGACTTGATGCGCCGCTGGAAGCGGTGGTGCAATCGGATGTCTGAGCTCGGTGGTTCGTTACCGGACTGTGCACTTCAAGTTAAAGCGATAACGAAAATATCTAGGATGGCTCTAGAAAAGAACCCAGATATAGGATTCCGTGTGAACTTGAGCCGTGCATCGCTACAGGTGGATATGAATCCGGACAATGATAAAGTGATGAAATTGCATGCTCAAATCTTGAGTGAGCTGGAGGCCATCCACCACAGGGGGACCAAGGATAAGGAGGCGGAAAGGGATAGGGATAAGGCTAAGGACGGCACCCCTCAAGCAAAGGTGAAAGGGGTTGAAGCCACGCCGGCAGCCCCAGCACCCAATCCTAAGGGACCAAAGAACCCTAAGCCTACCCCTAAGTCCGGGCCTCCTCCTAAGAACCCTCCTGCAGGAGATGCTCCATCTGGAAAAGTGCCGTGCACCTTCTACGTGCAAAATAACGGATGCAAGAAGGGTGCTGATTGTGCTTTTGAGCACAACTGGAACTCTTTCTCCAAGGAGGAGAAGTCTCTGAGGTGCAAAGTGTGCTGTAGCCGAAACCATAGGGTAGCTGACTGTAAGGCTGGTATGAAGGACGACAGGGCCCCACCGGCATCAAAGACTCCATCCCGGAGTCAAGCAACTCCAAAGTCAGGAGCAGAGAATTCCGCTAGCCCTGATCGCCCACAGCAGAATATAAAATCGATGCTTGCGGACGCAGCCAGAATCTTGCAGCAGGCCATGCCAGACCAACCGAGTCCTACATCGCATGTTCAGCCACCGGTGCAGGCTGTGCCTATAAGCCCTCCAGTTCCTTCTTCAACGGGTGGCACGAATGCACCCTCTGGAAGCCCTGTTCAGGGATCACCTGTGACCCTTGCCTCTCTGAGTGCACAGTTGGAGACCTTAAGAGGCATGGCAGGTAATCCCGAAATTAGAGGATTGCGGGTTGAGGAGGAGAACGAAAGTAATGCCTGGGAGAGGGTTCCAATTGAGGGTTTGCGGCAGCAGCTTGATAGCTTGCGCGCGCTGGTATCTGCAAGGGAACCTACGATAAGGACCTTTTCCAGCTCCAGCCCAGATCAGGACAGGTTGGTAAGGGCAATGGCCCTTTTAGATTCAGGAGCAACGCATGCCGTGATTCCCTATGATCGATCGTTGGGAAGTTTAGAGTCTGTTCCAGTTACCTTGGCAGGAGATGAGCGCCAGCAATGGTTAAAGACTAAAGGATTGACATTAGTAGTTCCACCCTCGGGAAAGGAAGACCCAGCGGGCCCGAAGCCCCAAACTATCCTCCCGTTGGGTTCAATAGTCGAAAACCTAGGCTGCACGGTTGAATGGTCCAAAAGGAAAGGCTTGAAAGTTCGACACCCTACCCTGGGAGTTTTGAACACAGGTCTATCAACTAATCACTGCCCAGTGGTTCAAGAAGGCCAGGCTCTAACTATGATAGCTGAGCTTGAGAGCAAGCGCCTAGAATCCTTTCGAGACCGCATACAGGACTTGGAGTGTCAGATTGAGCACTTGCAATCCTCTCCGGACCCTACGCAAACTCTGAAGAAGTTCATTGCCACAGGGGACCGGGGGGACGCACTGCAGGCCCTCATTGCCCAATCGTATCTTGATGAGGTTCCCATTGCCCTCAAGGCATGGATGGCTGAAGGGTTTACTTCCACAGCGCCCGAAACTGGATGGGCCCTTATGAAGAATCTTCCCTTGAAGCGGGCAGCCCGCAGAGCCCTTCTGCAATCAGATCGATGGGTGGTACATCTATGTTCTGGTGCACCTAAGCGCAATGATCCTTTGGCGAATTGGTGCAAGGAGCAAGGGCTGAGTTTCTTACCTGTTGACATACGGGAAGTAGGGGGAAAGGGATGGGATCTGACCAAGCGCGATGGTGTTTGGCGTGTTCTGCTCTGGGCAGCAGCGGCAGGCAGAATCTCAGGCATCTTCTCGTCTCCACCTTTGCATGCGGACCCTAGTAAGGAGGTGCTGAAATATCAGGACAAGTTCCTGTGGTCCTTGGCCTCCGTTGCAAATGGGCAGGGCATACTTTTCTTGAGTGAAGTCTCCTGTTACAAAATTCAATCAATGGTCCGGGATGGAACTTGTGGTTTTCTACCAAGGATCCTTGGGGGATAGCTACGCAAGGCCCACTAGGATATCAACCAACCTAGAGATGGGTTTCTTGGCACGGCTACCAATGAAAGGAAGCCTCGAGAATCCAAAGCAGGGACCCGTTTGGACAGTTGAGTTTCGAAAGGAA